AAGCAATGTTTCCTGTCACCCACTTTAATTGCATATTTTCAGGGATCAGTTCACCTACGCACTACGGTATTCAATTGTGTTGTTGGTGTAACATTCAGCGCAGTATCTCTTCACTTGAGAGCCGGGTTTTGTTGCCATGGTGCTTTTCGGCAAAGTATTGGATGTTTTCCGCAGAATCTAAAAGAGAAATAATGGGCTGAAACAATCCTAAATCCCCAAAGGGGCACTGAGAGTAAAACTCCCTTTACTTCCGTGTTTTTTAAAAAAATATTTTCAGCCACTTCGCCCCGAAACTCCGGAATAATCCCTTCAAACGAAAAGTCTATAATAATAATCATTTGGTCACTCAATCCGTGACTGTTTGTGGGAACACTACTGTGCGCCATTGGCTGCCACATTTTGCCCACAAAATACGCAGTCAATTACAGCGTATCCTGTGAAGCACTTTGAGACGTCTCGAAGACACGATAAGTCGCTATATCAAATGCAAGGATTAGTATTATTAATTATTATTAGCCTATAATCTAGAAATAGCCTCACACATAGAACTCCACAACTGCACATAGCCCTCAATCTGCTTTCCTTCTCCCCAGATTACACAGGAGCAGTTACACAAGAGCAGACACCATTTCCTACAGACCTCTACACACTCTGTTGAAGGCACAGCTTTTTGCACTCAGTTCACAGACTTTACACCAACATTAATAAAAGTTCCGTTGTTCAGCGAACCACAGAGACAGCAGAAAATGGTGCATTTCCTGAGCTGAATTGACCTTCAGCATCAATAATATCTCTTAATTGCTTTCTCAACCATGTGTTCGGAAACCATTAAGCCATCACTCATTCCCTTGTTGGGAAACGGAAAATTGTAATTTCTCTCTTAAGAATAATAAAAATCCTTGTATTTGATATAGCGCCTTATCACGTCTTCAAGACGTCTCTTTTTTTAAACAGATTATTATCCCCAGAAAAGCGACCTGACAATTGACTAACAACCGGGTTCCTACTTCCCGCGAGGTAAACAGAGGCGTGTGGAGTAAGGAAACGGTTTTGCCCGGGAATCAAACCCAGGTCCATTTGATTGCGAGGCGAGGGCTTTAACCACTAAGTTACAGGACTCCATTATAAAATTCCACAGTCAAATAATAACTTAGCTCCAGTCACCATGTTCTGAAGGGTCTGTCCTTCTTACAGCAGGAAAATCAATACCCAAAACCCAATAAAAAAACTTGTTATTTGGAGTATTTGTTTTTTTACAAGAGAGAAATTTGCATATATTCCAATTTACTAAATAATTTAAATCACTATTTAAATATTATGCAATGAAACCAACGGTTAATGTTGCTAATTTGACATTTTAACCGAATCCAACAAATTAAGTTGCCGGCGAAATAATAATCAAAGCTGCACGTCTCAGAGTAATCAGCTAATGTGGCTGCCGGGATAATGATGAAGAGGTCAGTGTGTATACTGTTTGTGTTTGGAATTGTCTGTACTATCGGTTGCCATCAAAGAGGAATCACACAGCGAGGAGAGGCTGAATAAAGAAAGTGATTGTACAATAAACTCTCTGATCTGTTCCTTTGGTTGAGACGTTATCTGGCAGTTCAAATGGATGTTAAAGATCCCCTGGCACTATTCAAAAAAGGGAAGGGAGGTTATCAGGGGATACGGGGCGAAGGCGGGTAATTGGAGTTGGGGTACAGATCAGCCATGATCTTATAGAATGGCGGAACAGGCTCGAGGGGCTGAATGGCCTCCTCCTGTTCCTATGCTCCAAGACTTATGTGAGTTTTACTGTAGAAACATTCACCAGCTTGGGGTGTGAGTTCGGATACTCAGTCTTAATCATGGAGATGGGTTTCCGCTGGTGTCAGACACCCGGCTGACTCCAAAAAAAATATTATGCCATCTGACCGTTATTTAAATATATGGCATAAAAGGAAACAACAGGAAGCAGAGCAGTGGGAGAGTTTGTCAAACCAGTCGCTAGTCTGACACTCACATCCCACTAACCACAAGTCAAATACCAAAAAACAACTCAACACTGCACTGTCACACTCAGTCATGTTGAAGACGAGCCGCTCTGTTCTGCCTCAGTGCTTGTTCAAACAGGATTGAACAAACAGGCGTCCTGTAGCACAATCCTGGCATTCGATACGGCGCCTGATCATGTCACTGAGACGTCTCAAAGCGCTTCACAGAATATACTGTAAAGTGTAGTGACTGCGTTTTGTGGGCGAATCGCGGCAGCCAAGTGCGCACAGCAGCGTCCCACACAAACAGTTGTGGGTTGAGTGACCACATTTTTATTTTTTTGGAAGTATTATTACACCCAGAAAAGTGATCAGCCAATCAACTAACAACCGGGTTCCTACTTACTGCTGAAGACACGTGTGTGTGGAGTAAGGAAACTTACCTAAGGTTTCTCCCTGCCCGGGAATCGAACCCGGGTCCTCTCGCTTGCGAGGCGAGTGCTCTAACCGCTGAGCTACAGGACTCTTGATAATAGGATCAATTAGTTGAATTCTCCACATCCCAATCGTCAGTCGGAAGCTGTTTTTTGTGACATTTTGTAAAATATGGTTTAACATTCAGATTCCTAAGCTCCTCACCCTGTCTGTATATTTACTGCCCACACATACACACACATACATGCACATTGACAAATACATCCACATACATCAACCTCTTCGCCACAATAAACATTAGAAAGAAGGTTAAGTGATCATAATTTACCTGTTTGTGAAAGAATGATCCACTGCCACAGAAAGCTGTGTGTCCACAGTGTCACCGCGAGGCATTGCTCTGCTCTGCTCTGCTCTGCTCTGCTGTCTTCTCTCCTGTGTTGTCCTGTGCTGCCTTGAGAGAGCTCGCGATTGAGCTCACAGTCAGGCACGTTATTAAGCTGCTAACGGCACTGCCTCTCCATCTACTGTGCCAAGGGTCACAGCTGGTGCTTAAACATTATGTGTGAGGAAACCCCACCTCCTTCACACTGTTACGCGACGCTCATATTTGGGATTTTCAAACGTTGCTTCCTTTGGCTGTTCTGCGATGTACGTGCTGTGATATGGAGCACATTTCTCGTGGAGTCCCTGTAGCTCAGTGGTTAGAGCATTCGCCTCACAAGCGAGAGGACCCGGGTTCGATTCCCGCTCAGGGCGAAACCTTAGGCAAGTTTCCAGCACCTCGGGACGTCCTCTCGACGTGAAAGACGCAATACAAATTTGTTGTTGTTTCCTTACTCCACACACTCCACACTTGCCTCTGTTTACCAGCAGTCAGTAGGAACCTGTTAGTCGATGGGCAGATCGCTTTCCGGGGCTAATAATCCCTTCAAAAAAAATAATAATTTGGTCACTCAATCCACGACTGTTTGTGAGACAGAGCTGTGTGCGGTTCTCCCACAAAATGTACAGTCATTACCTTTTACAGTATATTCTGTGAAGCGCTTTGAGATGCCTCAAAGATGTGATGAGGCGCTGTATCAAATGAAAATATTACTTATTATTATTATTATTATATTTACCCTTTAATGCTCCTGGTTACCAGCATCGCCCTAATTTCCTTTTCGATCAATCTCTGAATTCAGACTCAGGATTGGTTTGTGAATATTCCAATCACCTCTTTGCTAAACACTTGTTTTTTCTGATTATCTCAAATGTGGACCTTTTACTGACTCACTGATCAGTGTAGGTAATGTGTTGCTATTTACCTGATCATCAGAGAGCAATAAACATGAACCTCTCCCCTCTTGGTTTCTATTGCTCTTCTCTGTTTGTCTGACTCTACTTTGAATCTTTGCCCGTAGACATAAAAATAATAAAATAATCCTTCCATTTGATACAGCGCCTGATCACGTCATTGAGACGTCTCAAAGCCCTTCACAGAATACACTATAAAGTGAATAGACTGCACAGTTTGTGGGCGAAACCCGGCAGCCAATTGCGCACAGCAATGAGTGTCCCACACACAGTCGTGGATTGAAGTCACCACATTATTATTATTTCTTTCTTTTAGTTTTTCGAAGGGATTATTACGGTTCCCATATTCTGAATGGTTTAAGATTTGTTTGGGAAAACATGTCAGACCCCCCCCCCCCGGCTCCTGAGTAGCCGTGTGTGATAATGATGATGATTCACTGATTTACACAATTGGTTGGAATGAGTTGCTGAACACTGTGGCCACTCGAGTCACCGTCAATACACCACACAACACAGTCTTATTTCTTTATACTGTGTGTGGGCAAAGCTTCAGCGCTCAAAGTAAACACTCCACATCTGCGTCATGACCCGCTCTGCCCTCCCCCACCTCCGCAACACCGCCCGGCTCCATCATTGCCTCACACCACAGCCCCCGAGACCCTCACACATTCATAGCATCCAGGCTCCACTGTGCAAACTCGCTGCTTGTCGGCCCCCAACTCCTCCCTCCACAGACTGCAGATCATCCCGAACTAACTCTGCAGCCCGTGTCCTCTCCCCACCGGGCACCGTGACCCCATCACCCCCATCCTCTCCCACACCGGGCTCCGTGACCCCATCACCCCATCCTCTCCCCCACCGGGCACCGTGACCCCATCACCCCCATCCTCTCCCCCACCGGGCACCGTGACCCCATCACCCCCATCCTCTCCCCCACCGGGCTCCGTGACCCATCACCCCCACCTCTCCCACACCGGGCTCCGTGACCCTATCACCCCCATCCTCTCCCACACCGGGCTCCGTGACCCCATCACCCCCATCCTCTCCCACACCGGGCTCCGTGACCCTATCACCCCCATCCTCTCCCACACCGGGCTCCGTGACCCCATCACCCCCATCCTCGCCCGACTCCCCTGACTCCCCTTCACACAGAGGATACAGTTCAAGATCCTGGTCCTCATCTTCAAAGTCCTCCACAGTCTTGCTCCCCCCGACCTCTGTCACCTCCTAACCTCCTGCCATCCTGATTCTATGTAAGTGCCATTTTGTTGTTGTTGTTGATCAGCTTGTATATATAGCCGTCACAACAACACACGACATTTACACGGCACCTTTCACCTTTTCCAGCCACTAATTCAGTTTATACACAGACGTTTCATCTTAATAATCAGTGAAAGCAGTCCTGTAGCTCAGTGGTTAGAGCACTCGCCTCGCAAGCGAGAGACCAGGGTTTGATTCCTGGGCAGAGTGAAACCTTAGGCAAGTTTCCTTACTCCACACACCTCTGTTTACCAGCAGTGAGTAGGAACTTGGATATTAGTCGATTGGCGGATCACTTTTCCAGGGATAATGGAGTCCTGCAGCTCAGTGGTTAGAGCACTCGCTTTGCAAGTGAGAGACCTGAGTTCAATTCCAGGCAGAGGGCGAAACCTTGGGCAAGTTTCCTTACTCCACACAGAGCCTAATAATAATCCCTCCAAAACCAAAAACAATAATAAATTGGTCATTTTCAATCTACGACTGTTTGTGGGACATTGCTGTGCGCAATTGGCTGCCGCGTTCGCCCACAAATATACAGTCAATTCACTTTACAGTGTGTTCTGTGAAGCGCTTTGGGATGTCCTCCCGACGTGAAAAGCGCTATATCAAATGCAAGGATTATTATTATTATTATTAATAATACTTTTTTTTAAATGGTCACTCAATCCACGGCTGTGTGTGGGACGCTGCTGTGTGCAATTGGCTGCCGCGTTTCACCCACAGAATATACAGTCATTAATAATTAATATGATAATAATATTATAATAATAATTAATAATCCTTGCATTTTATACAGCCCCTTATCATAGAATCGAGACATCTCAAAGCTCTTCACAGAATAGACTGTAGAGTGTAGTGACTGTATGTTGACTAAGTAAACTGGACATGTTCACGCTGGAGAAGAGAAGATTAAGAGTTGACACGATGGCTGTTTTTAAGATTCTAAAAGGGCCAAACAATATAAATCATGACAGACTGTTCCAACTTGTCCAGAATAGTAAACCCAGAGGACAAGGCCTGCGATTGAAGACGGGTAAATTCAGAACAAATCTATGTAAACACTATTTCAGTGAACAAATAGTGAATCTGTGGAACAGGCTCCTCAGGGAGACGGTTGAAGCAGGAAATGTCGATTCCCACAAACACAGATTGGATAGTTTTTTCACATTATGGGATACAGTACACAGGGAGTTTGGGACATATGCGCCTGAGACCACCAGGAAGGTGGAAGGTGAACTAGATGGACTTTGGTCTTTTTTGTCCAGTATTTTTTATGTGTTTATGTTTATGGGTGAAACGCGGCAGTCAGTTACACACAGCAATGTCCCAAATGAAGCACTACATCTTCTGACAACACCCTGTCCATCCCATTATAAACTCAGGTTGCCAAGGTGTGTGAGTTTACTGAACAGTGACTATTCCTACCTGTAATGTGTCCCTTGGTATGTGTTACATTAGCCCTAAAGCTACGCAGAGCTTTTGTTTCGGAGAGAAGCATTTACTGAGTTAATGACTGAGCCATAAAGGAAATGGGCAAGCAGTCAGCCTTACCCAATTTAATTAGCTTAATAATATCCACCCAATTGTTTTCTCCCCGCTGACTAAACAAAACAGGTAGAAACCTCTAAGCTATTTACTGTCTGAATGTTCTAGTTGGTGAAGCTCAGCTAAAACCCTGCAGCACCGACAACGCACATTTACACAGCGCCCGTTACACAGGGCAGCGTCCCAGAGCGCTGGCCACTGGCGGAGGACAACACCGAGCCGGGGGGGGGGGAGGGGGGCAGTGACCGTAGCCATGGTCGAAGAGGAAGGATGGGGCACGGTGGAGTTGTGGGACACTTGGCTGCCGCGTTTCACCCACAGTCACTACACTTCGCAGTATATTGTGTGAAACGTTTTGAGATATCTCAATGTTGTGATAAGGCGCTGTAGCAAATGCAAGGATTATTATTATCATTATTATAAAATGGTCATTCAGTTCTCCGCACTCTGCCGTGCGCAATATGATTCTCACATTTGACTCCACTTGAACCATAATTACTATCACATGTACATTCGGAGTAAACAGCAAAGTCTTCAAACCTTCCTCAAGAAACTGGCCCTGAGGCAAAATTCCTCGTGCTGGTGAATGGCTTTGCTCACTGAGAGGTACCTGCAGATACAAGCTGCGGAGCGAGATGTCAGCCACCATCTGGTTTCTGTCAGTGACTCATTCCACCAGACACAAACCAATCAGTTTAAATAATCCTTGCGGTTGATACAGCGCCTTATCACGTTGTCGGGACGTCTCAAAGCGCTTCACAGGATGCGCCGTAAAATGAATCGACTGTGCATTTTGTGGGTGAAACGCGGCAGCCAATTGCGCACAGCAGCGTCCCACACACAGCCGTGGATCGAGCGGCCACATTACTATTATTATTTATTTTGAAGGGATTGTTACCGCTGGAGAGCGATCTGCTTTTGCTGATTTTTCATGTCACGAATGTTTGAGAAAAAAAAAAATCCTTAAAAATGTTGCTTTCGAAGGTGAACAAAAAGATTCCTAAACCACTTTCAAAATCACTGACTATTCTCACCGATGACATTTAAGAAGCAGATAATGTGCCACAATAAGTATTGAATAGGAAACTGAGTTCACTGAAATCTTCAAGGTCCTTCCCTAATTGAATAAATGTACCATATAATTTTTCTGACTGACCATATAATCTTTCCCAAACACAGTCAAGTCCTGACATATGGTTACATAACCCCAATCTTATTATCCCACTGAAAGGCATAAAAGCTTTGAATTGCCAATGCAATGTGAAAGGTAATGGGTTCAAGACATTTCCGTGACAGTGTAATATTGTGCTACATCATAGAATCATAGAATTATGCAGCACCGAAAGAGGCCATTCGGCCCATTGTGTCCGTGTTGGCTCTTCGAAAGAGCTGACCCAATTAATCCCACTCCCCCATAACCTTGCAAATCTTCCTCCCCGAATATCTATCTATAATATATATTTATTCATAATATATTATATTTATTATATATCATTTTTGTTACACCAGAGGTTTAAATTGAGGAATATTGAAAAATGTTGTCAACATTGGTGCCTCCCTGGCTCAGACAATAACAATAATAATAATAATAATCCTGGCATTTGATATAGCGCCGTATCACGTCGTCCAGACGTCTCAAAGCGCTTCACAGCATATACTGTAAATGTAGTGACTGTGTATTTTGCGGGCAGAACGCAGCACCCAATTGCGCACGGCAGAGTCCCACAAACCATCGTGGATTGAGTGACCAAATTATATTTTGAAAGGGATCATTATCCCCAGAAAAGCGATCTGCCAATCGACTAACAACCGGGTTCCTTCTCACTGCTGGTAAACAGGAGTGTGGAGTAAGGAAACTTGTCCATCGTTTCCCCGGCCCGGGAATCAAACCCGGGTCCTCTCGCTTGCGAGGCGAGGGCTCTAACCACTGAGCTACAGGACTCCACAAAATTAATTTGTGTGCAAGATTCACGAGTATGTGGTCTCTTCTCCTGAGCTCTGTTGTTATGCAGTAAAACTGAGAAAGTTTTAAAAGTAGTTTTGCAAAGTTCGGTCAGACCTTCTGAACACACTGAGCTGCAGCCACAGCTCTCCTGCGGCTGTATACGCTTTACCTGTCTGCCACCTCGTGGCGTGATTGCACCGTTGCTGTCCAGTTTATCCTTAACACTCACAACACACAAGAACTATATCAATAATAATCCTTGCAACTGCGCCTTTGAGACGTCTCAAAGCCTTCACAGGATATATTGTAAAGTGCAGCGACTCTGTATTTTGTGGGCGAAAAGCAGCAGCCAATTGCGCACAAGCAGCGTCCCACACAAACAGTCGTGGGTTGAGTGACCAAATGACTATTATTGTATGCATCCTACCTTTATTCAGGCAGGTTTACTCTGGGATGGTTTGCTGCGCAGCGCATTGTGAAGTGAATCTATCCTCAGTTTAATTGTGTTACTGTTTCAGAAACAGACAGAATAGTATCTCTTCAGGTTGGATGCCTTTTGCCCCAATGGGGTTTTATTTACGTCAGAAGAAATCTGCAAGTTGCTGATTATGCATTATTCTGAGCAGAATGTGCGGCATTCAATTTCTGGTTGTCAAGCAGTAACTCGCAGAAGGCAAGGACATTACCTCAAATAAATGTTCTTCCTGGTAATCTGCCAACTAGAATTTAATCAGATACAATAGGGCTCGGAAAATTACAACTTTGGTTCAGTATTGCAGATACTTAACTGGTTCGACTCCAGCAGTTACCCTAATGCACACTCTGGGCTCCCCTCCAAGCCTTGGCTCTTGCCAACCTGCGCCTAATACTCTCTGGAATTAGGTTGTGTCCCTCCGGGGAGAGAGAGAGAGCGCATTCCATTCGAACAGTCTCTCTCTGGGATTTCCATGTGTAGTTGGGATGTGGGGAGTTCTCAGTTTAGTTTGGATTCTCTTAAGTAACGGTGATGGGTTTCCACATGCCGTTGCTCACAGATGTAGTGAGTCTGAGGGATAGGGTAGGGAGATAAGGAAGTCAATAAGGTGAAAAGACGTTAGAATAACCTTTGCATTTGAATATAGCGCCTAATCGCGTCTCAAAGCACTTTGACAGGAGCCAAGTGGAACAGCTTCCATCTTGTCAACATTCAGCCGAAAAACACGTCAACCAAGAACAATTTTATCATATTTCAGCAAATCGCAAAAACATGACCTGGTGCTAACTGTATAACCTGCAGGTTCCAAAGCCAAGTGTATTGCAGTCACCTTTCTTTTTGTTGGGGGCTTAAAATGAAATGCAAAGAAAAAATAAAGTGCATACAACTTTATTAGGATAAGAACTCCACACGGAAGAAGTCAAGGTAGGAGGGAGGGTAGCATCTCAAGCAGGTCAGTTCAGCTGCGGCCTGTTCACTGCCTGGAGCTTTGTGGTGGAACCCACTGGTGAATCTTCTTGCGAGTGGTTGAGTAAGGTACGTACTGCCCTGCAGTGCCGCTCATATTGAACGTATGCGTCTCCCAGATAAACGGGCGGCTAACTGGCGGGTGGACACTGGGTGCATCATCGGTCATGTAATGGAGCCAGCGATGCCTGAGGTAACCAGAGAATATAAAAGCAGCTTAAAACCTTGGACACCAAGACGCCAGTTCAAAAAACTTCAAAACATTTCAACTGTATGTTTGCTCTTCTCTCGGCAACTTTCATACCAGTCGCAATACCTAACATCAGCAATGCACACACTGAGAGACAAGACTTCCTATTGTAACACACAAATACTAGGGACATAAATACCTCCCAAAGCCCTGACCAAGGTCCATCCAGTTCACCCTCCACCATCCAGGCAGTCACTTGCACAGGTCATGTCCCAGACTACATATGATCTTCATCCACACGTCACCTTAACACGTGATGGAGTGGGAGTTTTTTCCTTTCAAAATACTAAATCATCCACATGCAGAGTTTTACACAGCGACAGAAACAAACGGAATAGACTCGCGAGGTTTACCATTCTGGAGGAACCATAGAACCATCCAGATCCCAGTAGGTATTTTTTCCGTTCATCTCATTGGTGTATTCAACCCATCGATTTCTCCCTGAGATTGAATCACACAGTGAGTTCAGTGGAATATAACCAACAAACTATCTTTCACATAGTCACAAATCACAGACATACATATCAACATTTCCAGATTTAAACAGTACAATGTCAGATTATATTTATTAATGTTTTTAAAGTTTTTAATTAGGAAACTTTTAAAATATAACCAAACACTTATAATCTGTTTAGTATAGCATTCCTTAGCTGTTAGGGCATAGACAAGGCTGTGTTTGTAATGACTAACTTAGGGCCCCTGAGAGGGTACATGTGCCAATTAGCATTTGCAAAGGTAAAGATATATTGGTTTAACCCCGGCTGAGGTCAGGTTCTGATAACTTTCCCTCGTCCGGTGTGTGGGTCCCATGTCATTCTGCCATCTGAGACTTGAGTAATATTGTCCTTGAGCACAGATGTGAGAAACAAAGGCCTCAGAGAGAGGAGTGCACTCCTGGAAATCTGATAGCTCAAGACTAAGAAACAGGGAGATGGCAGAATGCTCCCAATCAGTTGGCCATATCTCTTTCTCCTTAACTGTAATTTTCCCATGCGGAGCGAGCCTACTCAACATGGCTAGCAGCCTGCGGAGGGTGTGGGCCCTCTCTCTGTGCCAAGGGGCGGTGGAGTTACAAACACATAAAAGATGTAACTTTGGAATAGTTGGGAGTTATCGAAGGAGGAACAGTTGTGAACAGCTGGAGGTCAGCAACTTCCCCAATGGAATCGGGTAATATCGGTTTCGTTGAATCTTACTGCTCTACTGAAGCGCTTTGAGACGTTTAGAAAACGTGAAAAGTGCTATATCAAATGCAAGGATTATTTTTATTATTAATGTAACTTAACAATATAATAATTGTACATGTTAAAGCATTAACCCTTGAATTGTGTATGATATCAAAAGATCTGTAATTCACACCAGCTGCATTGGGTAAAGTCTCCTCCTGGCAAACCTTACAACAGTTTGCAACACTGAATGGTGCTTTGAAGATTAATCACCATATATCTTGCTGAATTAATTTATTGGCTACTCCGTAGACTATTCAAACTCTACGTGTTTCATTAATTTTGTATTTTGTCTGACGCCAAGTTTTTTTTTGCTGGGTGTCTGACAGGTGCGGAAACCTGTCACCGTTGCTTAAGAATATCCAAACCAGACTGAGAATTCGAGGCATCCCACCTATACATGGAAATCCCAGAGAGAGATTGTTGGAATGGAATGCACCTCTCTCTCTCTCTCTCTCTCTCTCTGGAGGGATGCATCCATGTTGAGGTAATAATATTAATAATAATCCTTGCATTTGATACAGAGCCTTATCATGTCTTCAAGACACCTCAAAGCGCTTCGCAGGATACACTGTAAAGTGAATTTAGTGTATACTTTGGGGGTGAAACGTGGCAGTCAAATGCGCACAGCAGCGTCTCACAAACAGTCGTAGGATGAGTGACCAATTTTTTTTTAAGGAATTATTACCCCCGGAAAAGCGATCCAACAATCGACTAACAACCAGGTTACGACTTACAGCTGTTAAACAGAGGTGTGTGGAGTAAGGAAACTTGTCCATCGTTTCACCCTCCTGGGAATCAAACCCAGGTCTCTCATTGCAAGGCAAGTACTCTAACCACTGAGCTACAGGACTCCTGGAGTTCCTGCTATAGTTGTCTGGACTGTGGTTAGTTCAGTCAATATAGCTCCGAGCTCTCAATCTCAAATTTGGGGTTCAAGCCTCATGTTAGGTGATTCTTTGACTCTACCCTCTCGCTGCTGACTGGATGGGCCGGAGGGCTCGTTTCTGTCTGTAACTTTCTACAATTCTATCAGAACATCAGAATCATCGAACGACAAACTTTCTTTTGCAAAGTGACGTACACAACTTGATGGGACGGCCTGGGTTTTCTTCACTTTTAAAAAAAAAATCAATCAAAAGTTGACCTCAAAACCGTGTAAATTAGAAGTAATTTGTTTCTGAAATGATGGAACATTTAAGCGCCATCCAGAGAAAGAAAGAGAGAGAGAGAGAGAGAGAGAAAGGAGGGAGGGAGGGAGGAAGATGATATTACAACACTTGTCTAACAACAACTTGCTTTTATATAGTGACCTTCACACACGCAGAGACTAATCACATTTTAAATGTGCTTTTAAATTTTAATCATAACACATTAATCATTAATCAAACCCAACCCAGAACCAAGGACTTGCCAACCAAGAACAACAACAACAACAAATGACATTTACACAGCATTGATACAGCACCTTTCACGTCGGGAGGACGTCCCATGACACCGGACAGTCAGATAATTCCGTCAAATTAAATCAGTTGCTAAACGCAATGAGTCGGCAGGCGTTTGTTAAACAAATATGAAGTAATTTGTCAGTGAACACCAATGCCCAGTACTTGCCCCAAAATAATAATATGCAAAACCACATCTAAATGCTATACTGTGTACAGAGTCTCACCGACATGCAAATCAGTGCTTTAACCAATATGTCAACTGTTGTATCTTTAAACCAGCCCAATTTTTTTCAAGACTATTTTACTCCAACACAGTCTGCTACAGATTAATAAAAAAATATCAGGTATACACAAACCGAGAACAGGCTTTGTCCATACCAAATCACACACATCTGCTCTGCAAAAAAAACGTGTGCAGTCCTAACAGAACCAGAGGAGGTTCAGTGCTTCAGTGCTGTAAAGATTGCGTTCCTCCCTCAGGTCAACCCAACGTGTTGGAGGATTGTGTCATTCCAGTCAGAACCTACAAAACTGATGGTGATTAGTATTCCTGTCCTGTCTCTCGCCCTCGCGCTCTCCGCCGCCACACCACCAAACTCTGGGGCCCTCCCCCTCGCCTCCCTCCCTCCCTCGCCTGCCTCCCTCGCCTCGCTCCCTCCTTCCCTCGCTCCCTCCCCATCTTCAGGTCAAGCTTGAAGACCTTACTCTTCGACCGTGGCTACGGTCCCCCCCCTCCCCCCCCGGCTCGGTGTCGCGCTCTGGGGGACGCTGCCCTGCGAGTTGTTGTTGTTGTTGTTGTGGGGGGGGGGTACTGCCGGCGCTGAACCCGAACGGCAACAAACTGCAAAGTACGGCAAACGTGAGACACTCACCGAAGAAATAGCGCTGGTTTTCAAAGTACCGGTTCCCGGACTTGTCTTCGCCAACGAGTGTCCCGGTTTTCAGGTCACTGACTCTACAACAACAACAACACATTAACACAGACTGAATAAACAACAACAACAGCAACAACAGCAACCTCGGGGTTCCCCTCGACCCTGAGCCGTCCTTTCTCCCTCATATACGCACCACAACCGGCACCGCCTTCCACCACCTCCGGGACATGGCCACTACCTCACCCCTCACCCCCACCCCTCACCCTCACCCCTCACCCCCACCCCTCCCCCTCACCCCTCACCCCTCACGCGGCTGAAACTCTGGTCCACGCCTTTATCCCCTCAAGGCCGGACTATGGGACCTCTCTCCTCGTCGGCCTTCCCGGCCCTCCCTCCACACTGCAGGTCATTCAGAACTCTGCAGCTCGTGTACTGTCCCGCACCAGACACCGCGACCACATCACTCCCACCCTCACCCTCACCCTCGCCCTCACCCTCGCCCTCACCCTCACCCTCGCCCTCACCCTCGCCCTCGCCCTCGCCCTCGCCCTCGCCCTCGCCCTCGCCCTCGCCCTCGCCCTCGCCCTCGCCCTCGCCCTCGCCCTCGCCCTCACCCTCACCCTCACCCTCACCCTCGCCCTCGCTCTCGCCCTCACCCTCACCCTCGCCCTCGCCCTCACCCTCACCCTCACCCTCGCCCTCGCTCTCGCCCTCACCCTCGCCCTCGCTCTCGCCCTCACCCTCACCCTCGCCCTCGCCCTCACCCTCGCCCTCGCTCTCGCCCTCACCCTCACCCTCGCCCTCACCCTCGCCCTCGCCCTCACCCTCACCCTCGCCCTCACCCTCGCCCACACCCTCGCCCTCGCTCTCGCCCTCACCCTCACCCGCGCCCTCACCCTCACTCCCACCCTCACCCTCGCCCTCCCCCTCGCCCTCACCCTCCCCCTCACCCTCGCTCCCACCCTCGCCCTCACCCCCACCCTCACCCTCACCCTCGCCCTCGCTCTCGCCCTCACCCGCGCCCTCACCCTCACTCCCACCCTCGCCCTCGCCCTCACCCTCGCCCTCACTCCCACCCTCGCCCTCACCCCCACCCTCGCCCTCGCTCCCTCCCACCCTCGCCCTCGCTCCCACCCTCGCCCTCGCTCCCACCCTCGCCCTCGCTCCCACCCTCGCCCTCACCCTCGCCCTCACTCCCACCCTCACCCCCACCCTCACCTTCGCCCTCACCCTCCCCCTCGCCCTCGCTCCCATCCTCGCCCTCGCTCCCACCCTCACCCTCGCCCTCACCCCCACCCTCGCCCTCACCCTCCCCTCGCCCTCACCCCACCCTCACCCTCGCCCTCGCCCTCACTCCCCTCCACTGCTCCCCATCCCCCAGAGGATCGAATTCAAGATCCTCGTCCTCACCTACACGGCCATTCCCGGCCTCGCTCCCTCCTCCCTCTCTGACCTACTATCCCCCCACGTACCCCCCGTACCCCTCCGTCTCCGGTCGGCCCCCCATCCCCCGCCCCAACCGCCCGACCATCGGTGGCCTTCAGCCTCTTTCCCCCCTCCTCGCCCCCTCCCTCCCCTCACCCTGACCCCGGGGGCCGATGGCCGGTTGGTTCAGGGGTAAACCTCTGGAGCCCCACAGTCCGGAGGAAACCTCTCGCGCCTCAGAGGTCAATAATTCCGTCACAAAATAAATAATAATAATCTGATGACAGCGAACACCACACACAGTCACTACACTCTGCGGCATATCCTGTGAAGCGCTTTTGAGACGTCCGTTCACGGTGTGTGTCACAGTTTGTGTCTCGGTGTGTGGGTGTGTGTGGGTGTGTGTCACGGTGTGTGGGTGTGTGTCACGGTGTGTGTGTGGGTGTGTGTCACGGTGTGTGTGTGGGTGTGTGTCACGGTGTGTGTGTGGGTGTGTGTCACGGTGTGTGTGGGTGTGTGTGGGTGTGTGTCTCGGTGTGTGTGTGGGTGTGTGTCACGGTGTGTGTGTGGGTGTGTGTCACGGTGTGTGTGTGGGTGTGTGTCACGGTGTGTGTGTGGGTGTGTGTCACGGTGTGTGTGTGGGTGTGTGTCACGGTGTGTGTGGGTGTGTGTGGGTGTGTGTCTCGGTGTGTGTGGGTGTGTGTCACGGTGTGTGGGTGTGTGTCACGGTGTGTGTGTGGGTGTGTGTCCCGGTGTGTGTGGGTGTGTGTCACGGTGTGTGGGTGTGTGTGGGTGTGTGTCACGGTGTGTGTGTGGGTGTGTGTCACGGTGTGTGTGTGGGTGTGTGTCACGGTGTGTGTGGGTGTGTGTGGGTGTGTGTCACGGTGTGTGGGTGTGTGTCACGGTGTGTGTGTGGGTGTGTGTCCCGGTGTGTGTGGGTGTGTGTCACGGTGTGTGGGTGTGTGGGTGTGTGTCACGGTGTGTGTGTGGGTGTGTGTCACGGTGTGTGTGTGGGTGTGTGTCACGGTGTGTGTGGGTGTGTGTCACGGTGTGTGGGTGTGTGTCACGGTGTGTGTGTGGGTGTGTGTCACGGTGTGTGTCACGGTGTGTGTCCCCCCCCCCCGGTGCTGCTCGGCTCCCCCTCACCTCAGGATCTGCCAGAAGGAGCCGCGGAGGCCTCCGTGCGCGCGGACCTGCCCGAGGGCCCGAGTCACACAGCGCAGCACATCCGCCATCTCCGCTCCGTGTGCGGCACCACTCGCCGCCCCGCGGCCCCGCCCCCCGCCACCAGGGGGCGCCCGCCACCCCGGCCCCGCCCCCCGGCCCCGCCCCCAGGGGGCACCGCCACCCCGGCCCCGCCCCCCGGGGCACCGTCACCCCGGCCCCGCCCCCCGGCCCGCGCCACCAGGGGCGCCGTCACCCGGCCCCGCCCCCCAGGGGGCGCCCGTCACCCCGGCCCCGCCCCCAGGGGGCACCGTCACCCCGGCCCCGCCCCCCAGGGGCACCGTCACCCCGGCCCCGCCCCTTCCGCCCTCTCGCCCCTCCCTCTCCCTCCTTCCACTCACCCTAGCCCCTCCCTCTCCCTCCTTCCACTCACCCTAGCCCCTCCCTCTAGCCCCGCCCCTCTCTCTAGCCCCTCCCCTCTCTCTAGCCCCTCCCCCTCTCTCTAGCCCCTCCCCCTCTCTCTAGCCCCTCCCCTCTCTCTGGCCCCTCCCCTCTCTAGCCCCTCCCCTCCCCCTCTCTATAGATGCTGCCTGACCTCCTGAGTGTTCCCGGCGCTGAGTCTATAATCGCACAGTGATGGTCGGAGTTTTCCTCCCACACGTGGCCGGGAATTTTGGGCTGTGGAGGGGTGTGCGGTACATTACCTCGGCTGGTGGGTAAACAACAACAACTTGCACATATATATATATATATATATATAGAGAGAGAGAGAGAGTGCCCTCTGCACAGGATAGCGCTTCAGAGCGCTTGAGACGCTGTAAACCTCGAGAGGAAAGGCAGCCGCGTCACACACTGCGACCAATTCTGGGTCAGCGCCGACTGCTCAAATTACAATATTTAGTGTTTTTCAAACCCAATTAGACCCGGAGTCCTGCAGCTCAGGGGGTGGACACTCACCTCACAGGCGAGAGGACCTGTGTTCGATTCCCGGCCGGAGGAACCCTGGGCAAGTTTCCTTACTCCGCACGCCTGATGATAATCCCTCAAGAAAAAATAATAATTTGGTCACTCGCTCCCCGGCTGTGTGTGGGGTCACTGCTGTGCACAATCGGCCGCCGCGTTTCACCCACAAACATACAGTCAATTCACTTTACAGTGTATCCTGTGAAGCGCTTTGAGACGTCTCGAAGACGTGATAAGGCGCTGTATCAAATGCCGAGATTATTATTATTATTATTATTATGTTCAGGTAATTATATACCCAATAGTTTTACTCAGGACTGTTTCACTTTTTAGGTTATACAATACAAAAATGTCCAAAGGTTTTTCGCAAATCCCGTGAGGAAGCCACGAGGCAGCAGATCCCACTCTCCGTCTGTCCCTCAGAGAGGAGTGTATTCTCTCCGGATGATCTTATGACGAAGGGCAGGTGTTGGGCTGTGTTTCCTGTCACACAGTGGGACCGTGTTCACAAGTACATCATTGATGAGCACATGGAATATCAGAAACCTTGTGAACCGAGGCAGCGGCAATAAAGGGAAAAAAAAATGCAGGTAAAAGACATTTGATATTTTGATAGTCAATGAAAATGTATCATTATTTGCTTTCACTGTGAAAGAAAATCTTAATTTAAATGATTACAAAAGTTAAATCTCCCTCCTTTATTGATTGAATTTTGAAAGCACATGAAACAACCAACAGCCCAACGGAAACAAATGGACAGAACATTTCCAACAGCGAATGCATCACGCAGGTTTATTTTTATTTTTTTGTTTTCTAGGTGGATCGGGACCTCAAAGACAACTCGCTCCGACAACCTGCTACTGCGTCATGTGTGGAAAGAATTCATGTTGGACCTTGTGCGGTGTTTGACTGGAGCAGACGGACCGCTTGAAACAGCCCCTGCCTTCCAAGAGCTTCCACGCAAGTACACGAAACAGGGAGGGATCACCCAACACCATCACAGCTTCGTAATACATACTTGAAGGAGCTTATTAAAAAGAGAAAAAAAAAAATTAGGTTCGCAGCAAAATGCCATCTCCCAATAGCATCAATTAACTCCAGAACCTCCCCCCGGAAATTCTCCGCAATTTTTTGGCCAAATAGTTCCGCACTTTTCCATTGGCCCAAGGCGATGGCCAATGTTTCCGGTCCTGCTAACAGAATAAATGTTCCTGCTCTGCGGCATAAATCAATCAGAAAATCTAATAGTGATCCTTGCAAATAACAAAAATGATAACGTGGTCACTCAATCCAGGACTCTTTGTGGGACATCACTACGACCAATTGACTGCCACATTTCACCCACAAAATATAGTCAATTCCCTTTACGGTATATGCTGTGAAGTGCATTGAGACATCTCAAAGACGTGATAGGGCGCGACAGCAAATGCAAGTGTTATTATTCCAACAACTACAGCGCCCTCCACGCAGGGCAGCGTCTCAGAGCTTAACAGTGAATATTATTATTCACACGGCTATCTGAAAAGCATATATTAGCAGCTTCGCAATGAAGTTGTTTTTACTGCGAGAACTTCACATTAAAAAAAAGGGAGTTTAGGGATAAAAAAACAAAAACAAATGGGCTTCAACAAGATCTCAAAAGTTTGTTTCATGTAGGAATACAGAATTCCCGAGTACATTTTATTCGTTGGATGCACACAATATAAATAATAATCCTTTAAATCTGCTGTAGCTAATTGCAAATATTTACTGTTGTCTTAAGTCTTAGAAATGTCTAACAAAATACAGAAATACCAGTTTTAGTTCAGTAGCAAGTGTCCTCATCATATATAAATACACACAACTCACTTTTTGTTGCTGTTGTTTTAATACTCAAGAACCTTATTGCAATTGTCCTAATATGGAGCTATGTACAAACAAGTAAAACATCACAAATTTTCTGTTTTCTTTTTCCTAATAAAATCAGTTACAATCTGTTCTTTAAAAAAATACAGTCAAAATAGAATTTACACTTGTCTGATTTCAAGACATATTTTACAGGAGTATTTATACAAAACAACACACTGGGGAAAAGTCTGAAACAGGTTGACGGTATCCAGGTTAAGCAACTCAAGTGTATAAAGGGCTACAAGTATTTCGCCCACAAAATATCCAGTCAATTTATTTTACAGTATATCCTGTGATGCACTGCGAGACGTCTTGAAAACGTGATAAGGCGCTATATCAAATGCAAGGATTATTATTATTATTAGATATGGAATGCAAAGCAGTTTCAAACTGTACAACACAAACATTGTCCAAAAGGTTAGACTTCTACCTGACTGTACAATAATGTGTAATGTACAGCAAGTGACACTTGGATCATACCGCACTGGAGAAGACAATTTTAATACTTGCTACAACCCAAACAGGAAAAAAAACCTCACAACAGCAGCTAATTCTTACGAGACGAAATATAATCAGTTGCTGCTCCGTGTTGGTTGATTTCCAAATAATGATATTTGGGAACTTCTAATCAGTTCACGGTTAAGGAATCAAGTTGTCAAATTTAAGCCATCAATGTTCTCTCCCTTCACCACTGACTCCCTCCCCTTACAACAAAGTGCACATCTAAATGTATAGGTCAGCAATTCATTCATGAAGGATCTGGAATTCGTTCCAAAATGACTGCTTTGATAAGAATTTGGTCACTCAATCCAGGACTGTTTGTTGGACACTGCTGTGTGCAATTGGTTGCCGCATTTTACCCACAAAATATAGTCACTAACCTTTACAGTATATTGTGGGAAGCATTTTGAGACATTTCAAAGACCTGATAAGGCGCTATATCAAATGCAAGGATTTTTATTATTCAATTATGTATGTACACTGTCAGGGAGAAGTCTTACTATTTATTTAAAAAAATCATGCAGAGACCAGATTATTCTAGAGATGAGTTTGGTTGACAGAATCAGACACAAAGTGTTGTTTTTTTTTAATTATAAATTTTCTTTTATACAAAATAATCAATTTAAGTTACCCTGCAATAGCTCTTGAGAAAACGAGCAGGAATCAGACATTTGTGCAATTCTGATACCAGTTTCCGTTTTATTCTCCTGAAAAATAAGAGCATCTTTCATTCCCTTTCCTGTACCCTCAAAACAGGAAATAAGCCACAAAAAAAAACTTGGTCTGATGAAATCCGTAGCAGATACAGATTACGAATTCAAATTTGGAAATTCAGATTTCACCCGCAAAATATAGTCAATTCACTTTTAAGTATATTCTGTAAAGCCTTTGAGATGTCTTGAAGACATGATAAGGCGTTATATCAAATGCAAGGATTATTATTATTACTAAATGAAAAATGTTTCCTTTGAATGGAGACGGTGACATTTTGGTAGGTAAAACTCTCTCGTTTCACCAAACATCAGGCTACTTCATCTCAAGTTAAAAACTAATATTTTCTGAGCTTCATTAGGACATTTTGAAAAGTTAAATACAGTACAATAAATCATAATTAGTTTGTAAAATGCGCGTTTGCTAATATTGCTCTGTACGTCAAATATTCTGTAACAAACTGTGTTCATTATAGTGCAGAAACATTACTGAAATCCAAATATAATCCACCCAATCAATATATATATTTTTTTGAAGCATCTCAATTTGTAGTTAAATGAGTTATTGGTCACTGATGGTTTCAGTAGGACGAAAAAAAACAATCTCTTCTCCCATCACCACCCCCCCCACCCCCACACCCCTCCCTCGCTAAACCATTTGTGTATTAAAATGAATTTGCAGCACGTTAAAAGGTTTAAAAATGATACAGAATTGGAATAAAACATTGCAATGTTCACGGTTCTCTTGATAGCTATCAAAGTGCTACAGTATTTTTCACCCGGCTGTTTTTAATCTAATTTTGAGCCAATGTATATTATCTTATTAGCACTTGTTTGCGAAGGGCTCAAGTTCAAAACTGTACCCAGGAGGGTATTCTAGTCGGGCACCAGTACAGATTGCTAGAAATAAATCACTGTCGTTGCTGAGTTACAAATGGAAACTTAAAATCTAGATTGACTGATTTTCTGCATCTGTAACATACTGTAACATACGTGGAGTCCTGTAGCTCAGTGGTTGGAGCACTCGCCTCGCAAGCGAGAGGACCTGAGTGCGAATCCCGCCTGGGCAAACCGCTGCGCAAGTTTCCTCACTCCACACGCCTGTTTACCCAGCAGTAAGTGGGAACCTGGTTGTTAATCAATTGGCGGATCGCTTTTCCGGGAACAATTCCTTCAAAAAATAATAATAAATTGGTCACTTCAATTCACAACTGTTTGTGAGACACTGCTGTGATCAATTGGATGCTGCGTTTCACCTACAAAGTACAGTCAATTCAATTTACAGTTAAAGACGTGATAAGGCGCTATATCAAATGCAGGTATTATTACTATTATACTCTGGGGTGGGAGCGACTAAAACAAGGTTCGCCACCCGATCTGCTCTTCCTATGTTCGTGCTTTGTAAAAGCAGAACATACAGACCGTGCCTTAAGAACAAATGATATATACAGCATTTATACAGCACCTTTCACGTCGGGAGGACGTCCCATGACACTGGACAGTCAGATAATTCCGTCAAATTAAATCAGTTGCTAAACGCAATGAGTCGGCAGGCGTTTGTTAAACAAATATGAAGTAATTTGTCAGTGAACACCAATGCCCAGTACTTGCCCCAAAATAATAATATGCAAAACCACATCTAAATGCTATACTGTGTACAGAGTCTCACCGACATGCAAATCAGTGCTTTAACCAATATGTCAACTGTTGTATCTTTAAACCAGCCCAATTTTTTTCAAGACTATTTTACTCCAACACAGTCTGCTACAGATTAATAAAAAAATATCAGGTATACACAAACCGAGAACAGGCTTTGTCCATACCAAATCACACACATCTGCTCTGCAAAAAAAACGTGTGCAGTCCTAACAGAACAATTAGAAAAAGGAAAGGTTCTTTCATAGTCACTATTTTATTACAAAAGTGTTCTTGAGCACAATTCGTCACTGAAAAATATTCAGTCTTCTCTCCTCAAATTGTTTTCTCCTCTCCGTTTGCAAGGATTATTCCTCATCATATCTTTTGTAGATGTGTTCAGATAACAACTTGTTGCTCGTCCCTCACAAAGCCACGATGAACAAGATTTGCGCAGGTCGTGAGATATTGCTGAGGCGAGAGATCACACTGCAGAGCCTGTAATCTGGCTGTTGTATTCCGCTGTTTCCATTCGCAATATATAGGGGATTATACTGTCGATCTGAACGTTTCCTATTAGTCCTGCAAAGAACAGTTCTTCTGTGATGGCACTACTCATAAGCCGTAAAGCAGGCAATCTGAGAAGGAGCCTAGACAACCTGCAAAAGATACAATCAAGATTATTTATAACAAAGCCCTAGTTACAATCAACACAAAACCTGCCATTTTTTAACATTATATTGAGGCATTCTATTCAGATTTACAAGGAGGTAATAATAATAATAATAATAATAATCCTTGCATTTGATATAGCGCTTTTCACGTCAGGAGGACGTCCCAAAGCGCTTCACAGAACACACTGTAAAGTGAATTGACTGTATATTTGTGGGCGAACGCGGCAGCCAATTGCGCACAGCAATGTCCCACAAACAGTCATGGATGGAAAATGACCAATTTATTATTGTTTTTTGTTTTGGAGGGATTATTATTAGGCTCTGTGTGGAGTAAGGAAACTTGCCCAAGGTTTCGCCCTGACTGGAATTGAACTCAGGTCTCTCACTTGCAAAGCGAGTGCTCTAACCACTGAGCTACAGGACTCCACGTAAGTGAAGAAAAGCATTAATATTAATAATAATCCTTGCATTTGATGTAGCCCCTTATTACAATGTTGAGACGTCTCAAATGCTTCACAGAATATACTGCAAAGTGAATTGACTATACTTTGTGGGTGAAACATAGCAGCCAATCGCATACAGCAGTGTCTTACAAACAGTTATGGATTGATTGAGTGATTAAATTATTATTTTTAATTATTTATTTTATTACGCCTGGAAAAGTGATCTGCCAATTGACTAACAACCAGTTTCCTAATTACTGCTAGATGTTTGGAGTAGGAAAACTTGCTTAGGGTTTCGCCCTGCTCAGGAATCGAACCCAGGTCCTCTCGCTTGCGAAGCAAGTGCTCCAACCACTGAACTACAGGACTCACTTTTACAAGGAGATAAGTGAAGAAAAGCATTATTAACAATAAACATGTTGTAAAGAGAGTTACTCTGCCCGATAAGACAGGAATTTCCAGTTATCAATCTGCTGGAAGTCAAAGACCTAATAGAATTAGGAAATAAAGATTTACGTTTACCTGTAAGAATCATCTGGATATGATTTCGCTTCATAATCCTGAAGTTCCATGTATGCCTTTTCTTGAAATTTATCAATCTGTGCAGCGTTAATTAGTCCGGGGTGATCTGAGGAAACAACAAAAACAAGACAACTTGTGTATAATAATCCTTGCATTTGATATAGCACTTTATCACATCTTCGAGACGTCTCAAAGCGCTTCACAGAATATACTGTAAAGTGTAGTGACCGTGTGTTTTGTGGGTGAAACGAGGCAGCCAATTGCGCACAGCAGTGTCCCACAAACGGTCGTGGATTGAGCGACCCATTTTTAAATTTATGTTTATCACGGTAATAAATGGTACTCAATTTTTTTTAAAACTTCAGGAGCAACTTTTAACACCATACACATTATTGCTTGTGCTGTAAACTTAGTTGACTTGTGACTTACCTGGGCTAAACAGAACGATTGCCTTCAGGTATGCATATTCGTATCCATCCAGAGATAACTTAGCCATGCTGTTGGAGAACTCCTGCAGCTTCCAGATATGCTCCATTACTATTTTCGCTCTGTCCGCCGACAACTTATCTGTTAAGAAAGATGGCGAAGCATAAAAATCTTTGCATTTGATATAGCGCCTTATCATCACGTCGTCGAGACGTTTCAAAGCGCTTCACAGAATATACTGTAAAGGGTAGTGACTGTGTATTTTGTGGGCCAAACATGGCAGCCAATTGCTCATAGCTGTGTCCCACAAACAGTCATGGATTGAGTCACCAAATTATTATTATTATTTTTAGAGGAATTATCCCCCGAAAAGCAATCCATCCACCAATCGACTAACAACTGGGTTCCTACTTACTGCTAGTAAACAGAGAAGCGCGTGGAGTAAGGAAACTTCACCCCGCCTGGAAATCAAACCCAGGTCCTCTCGCTTGTGAGGTGAGTACTCTAACCACTGAGCTACAGGACTCCACGAGGGAATGCTAGCAACACCAATGAGCCACATCATCTTCCAATGAAGTTTTTCAGTACTAACTCTTACCTTGTTGAAGGCTTGTTTGCAAATGGTTAACAATCGCTGTGAGGATGGTGGATAAATTCATCACTTGGGAACACTGGGCCAGACCGAGTGTGAAGAGTTCATTCCAACAAGCTCTTACCAAGGCTGTGTTATTATCTGACCTGAGAAAAGAGAAAAGCACTGTGTTGATGCTGAAGGTTGACTCAGACAACCATTTCCTACCATACATAGCAATGTTCTGTGACCACTTTCGCTCTGTCTGCTGACAATTTATTTGTTAAGACAGCAAAACATAATAATAAACCTTGCATTTGATATAGCGCCTTATCGTATCTTTGAGACGTCCCAAAGTGCTTCACAGAATATACCGTAAAGTGAATTTCGCCCAGCTGGGGAATCGAACCCAGGTCCTCTCATTCGAGAGGATCTAACCATATCTGAGATAAAGCACCGAATACTAAATCGCCCACAAATACAGTCAATTCACTTTACAGTGTATCCTGTGAAGCGTTTTGAGACGTCTCGAAGATGTGATATGGCGCTGTATTGAATGTAAGGATTATTATTAATACAAGCACATCGAGCTCTTTAGTCTTAACTGTCAAAACAGCAAATTGAAATTGAAGATTAAAATAAATCACATACCCGAGCGCCTGGAAGGCTGGAATCGACCTTGACCAGTGCATAGAGAGAAACAATAATCTGCTTGCCGATTCACAGATATAGTGCACATTCAAGTATTCTGGCATGGGTGATGGCATGGTTAGCTGTAGGTGTGAGGGAAAAAGGAGGCGTTCAATATCAAAACAGGAATTGATTTCCAGTCCAACAAACAACAACAACAAATTTACATTTGTACAGCAAAAGACAAAATAATGCAGAGGCTGGAAATCTGAAATGAAAATACTGACGAGTTTGTCCAGTTCTGATGAAAGGTCAACGACCTGAAACGTGAATCCACTTTCCTCTCTCCATAGATGCTGCCTGACCTGCTGAGTGTTCCCAGCCACTTCTGTTTTTATTTCCAAAGTTTATATAATCTCATTAAAATTAAATAATGCAAAAGAGCAAACCTTGAAAGCAACATGCACATCACTGAGGATCGGCACCTCAATCTCTACTATACGCAGGACTGGTTCCCCGCTAATCAGCTGTATGTTGGTGCCTGATGTATCCATACAATCTGCAGAGTTCTGAACAGCTGATCCATCCACTGGATTTAGTGCCTTGGCCAGTGTATCAAATGCTCTAAGAGGAAAAGAAATAGAGAAGCAACACAATCAGAAAACATCACCAACAACTCACATTTACACAGCACCCCTCACACAGGGCAGCGTCCCAGAGCGCTGGACAGTGGTGGAGCACGACTCCGAGCCGGGGGTGGGGGGGAACAGGGGACCATAGCCACGGACGAAGAGGAAGGTCTTCAAGCCCGATCTGAAGATGGGGAAGGAAGGGGCAAGACGGAAGGATTGAGGGAGTGTTCCAGAGTTTTGGGTGCAGCGGCGTAAAGCAAGGCCTATGGTGGAATGGAGGGCATGAGGGAAAAGCAGGAGGCCAGACGGAGTCAGTCGAGCGGAGGCAGCAGATAGTGGGTTGGAGAGTAAGGCAGAAAACCTAAGAGTCACTCCAAGGTGGTATATTTGTTTGCTACAGATTAAGGATAGTTCATTTAGATTTCACCAAGAGTGAAGAGGATTCAAAAACACACAAATGCCAGCACCTTGGGACATAGGAGGCGCTATACAAATGTAATTTTGTATTGTATAAACTATAAACTGTCTGAAGAAAACAACGGAATTTGCATGGTTTCGTTAAAATTTACCAAACTATAAATTTACTTAAAATGTACCGTACAGAAATAGGCAATTCAACCCAACTAATCTGTGCATATGTTTATACTCCACACGAGTCCGATAATAATAATCTTTGCATTTGATATAGCCCCTTATCACATCGTTGAGACAGCTCAAAGCGATTCACAGAGTATACTGTAAAGTGGAATGACTGTGCATTTTATACGTATATTGTATACAGATTGGTGGATAGCTTTTTAGGGGTAATAATCCCTTCCAAGAATAATAATACAACAAATTTACATTTGTATAGCGCCTTTCACGTCGGGAAGACAAAATAATAATTTGGTCTCTCAATCCACGGTTGTTTGTGGGACGCTGCTGTGCATAATTGACAGCCACGTTTCGCCCACAAAATATACAGTCAGTTCACTTTAGAGTACATCCTGTGAAGTGCTTTGAGACGTCTATGATAAGACACTCTTATCAAATGCAAGGATTATTATTATAATAATTGTGGGCGAGATGAAACGTTAGAAAACAGAATTGTACAAAAGCAGTTTCAACTAATTCACGACTGTTCAAATTGAATACAAGCATGACTTGCAAAGTGGGTGTAAATTACCTCGTAATGACACTCGCAGACTGATCATCTTGTTGCATTTCTGATAAAGAAGCGTCTCCATTACTCAAGGTCTCGACAGCTGATAGATCGGCGCTGCTTTGGGACAGGTCCTTTGATTTGCTCAGGGTCGCTAGTGACGTGACCACATTTGCAAGCGTACTTAAATCACCTTGACACGTTTCCACCTGAAACGAATAGGGCTGGTGAGATCAAGATTAGTGGGCTGGGTTAGCCATAAGGTCGACCACAAAAAACGCTGTATTTCAGAGCAGTAAATGACCACATCTCACCTTGATGTCAGACGATAGTAACATAGTGTTTTCGGTCTCCAATAGTGGCTGCTGTATATTCACCAACATTCCTGACTCCAAAAGTCCCACTGGTCTATCAATGCAAACAAAACATAACCGAAAGCTTTTTCATTTCTGAAATAAACCTTTTCAGAATCTATTCCCCTTTGAGACCCAATAAGGGAATAATGTAAAAAAAGGCAAAATACTGTAGATGCTGGAAATCTGAAATAAAAACAGAAATTGACGGGAACAAGAGGGAATGGGGGGGGACTCAGATTTCCAGCATCTACAGTATTTTGCCTTTTTTTTACATTATTCCTTTATTGGATTATAAGGACAAGCAAGGAGAAACAAAGACAAAGGAAATAATGAGATAGAGGACAGAAGATGACAAGATCAGAGGTGTTGATGGTGCAAGACAAAAGAAGGCAATAATGGGAGGTTACAAAAAGAAAAGATCCATCACCAATCACCATTTTATCCCCCTTAACTCCTCAATCTCTCTCCCCACCACCACCCAACGCACCTCCATCTCCTACCACCCCTGGAAAAGAATCTCCTCACCCCTCTCACTCCGCTGCCCTGGAGTCATCTGAACTCCTCCCCCTCTGGCCTACCTCCCGCACCGACTTATCCTCCTCAGTCACTCTCCTCCACAACTCCCTCTCTCACCATTCTTGATGCCTTAGCCCTTCATCTCCTATTCACGAACGTCACTCACGCTGGTACATCAGTCACCTTCACTGTTGTTTATTATTACTTTAGTTATATTTGAAGAGATTATGGAAAGCGATCACCAATCGACTAACAACTGGGTTCCTATTTATTGCTAGGTATACAGAGTAAGGAAACATGCCTAAGGTTTCGCCCTGCCCGGGAAAACACTGGATAGTTTTGACAATAGACAAGCAATGTAATACCTTGCACTTTCCTTGTCTGTTACGAAGGTGGGGGTTGCTGCTAAAGGGCTTCGCAGGTCCTTCCTGATGTAAATCTTTTCAGTTGAAGCCGCGCAGTTTGCAGATTTTTCCCGGGAAACTTCTACTGGCTTTCGTTCACATTGAACAGCTATTAAACAGCAAAGAGAGGCACGAGCATTTAATATTTTTGATATCGTAAAGTCCTGTAGTGTATTAAGTAGGAACCTGTTTTTTAGTCGATTGGCAGATTGCTTTCTGGAGGTAATAATGCCTCCAAAAAAGTTAATTAAGATAATAATTTGATCACTCAATCCACCACTGTTTGTGGGACACAGCTGTAAGCAAATGGCTGCAGGGTTTCACCCACAAAATATATAGTCAATTAACTTTACAGTATATTCTGTGGAGCGCTTTGAGATGTCTCAATGACATAAGGCACTATATCAAATTAAAGGATTATAACTTTTTAAGCTTTTTAAGGTACTGAATTTGTAATAAAAGAAAATGGACACTCAGTTCTTGACTTACAATCCTGTTTCATTCCCAAAACCAAGCACCTCTGAAGTCGACAGTACTGGCAGCGGTTTCTGTGGTGTTTGTTAATGACGCAATCCTTTGATCCCCTGCACACATATACCAAGTTCTTCCTTATACTTCTTTTAAAGAATCCTTTGCAACCTTCACAGCTCACTGCCCCATAGTGACGTCCTAATGGGTGGGGGGGGAAATGGCATGATTATTAAAATCCATTGTCTGTTTACCAAGTCACCAAAAACCCAAGACAGACATCTACCGATCAACCAAAAATGTCTACAACATGCAAAGTCAACCTCAGGAAACCGTACTGGAGTCCCATAGCATAGTAGTTAGAGCATTCACCTCGCAAGCGAAAGGACCTGGGTTCAATTCCCGGGCAGGGCAAAACCTTAGGTAAGTTTCCTTACTCCACACGTCTCTGTTTACCCGGCAGTAAGCAGGAAACCGGTTGTCAGTCGATTGGCGGATCGCTTTCCGGGGGGTAATAATCCCGCCAAAAAATAATAATATTGTCACTTTGAGACATGTTGAAGATGTAATAAGGCACAATATCAAAGACTCGATTTTGACATTCCATTGCCAGGCATGTCAACTTGGAGCCAGTTCAGCTCCAAGGAGACCACCTTACCTCCCTCAGCGTAATGGAAAGTAAACTCAAACTCGTTGTTAAGATTATATATGATTGAGATTATTATAAGCAGATTCTTACCTGAAGCCCTGTCCCCACACACCACACAAAGCTCTAGTGCTGGTTTCACTGGGCTTTGCTCTGCTGAAGTAGCATCTGTTACAATCTGCACAGAAGTAAGACATCAACCAATAGATTGGGTCAATAGATGTGAAAACATTACAATTCACTTTATCTTCTTTCGTCTATAATTCTTATGTTCTTATGATATTTTGATTTGATTACAATGTACATGTAGTTTTAAATTTATAAGGGTTACATAGGAACAGGAGGCCATTCAGCCCCTCATTCCTGTTCCGCCATTCTATAAGATCATGGCTGATCTGTACCTCAACTCCATACCCTCCATCCAGAAACCTTTGCTCCATATCCCTTGATATTCTGACCTAACAAATATCTGTATTGTTAGGTCAGAATATCACTGTAACTCAGTGGTTAGAGCACTCGCCTCGCAAGCGCGAGACCTGGGTTTAATTCCAGGTAGGGCGAAATGTTGGGCAAGTTTGCTTATTCCACACACCTCTGTTTACCAGCAGTCAGTAGGAACCCGCTTGTTAGTTGATTGGTGGATCACTTTCCGGGGGTAATAATTCCTTTAAAAAATATTAAAAAACAAACTCGCCTCACAAGCAAGAGACCTGGGTTCGATTCCCAGCAGGAGAAACCCTGGGCAAGTTTCCTTACTGCACACACACGCCTCTGTTTACCTAGCAGTAAGTATGAACCAGGTTGTTAGTCGATTGGCAGATCACTTTTCTGGGGGTAATAATTCTTTCCAAAGAAAAAGAATTGGTCACTTTAATCCACGACTGTTTGTGGGACACTGCCGTGCAAAACTGGCTGCCATGTTTTGCCCACAAAATACATAGTCAATTCACTCTACAGTATATTCTGTGAAGCGCTTTGAGACGTCTCAAAAACGTAATAAGGCGCTGTATCAAATACAAGGATTATTATTATCCACCTCAGTCTTGACAATATGAATGGATCCAGCATCCACAGCCTTTTGGTGAGAGAGTTCAGGATTTAAACTATGCTTTGATCTATTGGTACCACGACCTATTATTGACTTTCCGATAAAATCCAACGAACCTGTATATGTTGTGCAGAGCCATCAGGAGATGTAAAAATAAGCTGGTTGAGCCCAGCTGAATCAGGTGCTGCTAGGATGACTTTCCCTTGTCCACAATCGGGTCTGGCTAGAATCACCTTATTCGATGTGGAGCTGTCAGAATTCGTTATGAAAAACTGTTTGGTCGCCCCCTGGTCCATCGATGTGACTATCTGAATTTTCTGGCCAGTTTGCTGATCTGTAACAATCTGCAAAGTGAAATGATATCATTTATTACAACAATAATAATTCTTGCATTTGATATAGCGCCTTATCAAGTCTTCGAGATGTCCCAAAGTGCTTCACAGAATATACTGTAGAGTGAATTGACTGCATATTTTGTGGGCGAAACGCGGCAGCCAATTTCAAACAGTCGTGGATTGAAGTGACCAAATTATTATATATTTTTTCCCCCTAAAGGACCTTCCTAAAGCAGCATCCATTTGCACACAGCTCAAGTGTTTAAAAACTAAACCATTTCCTTACTCCTTAGCGCATTTAACCAACTTAACACTCCTGAACTGAACACACACACTAATAAGATTGCTTTCACTATGTCTGAGGGAAGAGAAATTCTACCTGAATGCGCTGTGCTTCAGTGACACCAGAGTCGGCAGGAACAATCTGAATCCTCTGTAGGGGATTGGTCATCATTGGTCTTCCTATCACAGTTCCTGGAGCTACAGTAGATAATGTCCCGTGACAATGGGAGGCCTGGGAGGAAGTTGCCAATGATTAGACAAAGAAAGGGGGGAAAAAAAACAAAAGCTCATCGCAGACTAAAATGTAAAAAAAAGCAACATTTTTCATATATATATATAATCCTTGTATTTGATACAGCGCCTTATCACGTCTTCAAGACGTCTCAAAGCGCTTCACAGGATAGACTGTAATGCGAATTGACATTTTGAGATGATTGTTATGGAGTGACAAATCGTACCTGCTGTTCAGCGAGCTGCTGCACTAAATCATCGGTAACTGTGATCAGCTTTACTTGTGCTTGTTCAGCCAAGGACAGCGTTGGACTTCCAGCCATAGACACCTGATGTATATGAACCTGCAGTGAGCATAAAACACAGCTCGGTAAGAAGAACAACAAATTACAGACCCTTTCACGTCAGGTGGACGTCCAAAGGGGGTGGATGGTCAGGGATTCGATCTGAGCTGGGGGTTGGGATCAGCAGGGGTGGAGGGCAGCATGGGTAGGGGTAGGAGGGTCATCAAAGGTGTGGTCGAAGATGAGGGGCAAGTATTAGATTTACTGTATTCTATTTTCTCTACTTCGCACACAATCTAGCCTGTAGACCCTCAGTGACATTATCAGTTCAGTGCTGGATTACAAGCAATCTCTTTTTTAAACAGTTTAACCATGATGCTAGACAGATTACAAGTTTCACCTGGTGGCTGCTGAAGTCATGGAGAAATGACCGAATGTGCCAACAGACAAGTCAAATTGTCAATGGTCTCACACAAGTTCAAGAAACCTAGATATCAACTGACCGCTGACTGTATTAGCCATTTTCCTGTTGCTATTTGTGATACCTGCACAGTGGAGGAGGTTCTTGAGACAAGCCTTGAAGGAGCAAAGGGAGGGAGCGAGGCGAAGGGACTGTAGGATGGAGTTCTAAGAGGTGGGGGCAGAGAGGCTGAAGGCCCGACTACCGATGGTGGGGCGGGCAGGGTCAGGCGGGGGATGTGGAGTAGGCCGGAGCCGCTGAGCGGAGGTTGATGTGGAGTTAGCAGTTACAAAGGTAGGGAGGAGAAAACCCGTGGAGGGTTAGAAGGCGATGTTAAGTTACCAAAGAGAAGGAAATAAAACTCAAAAGTAAATCACTTAAATCACCGAGCAGCACAGGCAGATCAGCTGCTTCCCCAATTACGGAGTCCTGTAGCATAGTGGTTAGAGCAAGCGAGAGGACCTGGGTTCGATTCCTGGCAGGGCGAAACCTTAGGAAAATTTCCTTACTTCACAAGCCTCTATTTACTTAGCAGTAAGTAGGAAGCCGGTTGTTAGTCGAATGGCGGATCAGTTTCCCGAGGCAATAATTGCTCCAAAATCTAATAATAATAATGTGGTCACTTAATCCATAGCTTTGTAGGACACTGCTGTGCACAATTGGCTGCCACATTTCGCCCTCAAAATACAGTCAATCAGTGTACACAGTGGATCCGGTGAAGCGCTTTGAGACGTCTCTATGATGTGATAAAGCGCTATATCAAATGCAAGATTTATTATTGATAATTAGATAATTATTAGTATTCATGCAGAATGCTTTAATTTAAAAATATAGAAATACTCCACTAAGTCTATCTATACAAAGTTGAGTGCAGTGCGTAAACATAGTATCACCAGCTCTTGTAATACAAGACGATGTAGTATATAGCAATGTCACCTGTTTAATACCAGCGAGGTATCAGATATTAGGTCACGAACTCAACTGTGGACCTGACTGAATGTTACTCATTACATTATCACGTGCCCTGAAGATCACTATAAACTGAAAATTAACACAAGGTCACTTTAACTGCACAACATAATCTGAACTAAGCTCACAACACTTTCGTAAACTGAAATCAAATTGTTTAAATGGGTTTCACCCTGTAAAAAAAATTTATTTCAGCTGATATTGCAGCACCATGCAATCTGCCAATGTGAACTGAGGCTGGAGTCTGGGTCACAGTGTCAGGTCTCAATGCAAATACAACTGTTCCTACTGCAGGAACCCGGTTGTTAGTCGATTGGCGGCTTGCTTTCCGGTGACAATAATCCCTTAAAAATAATAATAATCGTAGATTGACTGACCACATTACTGCTGTGCGTAATTGGCTGCTGCGCTTTGTCCACAAAATACACAGAAACTACACTTTATAGTATATTCTGTGAAGCGCTTTGAGACGTCTTGATGATGTGAAAAGGCGCTTATATCAAATGCGAGGATTATTATATCAGTTTAAAATGAATAGTAGTGAGATCAGCACAACATTTAAAGTGTAAAAAACACAATCTAACAGTAAGTACCACCCTCAAAGTGGCAGAAAACCTTACCTTCTACTTGTCCTCACAATGCTCTCAAGCAGCTTTCACTGACGTACAAATGCTATTTACTCAAACGCGATACTGATGATATAGGATTGTTTGCTGTTTTTTCAGCATCCCTAAAGAGAGGAAGAAAAGTTATTTTTACAGAAGGGGGCAAAATTATATAGTTTTAAAAAAGCACCTGGTAAAAGAAACAATCCACTCTACATAAAGCACATACCCAAGCTGCAACTGAATGCTAGGTTGATGCAGGAATGGAACCAGAGTCCCCTCGCTTGTGAGGCGAGTGCTCTACCCAATACCCATAAGCATTTCTGTGACTACTAAGCCAAGTATCACAGATTATAACTGGCTAAAGTTTTTGATTTCAACCAAATACACCTTCCTGGTGCTTCCTGGGGCTGCGAATGCAGGGGAACCTCATTAAAATGGTGTTTTGTAGCATATTGATGTGGAGTCATGCAGGGTAGTGATTCGAGCACTCGCCTCACAAGCGAGAGGACCTGGGTTTGATTTTCAGAAGAGGAGAAACATTAGGCAAGCTTCCTTACTCCACTCGCCTCTGTTTACCTAGCAGTAAGTACCATTGATGGATTGCTTTCCGTGGGTAATAATCCCTTTAAAAAATAAATAATAAGTTGAACACTCAATCCAAGTGAAGACAGACTTTGTCCAGTAATTTGCTAAATTAAACTCAAAATGTAAATTAAAAATTAAAATATTCACTGAATTCACTGTAATTTATGCAAATACTTTCTCAATTGATGTGCAAATACTTCCTGCCATAGACTGCTTGCTCAACACCATCAATCACCCCTGGCTAACAAGCTACAATTTCATAATTCATAGAATTTCTGTGAAATTTTATTAGGATCCCAATGAAAAAGGACACGACTTGCTATAATAATAATAACCTGAATAATAATCTTTGCATTTAAGAGGAACATATCACTTCATTGAGATGTCTCGAAGACCTTCACAGAAATAATTGCTAAATGAATTGACTGAATATTTTGTGGGCGGAATGCAGCAGCCAATTGCTCACAGCAGTGTCCAACAAACAGTGGAATGAGTGACCACATTATTACATATTTTACTTTTTTGGGGGGGATTACCCCCAGAAAAGCAATCTGCCAGTCGACTAACTACCGGGTTCCTACTTACTGCTAGGTAAACAGAGGCGTGTGGAGTAAGGAAACGTGCCTAAGGTTTTGCCCTTGCTATGTGAATACAGTATGCATACTTAGAAGAATTATTTCCTTCCCTCTCAAAATTAAATAGATTAAAATCAGAATAGATTTCCAGAAAGACAGTTGAACAATGTTGTCTGTCTACATACCTCTTTCCTTTGTCGCTCAGCAATCTGTTGTGCCCCCTCTTCCATGTACTTTGCCATTCTGGTTATTCTTGAGAACTTTCTGGAAGAAATAAGGTATACAGGCTTTATTCACTGAAAATATTTTGGTTGGAAAAATCTGCTGCTTTACAAAATAATAATAATCATCCTCGCATTTGATATAGTGCCTTATCACGTCTTCGACACGTCTCAAAGTGCTTCACTGATACAATACAAAATTACATTTGTATAGAGCCTCTCACGTCGGGAGGACATCCCAAGGTGCTGGACAGTCAGGGATTGGGATCTGAGCTGGGGATCGGGATCAGACAGGGTGGAGGATAGGGAGGGTAGGAGAGTGGCCGAAGACTCGGTCAAAGGAGGGTTTTGAGACCCCCCTTGAAGAAGGCAAGGGAGGGGGCGAGGCGAAGGGAATGTGAGATGGCGTTCCACAGGGTGGGGGCAGAGAGGCTGAAGACCCAGCCGCCCAAGGTGGAGATATACACTGTAAAGTGAATTGAGTATATAGCAGCAGCCAATTACGCACAGCAGTGACCCACACACACCAAATTATTATTATTTATTTTGAAGGGATTATTAACCACTAGAAATGCGATCTGCCAATCAACTAATAACTGGGTTCCTACTTATTCCTAGGTAGAGGCGTGTGCCTAAGATTTACTTTGCCTAAGGTTATGCCTTGCCCAGGAATTGAACCCGGGTATCTCGCTTGCGAGGTGCTCTAAACACTACGCTACAGGACTCCACATCATCTGCCCGTTCAGGTAGAAATTCAACGATATCATGACATTTTACAAAGTGAAAGGAGTTTCACTCGGTGTTCTGGCCAACAATCCTACAGATACACGGATTGCCCAAAATTAGCTGCTATGTTTGCCTCCAAAGATAGTCACTACATTTAACATCAATTATCTACGAACAATTTTAGGATGTTCAATGTTACAGGTTAACTTCCAGCAGTTACTCCAACGCACAAGCCTGGGCTCTTGCCAACCTGCGCTCAATATATTCCGCAATTAGGTAGGCAGGATGCGTCCGTCCGTCCCTCCAGAGAGAGAGAGAGAGAGAGCGCATTCCATTCCAACGAGCTCTCGCTGGGATTTCCACGTGTCGGTGGGATGTGTGGAATTCTCAGTTTGGTTTGGAGACTCTTAAGCAACGGTGATAGGTTTCCACATGCGTCAGGACACCCGGCTGACCCAAAATGAAATGTTACAGGTGATGTATCAGATGTAAGTATTATTAATTATTTACGATTCCATCACCTTTGTTGAACTTCGGTCCCCACTCTTCCATTTGAAGACTGTCTTAACATTTCTTTTGAACTTAATGTAAAATGTCCACAAGATGGGCATTCATAGTAATACTTATGCCAGTTCCAAAAATACAATCTGCTTTTATGTATTATCCAAGACACCAACATTCATTTCAAGAAACTTTAATTTGTTAGCCAAAAATACACCAAAACGTGGTTATTTGAGAACAAGACTCTGTAAAATGTTTGCCCTGAAGACTATTTTCAACCCAGAAATGTTCTAAATTGTGCTCTCAATAGCATGTTGTCATATTAGAATACAGAGCTGAGTTTTCACTTCAATTAAGACTCTTTCCAAATCTCAATGTGCCAGAATACATGTGTTAGTCTGCCTTGCAGTCCAACTAGTGGTGTAGTAGTGTACATCTGAATGAGGTCTATAATAATAATTTGGTCACTCCATGACTGTTTGTGAGACACCGCTGAGCGCAATTGGCTGCCGCGTTTTGCCCACAAAATACAGTGAATTCACTTTACAGTATATTCTGTGAAGCGCTATGAGATGTCTCAACGACGTGATAAGGCGCTATATCAAATGCCAGGATTATTATTTATTATTATCCACTTTTCTAAATCTAAAAACCTCTTTGCAAAACATGCTGAAATATTTCAGGGTGTTTTTTTTTCATGATATTTCTGAGTTTGGAAAATTGTAAACTTCGTTTATCCGTTGCGCCATATACCTGGTCAAGCTAGCTATGAAACATGCATTTACACCACAGTTCCAATGTCCACTTGATTTCAGATTGGAGTTGAAATTCTAAATCAAACAGGACTGTATAAACAGCCAGGAGGTATTTACTCAGATCCCATAGAAATTAACTTGGATTTTGCCTTTAGCACATGACTGGATTACATAATTTGAGACTTGCAGCAGGCTGGCGAAAATAACCCAATGCAAATCCTATAACATATTCCACCCACACCTTGTAATAATATACCTGACAACCCACTTATACTCATAAGACGATGCTCAAACTCGCCAAGAAGCCAAAAGCTCAAATCAACTTTTTCTGGTTATATAAATGTAATTTTGTATTGGCTTTGTATTATTCAGTGCAAAGATGAGAAAAAAATTGAAAAAATTACATCAATTGGCCTTTGGCAGTGAACAATTTAATACATTGTCCATTTTCAAAATTCTGATTATAAATTCCAACAGAATACTCGCTGATGTAAGCATAGCAACACATATGTCATACAAATCTCAAGATTTTGAAGACAAGTAAATCTTTTGAGAGATGCTCACATTTTACATAATCTAAAACCTTTTTTCATTGGAATCATTTTGAGCCTCACTTTGTAGCTATTATAATAATCCAGACAATGAATAACTGTACAATCAAATAATTAAAACCAAAAATGACTTTCAAGGCTCGGGCTTAATGGAATGCATAAGTGTGCCTTGTGACTTAATATTAATGTAGGGTAGTCAATTGAGGCTCATCAGATTGGTTGAATTCCAAACATTAAAATAATTTTGCTTTCAGCATTAATCCCTCAAAAAAATTATTTGGTCACTCAATCCACATCTGTTTGTGGGACACTGCCGTGTGTAATTGTCTGCCGCATTCCACGCACAAAATATAGAGCCAATTTACTTTACAGTATATTCTGTGAAGCGCTTAGAGGCAGACACCTCAAAGATGTGATAAGACCCTATATCAAATGCAAGGATTATTATTATATAAATGCAACTTGTTGTAAATAATGCCCCAGATGTTGCTGACTGTTACAAATGTTTGTTATTGTTCCCCTATTGCTCTCATACTATATACGCTAAATATGGCATTGAATTTTTATGTTTATCGAGCTGTAGCTGCACTAATTTGTTTTCCCGTTAGCTTGAAGCAATTTAATAATAATAATATATATTTCTATGTATGTTTGAAACAAAACAGTTAAAAATGTCTCGCAATCAGCATCAGTATATAGTATACCTTTATTAGCAAATTGTGTGTAATTAAAATAATTGAGAGACATCTGTGCTGGAAAAAGTCATTGTAACATTTCACTGTAACATCCCAAGGCGCTGGACAGGGATTTGGGCCCGAGCTGGGGGTTGGGATCAGAAGAGGTGGAGGGCAGGGAGGGTAGGGGTAGGAGGGTGATCGAAGGTGTGGTCGAAGATGAGGGGCAAGCACTAGATTTACTGTATACTATTTTCTCTACTTCCCACACAACCTAGCCTGTAGACCCTCAGTGACATTATCAATTTAGTTCCGACGAAGGGTTGTGGACCTGAAACGTTGACTCACTTGCCTTTCTCCGTAGATGCTGCCTGACCTGCTGAGTTTTCCCAGATCTCTCTGCTTTTGTTTCAGATTTCCAGCATCTGCAGCATTTTGTGTTTTGTTATCAATTTAATGCTGCATTATAAACAATCATTTGTTTCTAACAGTTTAACCACGATGCCAGACAGACTACAGAAGTTTACCTGGTGGCTGCTGAAGTCATGGAGAAATTACCTAATGTGCCAACAGACAAGTCAGATTGCCAATGGTCTATCACAAGTTCCAGAAACCTAGATATCAACTGACCGCTAACTGTATTAGCCATTTTCCTGTTGCTCTCTGTGAGATACCTGCACAGGGAGAAAATCACTGCAGTTGTTTTTCTGACTAAACTCAATTGATGTATTTGGCAGTGAAAGGAGTGAGTTTCAAGGATCCAATACGCATCGCAAGATTCTTAAGTGGAGAGATAACTTGAGCTTCACCTTATCTACCTTGAAAGTCAATGCAGCCTATGCATTACCTCACAAAAAATATTCCCCGTATCATGAATTGCAATAATGTCTATTCTAACATGCTATGAAATAAAACCATGCTGAAATTATGAGATAATTTAAGCACTGACATTCAAGCTTTTGCTTGATACCCTTCTTCACCATTATTATACAGAACAGAAGAGTGTGTGCTCCAGGGACGAATTTCATCACTAAATCTTTAACAGGATTACTCATCCACAAAATTTATCAAAAAGACATTAATCATTTTTTGTATGCTTTAAACAAAATGCAGCTACTCGAGTGGATTTGTGTTGAAGCACACTCCAGTTATTGGAATTGTATTTACTTTTTTTTGTGTGATGAATTACTGGGTTACTGCTCCCCATGAGCAACTTTCATGTCTTGAATTTTCAACAGCGGAGTGCACATCAGTACAGCTAGCTCATCCAAGGGGGTTTTGGTTTCCAAAAGCATTAAATAACCTACAGTTGTCAAATCTCAGCCTAGGCCATATTAAATATGAATCAACTTACACCACTGTCCATTTTTACATTTGAGAAGGGGCCATGGAACAAAGGCAAATGTGGGAGTGCATCAGTGAGTGATCTAACATCGCAGAGCTTCTTGTTGGCCTTCACACACACCAGCAGTAAGTAGTAAATAAAGAGTTTTTCCACATTTAATCATTTGAGGGACAGGTTGGCTAAACCTCGATTTGGCAAAAATATTATTATAATAATCCTTGCATTTGATATAGCTCCTTATCACATCATTAAGGCGTCTCAAAGCGCTTTACTGGATTACTGTAAAGTGAATTGACTGTATTGGATTTGTTTATAAATGAAAAGATCATATGTCACCAGGGGCCATTTGTGTCCAATTTTACATTGCGCTTTAATAAAATGTACCCGTCTTCGTTGCAAAACAAGAGTCAACAACCGTAGAGCAGAGACCGGGAACGAGACAGACAAATACAAGGCTGGATCCATCCACACCTTCAAGAGTGAGGTTGATGGATTGTTGGTAGGTCAGGGTATTAAGGGATATGGGGAGAAAGCAGGAAATTAGAATCGAAAGGATTAGTTGAGGTACGGATCAACCATGATTTAATTAAATGGCGGAACAGGCTCAAAGTGCTGAACGGTCTCCTCCTGTTCCTATGTTCCTAAGGCTACGCTGGGTCCTCAGGACAAACGGCGGACGGACAGTCTCTGGCCCAGGGAACTGCAGGTGCTTTTTTTTTGTGTGTGTGTGTGTGTGTGACTGCTTTACTCCCACACTTTCTGCTTCAATATAAAATAATAATAATCCTTGCATTTGATATCAAACCTTATGATGTCATTGAGGTGTCTCACAGAGCTTTACAGGATACACTGTGTGCTTTGTGGGCAAAACGCAACAGCCAATTGCATACAACATTGTCCCACAAACAGTCGTGGTTTGATCCCAGGTTTGAAGAGAATAATAATAAGAATAAGCGTTGCATTTTATATTGCAGGTCATCATGTCTTCAAGACGTCTCAAAGCATGAAGCGGAGCCAGGTGAAGTTTTCAGATAAACGCAAGTGTGACACAGGAATAATAATAATGACTGTTTGTGGGACGGGACACTGCTATGCCCAATTGGCTGCCGTGTTTTGTCCACAAAATATACAGTCACTACACTTTACAGTATATGCTGCGAAGCGCTTTGACACATATCAAAGACGTGATAAGGCGCTGTATCAAAAACAAGAATTATTATTCATCAAACAAAGGATCAATCAATACAATTCATCAATACGATTATTATTATTATTTTTGACTGACTGAAGCGCTTTGAGACGTCTCAACCAGTGAGTGACTGTGTATTCCTTCCTGAGGGGAGTCTGTGCCACCAACACACACAGGGACAGCAGCAGTGAGTGTGTAAGCGAGGCCCTGGCTTGGCTCCTTTCAACCAGCCCAGGCCTGGGAATGACAGACTGGACACCGGCCGGGGAGAGGGAGGGAGGGAGGGAGGGAGGCCACTGCCCGCCCGTCTGCACACTGACAGACTCACCGCCAACTCCATTCAACCGGCGTCCCGGGCTTCTTCCTCCAACAGCCCGACCCACAACTCTCTACTTCTCATACACATTTACTCTGCTCCCTCCCTCCCCCTCCCTCCCTCCCACACACACTCACTCCTCCCCCTCCCACTCACACTCACTCCTCCCCCTCCCACTCACTCCTCTCCCTCCCTCCCACACACACTCACTCCTCCCCCTCCCTCCCACACACACTCACTCCTCCCCCTCCCTCCCACACACACTCACTCCTCTCCCTCCCACACACACTCACTCCTCCCCCTCCCTCCCACACACACTCACTCCTCCCCCTCCCACACACACTCACTCCTCCCCCTCCCTCCCACACACACTCACTCCTCTCCCTCCCACACACACTCACTCCTCCCCCTCCCTCCCACACACACTCACTCCTCCCCCTCCCACACACACTCACTCCTCCCCCTCCCTCCCTCTCACACACACTCACTCCTCCCCCTCCTCCCCCTCCCACACACACTCACTCCTCCCCCTCCCTCCCTCTCACACACACTCACTCCTCCCCCTCCCTCCCTCCCACACACACTCACTCCGCTCCCTCCCACACACACTCACTCCTCTCCCTCCCACACACTCATTCCTCTCCCTCCCTCCCACACTCACTCCTCTCCCTCCCTCCCACACTCACTCCTCCCCCTCCCTCCCACACACACTCACTCCTCCCCCTCCCTCCCACACACACTCACTCACTCCTCTCCCTCCCACACACACTCACTCCTCTCCCTCCCTCCCACACACTCATTCCTCTCCCTCCCTCCCACACTCACTCCTCTCCCTCCCTCCCACACACACTCACTCCTCCCCCTCCCACACACACTCACTCCTCTCCCTCCCACACACTCACTCCTCTCCCTCCCACACACACTCACTCCTCTCCCTCCCACACTCACTCCTCTCCCTCCCACACACACACACTCCTCTCCCTCCCTCCCTCCCACACACTCCTCTCCCTCCCTCCCTCCCTCGCTCACTCCTCTCCCTCCCTCCCTCGCTCACTCCTCTCCCTCCCTCGCTCACTCCTCTCCCTCCCTCCCACGCTCACTCCTCTCCCTCCCTCCCACGCTCACTCCTCTCCCTCCCTCCCACGCTCACTCCTCTCCCTCCCTCCCACGCTCACTCGCTCCCTCACACACACACTCACTCGCTCCCTCACACACACACTCACTCCGCTCCCTCACACACACACTCACTCCGCTCCCTCACACACTCACTCACTCCGCTCCCTCACACACACACTCACTCCGCTCCCTCACACACACACTCACTCCGCTCCCTCACACACACACTCACTCCGCTCCCTCACACACACACTCACTCCGCTCCCTCACACACACACTCACTCCGCTCCCTCACACACACACTCACTCCGCTCCCTCACACACACACTCACTCCGCTCCCTCACACACTCACTCCGCTCCCTCACACACCCACTCACTCCGCTCCCTCACACACCCACTCACTCCGCTCCCTCACACACCCACTCACTCCGCTCCCTCACACTCACTCACTCCGCTCCCTCACACTCACTCACTCCGCTCCCTCACACTCACTCACTCCGCTCCCTCACACTCACTCACTCCGCTCCCTCACACTCACTCACTCCGCTCCTTCACACACTCACTCACTCCGCTCCCTCACACTCGCTCCCTCACACACACACTCACTCCGCTCCCTCACACTCACTCCGCTCACACACACACTCACTCCGCTCCCTCACACACACACTCCGCTCCTTCACACACACACTCACTCCGCTCCCTCACACACACTCACTCCGCTCCCTCACACACACACTCACTCACTCACTCCGCTCCCTCACACACTCACTCACTCCGCTCCCTCACACACTCACTCCGCTCCCTCACACACTCACTCCGCTCCCTCACACACTCACTTCTCCCTCACACACTCACTTCTCCCTCACACACACACTCACTCCGCTCCCTCACACACACACTCACTCCGCTCCCTCACACACACTCACTCCGCTCCCTCACACACACACTCACTCCGCTCCCTCACACACACACTCACTCCGCTCCCTCACACACACACTCACTCCGCTCCCTCACACACACACTCACTCGCTCCCTCACACTCACTCCGCTCCCTCACACTCACTCCGCTCCCTCACACTCACTCCGCTCCCTCACACACTCACTCCGCTCCCTCACACACTCACTCCGCTCCCTCACACACTCACTCCGCTCCCTCACACACTCACTCCGCTCCCTCACACACACACTCACACTCACTCCGCTCCCTCACAAACTCACTCCGCTCCCTCACACACTCACTCCTCTCCCTCACACACTCACTCCGCTCCCTCACACACACTCACTCCGCTCCCTCACACACACTCACTCCGCTCCCTCACACACTCACTCCGCTCCCTCACACACTCACTCCGCTCCCTCACACACACTCACTCCGCTCCCTCACACACACTCACTCCGCTCCCTCACACACACTCACTCCTCTCCCTCACACACTCACTCCTCTCCCTCACACTCACTCCGCTCCCTCACACACTCACTCCGCTCCCTCACACACTCACTCCGCTCCCTCACACACTCACTCTGCTCCCTCACACACTCACTCCACTCCGTCACACACACACTCACACTCACTCCTCTCCCTCACACTCACTCCTCTCCCTCACACACTCACTCCTCTCCCTCACACTCACTCCTCTCCCTCACACACTCACTCCGCTTTCTCACACACTCACTCCGCTCCCTCACACACTCACTCCGCTCCCTCACACTCACACCTCCCTCACACTCACACCTCCCTCACACACTCACTCCGCTCCCTCACACACTCACTCCGCTCCCTCACACACTCACTCTGCTCCCTCACACACACTCACTCCTCTCCCTCACACACTCACTCCTCTCCCTCACACACTCACTCCTCTCCCTCACACACTCACTCCTCTCCCTCACACACACACTCACTCCGCTCCCTCACACACACACTCACTCCGCTCCCTCACACACACTCACTCCGCTCCCTCACACACACTCACTCCTCTCCCTCACACACACTCACTCCTCTCCCTCACACACACTCACTCCCTCACACACTCACTCCCTCACACACTCACTCCCTCACACACTCACTCCCTCACACACTCACTCCCTCACACACTCACTCCCTCACACACTCACTCCCTCACACACTCACTCCCTCACACACTCACTCCCTCACACACTCACTCCCTCACACACTCACTCCCTCACACACTCACTCCCTCACACACTCACTCCGCTCCCTCACACACTCACTCACTCCGCTCCCTCACACACTCACTCCCTCACACACTCACTCCGCTCCCTCACACACTCACTCCCTCACACACTCACTCCTCTCCCTCACACACTCACTCCTCTCCCTCACACACACACACAGATTTGCTGCCAAGCCTTTCTCCCCTGTCGGTCGGCTGCGGGCCGGGCCGGGCCGGGCGGGGGGGGCGGGGGTCAGGACGGGGGGGGGGGGGGGAGGGCGGGCGGTGGCTGTGACTAGGCCGAAGCCCTCGAGCGAGGGAGACGGTGAGACGCGGGGGCGGCACTCGCGAGGCAGGGAAAGGGCGGGAAGCCCCGGGGCCCCGCTATCTTACCTGACCGTTAGGATTTGAACGCGAATGGAACGCCGAGCCGTTGGCCTCGCGCCTCCCGCCGCCGCCGCCGCGGCTCTCTTTACCTCACGCGCGTCAGAGTTCGTGACCCCGTCCCTCCCCCTCTCGCTCGCTCTCGCCGCTCAGCTCTCCTCGCGGCGCACGCGCAGCCCGGTCGGGCGCACCGCGCACGCGCGCCGCTCGGCGGAGTGCGTCACCCCTTAAAGGGACAGGACCAGAGCCACGCAGACCACGACGACAACAACAACAACTTGCGCTTATGCAGCTGGCGGTGGGGGCTGGGGGTGTGGGGTGTGGGGGGGAGCGTCCCGGAGCGCTCAGAATCGAAGGAAAAATACTGCAGAGGATGCTGGAAATCCGGAATGAAAACCGTAGTGGCCGGGGATCGCGCGCGCAGCAGGTCAGGCAGCATCTATGGAGAGAGGAAGGTGGTTATCGCGAGTGCTCCGCCAGGACTCAGTACACCCCGCGCGGTTTGACCCGGCGCCTGATCACGTCTTCGCGACGCCTCCCAACGCTTCACAGGATACACACTGTAAAGTGTAGTGACTGTGACTCCTGCGGGGCGCGGCGCGGCAGCCGATCGCGCCCGGCGACGGCCCCACAAACAGCCGTGGGTTGAAGTGACCGAATTATTACTATTAATTGGTAGTGACGACTCGGGGGGGCAAACCCTTCGCTGTCCACAGCGCAATGTGTTACTGTGTCCGTCACGTTTCCTTTTCGTCCCTTCATACTCAGTCTGAACATTGATGACGGAGCCTCAGTGACGGCAGCGGAGGGAGGTACGTGGAGAGAGCAAGTAAAGGGAATTCCACACTATGTAACCCTGTCCCAAAGAGAACCCTTCCAAAAACTCCCCAACCTTTTAAAATTGATCTTTTAATGGTTCGTTTGATCGACATTCCCAAATGTTTCTTTTCAGTGCTCAACATTATATCTGTCGAGCAACGTTAAACCCACTGGAGAGATGGTTCTATACCCTTAATTTGTACACCCTCGTTCCCCCACTCGCAGATGGCCTCTGAGAACAATTCTCACCAATGTGTGCGAGAGCCTATTTCTTGCCAATTGAAAATTAACAGAGCCCTCGAATGAGATACAGTTAAGAAAACTCAACGGTATTTTTATTATGGTTCGTTCAGAATCCCAAACTCTTCGGAAATAGTTCTCAAGTGATTTCGACAAATAACAATAAATTACACAACCCTGAATTACACAAATAACTAATCAACTTTAACAAATACTAACTAGCAGGCTATTAAATATGAGGTGACTGAACCCAACTCTTGACTCTAAGGTGTAGGATAGATGTTCTTCGGTCCGTACACCAGTCTGATCTTGTCCATTCCAGTTTCCCAAACAATATGGATTCCTCAGGACTGATCTTTGTAAATCAGAGATTCAGAGTACCATGGTGCCATGGAGTAAGATGGTGATGCAATGACAAGTAATTTTATTCGGCCTTTTGTAAGCTATAAATATTCAGACTTGATGGCACAGGAAAACATCCCAACCAACTCTAAATATATCAAAGATGCATCCAAAGGGCCACTCAGACTGGCCAATGCTTCTGGTGAATACATAAGCCCTACAGAACACATTCTAAAGGACCGGGTGACCGTAACACTATACTAGTTATTTGTGAATGCAAGGTGTAATGCAACCATATGTTCTTCAGAGCCCGATGTGAGGACAGTTTTATTCCTACCCACTTACTCTTGAATGGGATTTGTGCTATCGCACAATGCTAAATGCAACAACAACAACAGGATTCCATTTATAGAGCGCCTTTCACGTCGGGAGGACGTCCCAATGCAGTATACTGAGCAAAGTGCAAAGCATCTGGCAAGTCAACAACAACAAATTACATTTTATGGCGCCTTTCACATCAGGAGGTAACCTAACTGGCAAATCTGTGAGGTGATCTTATACGGTTTATTGTCCCCACAGATGTCAGATTCGTGTATAAATTCCAACATCTGTTTAAACAGCTATCTCCGAATTCTCTTTTTTCCGTCATTTAATTTGTTGTTAAGTGTGGCAACACTTGTATTTAAAGCTCAGATTTGTTTTCCCATTTGTTCAGAAAGCTACACCCAAACTTTTACATTCAAACAGTTAAACTCCCTCAAAACCCACTTTCACTTGTATCAGTTCCACACCTATTCATAGCAGTTTTGCTTATTGCAGCATGAAAAAGGCACACAAATGAACCGGGAGGGGAGGGGTAAGTACTGAACAAGTCTATACTGTACAGAAACAGAACATTATGTTCGTTCATAGCTGTTGATAAACCTGCAGTAACATAATGACCGAATCTCCTCTCTCCCTCAGTGACCTAATGAACTGCAGGTACAATTGCGATAAACTGCTGGAGGATTCTGTAATTCAGGTGTTAAATTATATTTTTGATGTTTATATTTTTGAGACATAATCAATCTCATAAGACATGATGGGAGCCGGTTGTGACTAACTTCGCAGGAGATCCTTTCTCAAGGATGAGAAAGAAGACTATTTATAAACAACAAACTGTTCTCATTCCTTATCAGTCATTTTCTCATGGAACAATAGTCTGCAGTTAGTTTAATATGGGAGAGCTGTGTTGCATTTTTTTTTCAAAAAGGAATCATCGCAAAAGACAATAGGTGAAAGGTCACCTAATCAACTGTATACACAGAGATTGATTCAAAAAGAGAATCAGAAGAATTGGGAAGAAGAAATAAAGAACTTGGGAGTCGCGAACCATATTCCAGCTTCTACAGAAGGACGATCAAGATTACGATATAAACAAGCCAACGTCAAATCACTGGACACCTTTGGGTGATCGAACCGGGAACCGTACAACAATACTTGGATACCTTTTGATGGACATTAAAAAAGGACACATTAAAAGACATTAAATTAGACGTTGCTCCTTAATCTCTTCCGCAGCATTTGATCAACTTAAATCGTTGTGAACTGTATGTGGATACGTAAGCAATTACTGTGATGTATTCTTTAAATTACTTATAACCATTATTAATTTGAATTAATAAACCTCGGATTAATTTTGCATTTGTGTCAGTCCTTACTTCGCTGCAGGGTCACAAATTAACCCTTACACTGTGCAGTTTAAAGAGAATATTGACCATTTATTTGTGTGTTGAATCCAGGATTGGTTTCTGTGGTGAGGTGTTGTCTCAACAACAAAGTGGAAAAGAAATCTTGGTTCTGCGGTGATATCAGTGGCAAGCTATATGGTTTAGCTGGTTAGACTCCAGCAGTTAGCAATCTGGGCTCCCCCAGCTCTTGCCAACCTGCACCTAATACTTTCCAGAATTAGGTAAGCAGAATGTGTCCCTACAGGGAAATCTCAGTAACAAATGGCCTTTAAGGTAAACTTATCTTTCAAAGTAATTTTAATCTGTACAATTAAGTGATATACAAACAGTGTATGTAAAAATGTACAAAGTGTTTCTGCTTATGCTTGGGCAACATGTAAATGCTTTCTTTCACCACTCATTTTATTATAAAATACTGTTTTGTGTAGTGCAATCCTCAATAACACAAACATCATTACATGAAAAACAATCTCCCAAACAGTGATAATATGCACTGCATATTGATAACAAGAGAACTGGGCAGTACTTTGTCATTTGGTAGCCATACATTGGGTCAGGGTGGTTTGGGTTTCTCTAAATTATTATTTTAATAAGTTATATTTAAATCTTGCATCAACATTTTTGAAAGGCTTTAAGCAATCTTTTAAAATAAACCGTTTTACAGATACAGTAATTTGTCATTGGGGATTTCCATGATTTACAGTACTCCCAATGAGAACTGATGCATGCAAGGATTTCCTGAGATAGAAAAATCATATTGAATAGGAGTCACTTCTTAAGAACTAAACTGGAGACGTGGTAAGGGAGTTGAGGAATACGTTAAGTCCTAGTTAGACAGTAAGATGCAAAAAAAAAAAAAAAAAAATTCAAAAGTTAATAATTTGCTGTTTCTCAGTATCTTTCTCTGCCCTTTCCCCCTGTACCTTTTTTTCCTATGTGTCAGGTAATAGGGGAAAAAGCTACCAGGGAGGAGGAGAGTGAAGTTCGTGAGAAACAGCAACTTATTCAATATCAATATATAATCTCAAAGGGATTCCCGAATGAAAGCAAAATAAAATAAATATCCAGATCTTATTTTCTTAGCTTTGCCTGTGCATTTATACCAGGAAAAAGTGAATAATTGACCAGAAAGCCTGTTAAGATTGTGGGAGTACACCGTATGGAACAGTATTCTTAAATACAGCCATTCTGCAATTGAGGCATGAATACAAAAATAAGATCATCAATTGGTAAATGTCAATGGCTTCAAATAACAATTGCATAGGAATAGGAATTTGTAGAAGTGAGGTGAATGAAGACAGAATTCAGATGATCAGTGTGCCAGTGGAAAATACTGGAACATCCCATTCACTTTACATGGGATTTGTCGAGTGGTATTTGCTGATACAGTGGCCCTTATTTCAAGTGCTCCCATAAACCAAGTTCTTTTTGAATTCTTCTATTGCCATGTTTTTGACACTTATTAGTGAGGATCTACTGTTGAGAAACTGAACTTTTCTTCATTTTATTAACATAAGCCAAATTGTTAAGATATCACAGATCGGATAGACCAGACGCAGCATACTTTCTCCCAACACTTCCATATAAAATATAGAGCACCAGTGCTGAGCTCTAGAGAAGAGTTGTATTTTACATTAAGTTGGACTTTAAATTATATTGATGTTTGTTGTGGCTTCAGAAGGAACCAGTTGCTCACTAAAATACAATTAATAAATACATATCTCATGTACAAATCATCACTGAATTATTTTACAAAAGCCAAATATTAAATACAGGAACAGTAAATTAAGTTAGAGTATTGGATGTTGAAAGTGGATTCACTCTCAGGAGGTCTGTTGCAAGAGCAGTGTTTTCTGGAATGACTTAAAGCGTAAATTCTATTAAGTCAGCAAAAATTATCAAAACCAACTGGTATTGCACATCAATACCAGTGAAATCAGTTTGCTGGTTGAGAAAGCCGCAATTATTTGATTCTATGAATATTAACTCAAACAAGATACATAGTCAATTCATTTTACAGTATATTCTGTGAAGCACTTTGAGACATCTCAAATATGTGATAAGATTTTCACCATACTGGTCCTAGAAGGCTTAAACATCACAAAATTCCAATCATTCACAAGAAAAAAAAACATGCACAAATCCTAATATTTAGAAATCATTGAAGAATGGGAAAACAGATATTACTTAACTTGCACCACAAAACCTTTTGTCAAACCTCCTAATATAATAGATATTGCTGGACAAGTAGCAGGAAAGCTTGCCAGGCAGCGATATCAATGGCAAGCTATGGAGTTTTTGCTGGTTACCCCAACACATACGCTGGGCTCCCTAAGCCTTGGCTCTTGCCAACAAAGAAAACTAAGCTTAGTTTCTAGTTGTCTACAATGACCTTGAAAAAATTATGTCAATCAGTTCTAGTTTTGGAGACATTTTTTAAATGAGAAAATTAAAGGGACTGTCCAACATTTCCAACTAATATTTTATATGAGATTTTTGGAAGTTACGTTTTTAATATATTTATATTATACAAAATATATAGCAAAGTACAAAACCTGAGAAAATATGAAGAGTGTTTTGGGGTTAATACAGAATCGATCCAGTTCATTCTGCACTCCGAGATGAATCTTCAGTAATAGCAGATTAAGGTGCTAATGGCTACACGTACGAGTTTTCTTTCAGAGATCAACATGCATGTAGAAGTGAAACAGTTGTCCAGTTGCATTGCAGCAAATCACTACATTGTTTTCACAACAAAGCTGTTTGGATGTTGTTTCTTGAACTCTTTCCCTTTAAACTTGTATTGCTTTTCAAAAAAAGTGCGTCCATTTTTGGAGTGCTATAACACAGTTGCTTCTTGAAAAACTTCTATCCACCTGTTGAGATACGAGAACATTTACAATATTACATTATTGTAACTCACGCTACACAGATCATACATATATACATCTGCATTAGTGTTTAACGTATACTGCATAAAATGTACAAAAAAACACACAAAATCAGGAGGCATTTTTTTCACCCAAAGGGTAGTAAAAATCTGGAACTCTCTCCCCCAAAAGGCTTTGGATGCTGGAGCCATTCACAAAACTGAGGTGGACAGATGTTTGTTAGTATCAAGGGAAATGGGAAAAGGGAGGATAATTGGAGTTGAGGTACAGATCAGCCATGATCTAATAGAATGGCGGAACAGACCTGAATGGCCTCCTCTGGTTTCTATGTTTCTAAAACACACTGTTTACTTAAAATGTTTGACAATTGGAGCATAACAAATCTAACTAACATGCTAAATGTGCATGAATGCGATTCCAATGATTAAACATTGTCTGTGATATAATGCTACCATAATGTCTATATATATTTACTGGACCGTTGCAATAAATTATATAAACAGATCTCACTCTGTTTGCATACAAAAGAGGAAGCAAGTTTGCAGATTGTGCTGAGCTTTGGAATAAATGATTTTACCCACCTCTGGGCAGTATGTTGATCATCAACTTTAAATACATAGAACAGTGTTCTTTTGTGGAGCAATTGAAAAATCACTTTAGATTCTGTAGGATCTTCATGAACTCCAGAAACCGTGAATCCCAGCAATGGTTGACTCTCCAAAGCAGCCACATCCTATTCAAATAAACGAGCATTAGAGATAGATAAAGCTTTGTCCAATTCCCATAAAGAATCCACATTATTAGGATGATTCTTATTAGAAGTAAATATCGATATGTACATTTCCATATCGACCTGTCCGCTCCCTTCACTCAGTGGGCTCCAGCCTGCTCTACATCACCCGCCTGGCCCACTTCACCATCAGCAGTCGGGTCTTCAGCCTCTCCGTCCCCACCCTTTGGAACTATCCCACATTCCCTTTGTCTCATCACCTCCCTTGCCTCCATCAAGATACGTCTCAAGACCCTCCTCTTCGACCGTCCCTTTGGTCACCCTCCCAGCCCTTCACCCCTCTTGATCCCAACCTCCAGCTCGGGTTCAAATCCCTGACTGTCCAGCACCTTGAGATGCCTGGCACATGAGGTGAGTGGGCCAGCTGTATGAATGCACAATGAACAGTGTCCACAATTTGTTGGTGTTGAATGCTTTATATACAAGATTCTGCAACCATATAAACACTTACAATACAATTCTGCTCATTCATAATAATAGCTAGTCATTAAGTACGCTCTTTACACTTACAATACAATTCTGCTCATTCATAATAATAGCTAGTCATTAAGTACGCTCTTTACACTAGAACACATTGCAAATGGAGAACATTAAAAAGTGAATGATATTGTGTAACCTAACAGAGTAGAGAAAACCATAATCAAAAGATAAAAATCTTTGTTTGTGCAGGATTAAGTTCTCAGTCTCTACTGAATCTAGCTTGGTAGCCAAGTGATTACAACATTGTGTTCCTCACCAGATGGTGGACATGGATGCCAGCTTTGCCTTCCACTGGTGGTGAGTTTCCACTACAATATTTATGAGGTAATTATACTGAGTACTGTGCAACTATATTGCTTCAGGAGGAATAAGCTGCCCATTTTGCACCATAAGAATGTAATTTATTGCACCTGATTTGGTCACTTAATCAATCCACAATTGGCTGCTGTGTTTCGCCCATGAAATACAGTCAATCCACTTTACCATATATTCTGTGAAGCGCTTTGAGACCTCTCAACAATGTGACAAGGCGCTATATCAAATGCAAGGATTATTATTATTTCTATTCACTTGCAAGTGGGTTTTCTGTTTTCTAATGAGATTCCAAGTTTTAGTCACAACATCCTGTTGACATGATCATGAACATAAATGGATTTACTCATTAACCATATCTAATACTTACCTCACTGGCAGCATAAGTATACAGGACCTTATTCTGAATCACAAACCAAAAGCGTTTCCATGGCTTTTTACTGCCCTTTGACCTATATAGATATCCACTCATAGATGAGGCTCCAGTGTTAGCAGACACCTAAAATTTTTAAAAAAAGCAATTTGAGACGTCTCAACGATGTGATAAGCCGCTATATCAAATGAAAGATTATTATAATAAAACTGGCATCTACTTTAAAATAGTAACATTATGAATGTGTTCAATCAAAAACGTGGTGGGTTCCCATCCAACCCCAAGTGATAGTTTTAAGTGAGCGAGAGAGCCACATGGTCCTGTCTAATTCAGTTGAAGCTGTGCCACCCTCTGGCATTGTTTGAAAATATACATGTTGTGTTGTAAAGCAAACACAATTGGCTTCTGAATGATTCTGGTTTTACTCAAACACAAGTGTGTGTAACAAAAGCGTGCCTGACACAATTTTTTTTTATATAAGTGCATGACATCATCTTTTTAAGAGTTGTTATGGTCTGGAATGCACTGCCTGAAAGGGTAGTCGATGCAGATTTGATAGTAGCTTTCGAAAGGGGATTGGATAGGTACTTGAAAAGGGAAAATGGTCAGGGTTGTGGGGCAAGAGTGGAGGAGTGAGACTAGTTGGTAACTCTTTCAAAGGGCTGGCGGCACAAGCACGATGGGCCGAATGGCCTCCTTCTGTGCTGTAGGATTCTATTAGCGCGTGAGGTAAATACTTTATATAGAGTTATATATATATAAATAGTTTATATATACTCCAACCAGGTGAAAATCTTTTAACAATAGTTTGAGTTACTGGATCAACTTACTTCTTTCAATGCTGCTGGAATTTTCTTGTGCTTTCGCCCTGAGGAATGCTGAATGCTATGTAGAACTGAGGTGAGAGCACTTGAAGATTTTTGAGGAGTAGACAGCATCTTCACATCAGACTGGGTTTCTAATATCGTTTTTTTTCAAATAAAGAAACAGAGCAAAACTTTTGCAATATCTCAATGTGAATTCCCACAATTCAAATGATAAACAAGGAAGTTATGGGTAAGGAGAGAAATCTAACACTACAATTTAAATTGAAAAATAAAGCAAAGTTTGAAATGATTTGCAAAATTCTATTACAAACAGAGCTGAGTGGGGAAATCGACAAGATTTCAATATCTACAAAATATTTATTATGCTCCTGTTTTGCCAAAATGTTTGCAGTGAAAAGCTATAAACCTTACCTCTCTTTTGCAGCTCTGTGAAGCAGTAATCACAAACTCTAGCAGGTCTATTTTTAAGGTAGTCCAAACTGAATTTGTTCGATGAACAGGCTTGACAGACAATCTAAATATAAAGAGAATACAGGCAAAGCTAAAAAATCATCAATTATAATAATTTGGTCGCTCAAACTATGACTGTTTGTGGGACACTGCTGTGTGCAATTGGCCACCATGTTTTGCACACAAAATATACAGTCGATTCACTTGACAATATATTCTGTGAAGCACTTTGAGACGTCTCAATGACATGATAAGGCGTTGTATGAAATGCAAGGATTATCATCATCATCATTTCAATTGAACTAGCACTAAACTAAATTACAAAATCACCGTTTGGGTTTCTAATATTTTTTTTCAAAAAAAGAAACAGAGCAAAACTTTTGCAATATCTCAATGTGAATTATAATGTTCGTCACCACACCAAACAATTCAAATGATAAACAAGGAAGTTAAGAGTTAGGAGAGAAATCTAACCAAAAAACAAAGTAAAATAACTACAGAAATCCTATAATACAGGTATCCCAAGCCCTGACTTGTCTAAGTTTTAGCTCACTCATTAAGATCTGGTTTGGCAGGACTACCTCAAAAGATCGTCAAATTCAGGGGTAAAAAAATTAAATTAATTGCTATACCAACCTTTCCACATGCTCTACAGTGATGCCTCCTCCAGGTAAGTGTGAAGTCACAGGTACAGATCATACACATGGTGGCACGGGGGTCAGGGATCCAGATCGGAGCTTTCGTACCTAGTGGAGAATCCAATTCGGTCTTATCTGCTTCTTCCTAAAAAAAAAGCTTATGATCCAGAAGCTACAAAACATCAAAGCATTATCAAAGCATTATGAGCCATAATTTTATAGAATGGTGGAATAGGCTCAAGGGACTGAATACCCTACTCCTGTTTCTAAGTTTCTATTATTTTCCTCACAAACAACTCTTCACCTCACTCAGATTACCTACATTAGCAGCACAGTCAGAGAAAAACCTCATGAAGGCCTGCAGTTTAAAACTCTCGATAGCTTCCCTAAAGCTTTAGGCATCCCTTCCATGTGATGTTACATAAGAACATAGGAACTGCTAGATGAAAGACCAAGGTGTATCCAGTTCACCTTCCACCATCCTGGCAGTCACTTGTCATGTTGTGTATCAAACTATATACCGTATCCCAAGCTAATAAGCTTTCCCGCTAGTACCACTCTACCCATCAGTAATCAATAAGATAACATTTTTGGAAATGTAACAATTATGTGTCAAAGCATTCAATTTCACACGAGAGGTTTCCGTAAATAAGCCATACCTCATCCAGACTTTTGCTACCACTGAATGTGATCCGCTTTTTGGTGTAGTCCTCAATGGCCTTAGAAATGGCTTCCAACCATTCATCTCTTTCTGTTGCTGAACTACAAGCAAAACAGCTGATATTAGCAAATAATTACTACAGACAGGGTGGGAGACAATTACATTGAATAAGACCGACAAACAAAAAGGAAAAATGGGACTATAGAAACACACCTGAACCCTATACAACTGTAAATTTGAGTCCAAATGAAATCCTCTCCCATTCCAACTGCATTAATCAATACATTTTATTAACTACCAAACAGTCTGTCAGGGAAGTGATTTGAACGAGAGTATCCTTCTACTGCTAGCTGCAGTGATTGACTAGATTCACACCATCTCAATCCCTACACTTAGCCAGAGCAGCCTCTGTCCTGTACTTATTTACTCACATCTGTCACTTAAACATGGCTTCAATCAGATCTTCCTTCAAATGTCTACTGTGGATAAAAAAAATTCTTACATGCATGTTTATGGTGAAACCTTGGGCAAGTTTCCTTACTCCACATGACTGATAATAATCCCTCAAAAAAAAAAAAAATTGGTCATTTCAATCCACGACTGTTTGTGGGACATTGCTGTGCACAATTGGCTGCCGCGTTCGCCCACAAATATACAGTCAATTCACCTTACAGTCTATTCTGTGAAGCGCATAGAGATGTCCAGAAGACGTGAAAAGCGCTATATCAAATGCAAGGATTATTATTATACAGAAATAATTAAATTACTAAACTCCACAATAGTTCAAAAACAATAATAATCCTTGCATATGATATAACCCCTTATCATGTTATTGAGACGTCGCAAAGTACTTCACAGAATATATGGTAAAGTGGATTGGCTGTAATTTGTGGGTGAACCGAGGTAAGTCAATTGCGCACAGCAACTAGTTTTGGTCATTTTATTAAAAGACTAAAATGATCAATCTAAATATTTTTCATTGTGAAGTATTTTAAAAAATTAACTATTATAGAAACTGATATAGTATTTGAACTACCTTTACATTTCCTAAAATGTCTTTGAAACATCTCAATGTGCTTCACAAAATATACTGTATAGTGAATTGACTGTATATTTTGTGGGAGAAAATGGTCCAAATTAATTAATGTGTTTATTGGGACCTAATCTCTGGTTTTATTGCTCCCTGTAGATTATTCTACCTCATGTTTTATTGAATTACTGTATGGTTTTCACTTCTAGTCCAAGCACAAGCTGAGACCAATCACACCATTAGAGTCTGTTGTGTTAACCTTATCTAAACTTCCTGCCTTAAGATGTTATCAGAATACAGCAGACATCCTGCTGGTGTGAGCAACCACAAGGTCAGGTACTGAGGCAAGAGGAAACCAACACTGCCCAGCAACATCAGTAAAGGTTATCTCTCCCAATATTCCAAAACCACTTCCAAAACGTTAGCAACAATACACAATAATATATTGCTTTTACAAGGTGAAGAATGCACACAATGTACTGATATTCAACTTAAAATTCTAACAAAAGAGCCATTGAGATTTTTATGCCAACTGGACTATTAAGATTTTTAAAACTATAAAAGGCAAAAAAATTACCCACATTTACAAGAATCTCCCCAAAAAGTATACTTCGACAGTCAAACATTTGTCCTCATTTCACAAGCAGCAGTAATGCAATTCAACAAGGTCAGTTGGTCCTCAAAGTTTATAAACTATTCTGTCCATTACAAAAGAGGCTTATCAGATATATAAATAGAATGAACAAATGCTATATCTGGCTGCTGTATGCGGTTGGGTGAATGACAGACAGATGGTTTGTTAAACTGAGTGACCTTCGTACACCAGCCACCTCTGCTCCCTTAAAGTCCAGGCGGGTTCCACTGAGCGCACCGAGCTTAACTTGCACACAGCAGTGTCCCGCAAACAGTCGTGGATTGAAGTGACCAATTTATTATTGTTTTTTTTCTTGAGGGATTATTATCAGGCGTGTGGAGTAAGGAAACTTGCCCAAGGTTTTGCCCTGCCGGGAATCGAACACAGGTCTCTCACTTGTGAGGCAACAGGACTCCACATTGGCAGTTGAGCAATACTCGTTGGATACTCTTGCCCCCATCACCTCCCGTACTGCCTCCTACTCTCGCTCCTCCCCCTGGTTCACCACCCACCTCCACTCACTGAAGAGCCAGGTGCGGGCCGCTGAACGCACCTGCCTCAAATCTGGCCTAACAGTCCACCGACAAATCTGGCTGGACCTCCTCAAAATCTACCGCTCCACTCTAGCCTCGGCCAAGTCGTCCTTCTACTCCAGGATAATCCTGGAGGTGAAGAACAACTCCAGGCTTCTGTTCTCTACCACATCCCGACTCCTCCGTCCCCCCGCCACTCCGCGCAGGTCATCTCCTCCAACCTTCACTGCGAGGAGATGCTGGATTTCCTTGAATCCCAAATCAAGGGAATCCACTCCACGGTCACTCCCCCTCCAACTTCCACTTACTCCTTCCCTTCCCCACCCCTTTCCTCCCACACTCCGACTCCTACCCATCCTTCCCTACACACCTTCATACCCGTTTCCCCACCCTCTGTCACCAAACTCATCTTGTCCCTGAAACCCACCACCTGCTCCCTTGACCCCATCCCCACTCCACTTCTTATCTCTCAGCTCCACCTCCTTGCCCCACTTCTCACAGACACCATTAACCTGTCCCTCTCCTCTGGCTCCGTTCCCATTCCCCTAAAAACTGCCACCATCACTCCCACTTTGAAAAAACCCTCCCTTGATGCATCGCAGCTATCAAGCTACCGGCCCACCTCCAACTTCCCCTTCCTGTCCAAGGTCCTTGAAAGAGTTGTCGCTTCCCAGCTGCGCTCTTTCCTCTCCACCCATTCATTATTCGAACCCCTTCAGTCGGGTTTCCGTGCTGCCAATAGCACAGAAACTGCCCTGGTCAAGGTCACCAATGACATCTTGACCATCTGCGACCAGGGTCCCCTCTGCCTCCTCGACCTGTCGGCCGCATTTGATACGGTCGACCACGCTATCCTCCTCCACCTCAACCTTCAAGGCCCTGTCCTTGAGTGGTTTAGGTCGTACCTCTCCCATCGTCTTCATTTTGTTTTCACAAACGGCTTTTCCTCCACCCCCCGCACTGTCTCGTGCGGTGTCCCTCAGGGCTCTGTCCTCGGTCCCCTCCTCTTCACCCTCTATATGCTCCCCCTGTGGTGACATCATCCGCAGACATGGGGTTAACTTCCACATGTATGCGGATGACACCCAACTCTACCTTTCCTCCTCTACCCTCAACTCCACGACCCCCGATGTCCTGACAGCTGCCTGTCCGACATCGAGTCCTGGACGAGAGACAACTTTCTTCAGCTCAACGTGCGCAAAACTGAGGCCCTCCTGATTGGCTCACGTCAGCTCCTCCGCGCCTCAGGCGCTGACAGCCTCCGCATCAAAGGCTGCACTCTCCACCTCTCAAAGCCATCAGGAACCTCGGGGTTCTTTCGACCCTGAGCTGTCCTTTCTCACTCATATCTGCGCCACAACTGGCACCGCCTTCCATCACCTCTGGAACATCGCCAGACTACGGCACTACCTCACCCCTCACGCTGCTGAAACTCTGGTTCACGCCTTTATCCCCTCAAGGCCGGACTATGGGAACTCTCTCCTCGTCGGCCTTCCCGGCCCTCCCTCCACACTGCAGGTCATTCAGAACTCTGCAGCTCGTGTACTGTCCCTTCGCGACCACATCACTCCCACCCTCGCTCGCCTCCACTGGCTCCCCATCCCCCAGAGGATCGAATTCAAGATCCTCATCCTCACCTACAATGCCATTCACGGCCTCCCTTTCCTCCTTCAAGGCCGGTCTCAAGACCTTTCTCTTCAACCATGCTTTCAGCTCCCCTCTCGACTCTCTACCCCCTCCTCGCTCCCTCCCTTTCCTCCCCTCACCCTGACCATTTCCCCCCTCCTCGCTCCCTCCCTTCTCTCCCCTCACCCTGACCATTTCCCCCCCAATGCTCAGGTCCTGACCCAACTGTCCAGCGCCTTGGAACGTCCTCCCGACGTGAAAGGCGCTCTATAAATGAAATCTTGTTGTTGCTGTATTCTCTGTGAGGTGAAATACGAATACAAGTTCCAATTGCATTTCTGCAGTATAAATGGCATTATTCCCAAAAGACATGAGGAATTCATCAATGGAAGTGTTACCTGGCTGATAGAATAAAGGAACGCTCCACACTTTCTATATTCAGTTCATTCTGGTAGGCTTCTTGAGATGGTTTACTGACCTAGAGCACAAAGAGCACATTTTAAAGCATTGTATTTCATCCACAAAATATATTTTGCCCCCAAAATATGCAGTCAATTCACTTTACAATATAATATATAAATAGTAATCCTGGCATTTGATATAGCGCTTTTCACGTCTTCTCGACTTCTCAAAGCGCTTCACAGAATAGACTGTAAAGTGAATTGACTGTATATTTGTGGGCGAACGCAGCAGCCAATTGCGCACAGCAGTGTCCCACAAACAACCGTGGATTGAAACTGACCAATTTATTATTGTTTTGGAGGGATTATTATTAGGCGTGTGGAGTAAGGAAACTTGCCCAAGGTTTCGCTCTGCTAGTATATTCTATGAAGCGCTTTGAAACGTCTCAATGACATGATAAGGCGCTATATCAATGCAAGGATTATTTTTATTGTTGAAATTGTACTTTTTACATAAGGAAAAAGTATGATTTCAGTTGTGGCTTTTATATTTTTTAAGTGAAAGCCTTTTTACGCATGGCTGGAGCACGCTGGCATCAAAGTGAATTCACTGTATATCCTGTGGGCAAAATGCAGCAGACAATTGCGCACAGCAGTGTCTCACAAACAGTCACAGATTGAGTGACCGAATTCTTATCAAAGTAGTCGTTCTAGAATAGAATTTTATTTAAAAAAAAGGGATTATTATTCCCGGAAAGTGATCGGTCAATCGACTAACAACCGGGTTCCTACTTACTGCTAGGTAAACAGAGGTGTGTGGAATAAGGAGACTTGTCCAACATTTTGCTCTGCCCAGGAATCAAACCCCGGTCCTCTCATGAGTGCTCTGACCACTACACTACAGGGCTCCGGATATTACATTGTTTTCTTCATTGTGTGGGCAAAGAAACTGAGCATTTAATATAAATTTAATTTGCAGTTATTTTCCTACACTGTATTAAGAGTTTAGTCCAAGAGATGTTGGGGAGATGAGAATCAATCACTCACCTTCATACCTGCCAGTGACAGCATGTTATTAAGCTTATACATTCCAGACTGCACTGGTGTAGTGTACAACAAAACATCGTTTAGCTGCAAAAGTTAGAAAAGAATGTAATTAAAATTGAAAGCAACAATCTTCAATCAAGTCAAAATCCAGTGTTTTCCCACCCCCCGCCCTCCCCACCCTAAATTACCCATACCATGCATGCATGAGTTCAATAATAATAATTTAGCATTTTACTTAGTGCCTTATCATGTCATTGAGACGTCTCAAAGTGCTTCACAGGATATACTGTAAAGTGAATCGACTGTATATTTTGTGGCCGAAACGCAGCAGCCAATTGCACACAGCAGTGTCCCACAAACAGTCGTGGATTGAGTGACCAAATCATTATTATTAAATGAACTGTGCTTTAAAGAACTGTCACAAAAGCAGTTCTTTGAATCTCATATACTTAGGCTTCATCTGTACATGCATTTTTCTAAATAAAAAATTACAGCGTTGAAGACAGTAGAAACACAGAAAAGAGCACCATTTCCAGCCGTGTGTAGGAGGCAAATAGAATTTCGAACTTTACCAGAAAAAACATTCGCGGCTGCATGATTTTCCTGGACAGCTTCATTAGAGTTCCTTCCTTTAGAAAAACCTAGTTACATCAAGACAAAATGTATGAAAATGTTATTAGTTGCAATAGGTTAGCAGACTGGACAGATTTATATGTAAATAGTGTTCAAATGTGTTGAATATGTACTTGAAAAGCAAACGTGCCATTAACTAAATCACCTGCTTTAATCTAGAAGTTTCAGATATTGAATGATCTGAATTAGAAGTTACAGTCTATTCTGTGAAGCGCTTTGAGACATCTAGAAGACGTGAAAAGCGCTATATCAAATGCAAAGATTATTATTATTAAATTTAGAAGCCCTCGTCAGCTGATTGTTGAAGCTGCAATTTTCAATTGGGCCACATGATGGTTTGCTACCATAAAGAAAAGCTTTGAGGCTGGAAAAAAGTTTATTTTATACCAGAAAAAATGGTATGGAAAGTGGTACTAAGGAATGAACAGTTTACCTGTCAATCATTTCATATTACAACTTCTTTTATTATCTATAATGAAGTCAGATGAAGTTTTTTTTTGTAAATCCTGTGTTAGAGAGCGTTATAAAAATGGTCTTCAATTTTCAATAAATCTTAATGAGAAATAGGGTTTGATATAGTGCCTTATCATATTGTCAAGGTGTTCCAAAGTATTTCAAGGATTCACTGGCAAGTTTAGCAACTGTATTTGTAGGTGAATTCGGCAGCTAATTTGTACTATATAGTGCAACCATAATCTCTAAACATGGAAACAAGACTTGCAGAGATAGTCAGTAGTCCTCACCCTTCCTGGCTGCACAATCTCATGTTGTCCATTGAGGCTGTATTGAATTTGCATCAGCTTCTGGAAGTTATCCTAGAAACATTAAAATAAAACTCAAGTTCATAGCCAAATTCTCAACAAGCCTTGGAAACACAGCAAGTATCAAATGCAGTGATTTACAGTGAAACGGGTCTACTTACCCCTTGTTTCATGATGTCATTGGCATGATTGGCTACTTCAACAACGATGGCAAGGGCAGCTGACATGATAAAGAACAAGTGGCATTAATAATTGAAAGATAAAAATGGAGCTCGAAATTTAAAATGTAACTTAAAGACGATTGAAATTAAAATGGAGAGTACCTTGAGTATCTTTATAATCAACACAGTCTTTAGACAGGTTTTTTACATAGTCTAAAACAGAAACAGAGAACAGTTCATTGCAGTATGCTTCTCAGCAAATATTCAAATAATGTGAAGGTCATTAGAACAATAACTTGCACGTATATAGCACCCTTCAAGCAGAGTAACATCTCAGAGCACTTCACAAGGACAGGATCAGATGACAAGCATTGGAGAGGAGAAGGGGATAATGGCTGTTGGCATGTCGAAAGAGGGAAGTTTGAGGCAGAACTTAAAGACAGATAGAGAAGCAGAGAGACAGAGAGAGATAGGAAGAAAGTTCCACAGATTAGGTGCATAGGAGATGAAGGCTCAGCCAATGATCATGAAGCAGAGAGGGCATGGAACACGGGGTAAGCCCAAGTTAGCTGAGTGGAGAGGGCAAATGGAGGTATGACTAGTTTTCTAGACAAGGTCCCCAAACCCCAAATTAAATGGTAAAAGGAGACTGCACTTACAATTAACCAAAGAGTGACTATCCCCCTGGGCCGGGGGGAGGAAAGAGGTAAGCAGCGTCTCTGAGCTGCTGTTGTAATTGCTTTTTTGACTGAGATCAGTTAACTAAACACAGGTCAGCCACTTTCTGGAAATGCTCAAAACACATGTGGATGATCACTGCTCAAACTGATACCTTTACCTCCTCACTCCAGTCCATCTATGGAGCTAACTGAGACAGATTTGTTTCATGAGGGTTAACTATTATCTTCCTTTGTACAAAAAAAGTACTCCATAACAAATCACTGAAATTAATTTATGCCACTTTTATATCAGCTGATTCCAAAGAAGTGCTTTATATTCTAAAAACTTCAAACGAAGCCCATGTAATAATAATAGTACTTGCATTTGTTATAGCACATTATCATGTCATTAAGAAGTCTCAAAGCATTTCACAAAATATACTGTAAAGTCTGGCGACTGTATATATTGTGGGCAAAAGACAGCAGCCAATTGAGATTTAAATTTTTTTTAAATTAAAAAAGTTGAACATGTAGCTTTAGAAAATAGTCATCTATACCACATGGCTATTCTACGTATCCACATTGACCATCTCTGATCTAAACCATCAAATAAAACTCAACAGGTGATAAATAATGCATTCTTCATGGTTGCTTTCCATCAATCCCAAATGAGATCCTGTTATTATATGTGATAAGAAACATGGTTTTAACTTACTGATTAGCTTCCATTTAGTAAATTTAGTTGTAATGATACAACAATAGAATCTCAAGCTCAAATCCATTTAATAAGAGTAAATGGTTCTGAATGGCCCATGTGAAGAACTATATGCTGTTGACTGTCTGCTAAGGATACAATTTATCTGCAGCATTCAGTAAACTTTGTACAATACTTTCTGTACTTCCTTCACTCTGACCGCTTCCAATACTCAATAAGTTTAAGTTACAATAAGCCACACAAAGCTGGTAATTTCAAGTGATATGGAGGCCAGATGCTACCTAGGCCAGAAGGGAAATTCAGCAATCCAGCCCACACTCCTCACTAGGTTTACAGCACCTTTAATAGCCCGGTTTTCCCAGCAGCTTAAATGTTAGAGGTGTTTCAATTGAAGGCCAAAACATACATACTATTCAATTCAAAACTCACCAAGTCCTTTTTACTCCCAAATTAATTAGCACAGTATTTACTCTCAAACTAAACCTTCCACTGCTGTAATACCGCACTTAGGGACATGGTGAAATAGGTTACCATACTGCATTAAGGACCACAGTATTTAAAAATAATCACTAGATGGCAGTAGAATCACAGAACCAGTTGTCTTATATAATAATCCTTGCATTTGATATAACGCCTTATCACGTCTTCAAGACGTCTTAAGGCGCTTAACAAAATATACTGTAAAGTGAACTGATTGCATATTTTGTGGGCGAAACGCGGCAGCCAATTGCACACAGCAGTGTCTCACAAACAGTTGTGGATTGAGTGACCAAATTATTATATTAAATTATTTAATGCTAAATGCAGGTACAAATTCCCATTTAGAAAACTACGTTACTTTCCTTAAATAGATGTTTTTGATCCATGTGGAATCAAAACATCAAAATAATAATACTACAATATCTCCCCGTTTTCCATTGTTCAGTATGCTTATACTAACTCCAGATAGCCCAATGCACAAAAATGTATGGCACAAACGTGTTTAAAAAATTGAATGGCACTAAAAGTGATAAAAGATTAAGCTCCAAATGTTACAAACTCACCTGCTTAGCTTTCCTGTGTAACATGGCATAATAAGAGAAAGTGATAGATTTTGTTTTATTTTAAAATCCAGAACTCCTTTACAAAACACAATACAAATTTATATTTATACGGCATCAGTCATGTCAGGAGGATGCCCCGAGGTGATGTAATGAAGGTAAAGTGCGTATGTGCTAATTTTTTTTAACAGATAATAATTGTTCCCAACATGAGAAAATTAGATAAATTACAAAGTAGACTTAAGTTCTTAAATCATAAGCCCTGTTGTTACAAGATTTGGCGGGTATAAAGGGACTATTGACTTGTTCCAAAAAGGACATTTTATTGTAATAGATAAGCTTTCAGAAAACCATTGGGACAGCAACTTAATACACTAACATGGTGTGTAGAGGGACAACAGTCAGGAATGCTCTTGAGCATCCGTCAATCTGTGGAGATAAGTGGCCATGAGGTGGTTCCCCTCTCCACTCTAAAGAAGTGAGGGAACAGTAGTCAGGAAAGCCATATTCCTGAGGTTATACTGGGCTGAACAGAAGCAAAATGACTTAGTTTTAAAGAATTTTTAAATTAAAATTTTCAAGTAAACAGTTTAAAACACAATCTCGGAATGTTCTAGAATTCCATTTTAATTAATTTGCAATATCTGACTGAGAATTTGAGATCCATTTGAAGAAAAATTACAATGAATACTAAAACTATATTGTGTGTTAAACAGCAACTTTGTATGAAATAAATGTAAAAATCTCTGTACAACAGTAGCATACACATTATTTTGAGATAGATACGCTTGCAGATACTTTTGGTCGTGTGATGTCCAACACATGTAGAAACCCATCACAATGCATAAGGCCATATGGCATAGTTTGCTATTACAAGCACTGTCTGGCAAGCTTCCTGATGCTTTTTCAGCTAGAACCACCCTACCCATTGGGCTTTGGCTTGTGAGATTAATAGAAGCCAAGTGGGAAGTATCCCTACCACAGTAACTGGTCTTCCGCTCCGACTCTTGCTTACGAGCCAGGCTGGCTAGTTTACCATCAACAGTGCCGTGGCGTACCGCAGCCATGAAACTATGGAGACTGTGGCAGAGGATCAACTACAACAACAAGATTGCATTTATAGAGCGCCTTTCACGTCGGGAGGACATCCCAAGGCGTTGGACAGTTGGGTCGGGACCCGAGCAGGAGATAAATGGTCAGGGTGAGGGGAGGGAAGGGAGGGAGCGAGGAGGGGGTAGAGAGTCAAGAGGGGAGCTGAAGGCTCGGTCAAAGAGAAAGGTTTTGAGACCGGCCTTGAAGGAGGAGAGGGAGGAAGCGGCGAAGGCACTGGGGGATGGTGTTCCAGAGCCTCGGGGCTGAGAGGCTGAAGGCTCGGCCACCGATGATAGGGCGGTTAGGGTGGGGGATGTGGAGCAGACCGGAGCCAGAGGAACGGAGGGTACGGGCAGGTAGGTAAGGGGATAGTAGGTCGGAGAGGTAGGAGGGAGCGAGGCTGTGAATGGCCTTGTAGGTGAGGATGAGGATCTTGAATTCGATCCTCTGGGGGATGGGGAGCCAGTGGAGGCGAGCGAGGGCGAGGGCGAGGGTGAGGGCGAGGGTGGGAGTGATGTGGTCGCGGTGTCTGGTGTGGGACAGTACACGAGCTGCAGAGTTCTGAATGACCTGCAGTGTGGAGGGAGGGCCGGGAAGGCCGACGAGGAGAGAGGTCCCATAGTCCAACCTTGAGGTGATAAAGGCGTGGACCAGAGTTTCAGCCGCGTGAGGGGTGAGGTAGTGCTGTAGTCTGGCGATGTTCTCGGAGGTGGTGGAAGGCGGTGCCGGTTGTGGCGCGGATGTGGGGAAGAAAGGACAGCTCAGGGTCGAACAGAGCACCGAGGTTCTTGACTGGCTTTGAGAGGTGGAGAGTGCAGCCTTGGATGCTGATGCTGTCAGCGCCTGAGGTAAGTAGCCTAACGAAGTTTCATATTCCATTGTCAGACATTTTACCTTGAAACCAGGTCAGCCATAATGAGGATATTAAGTCAATTTGATTAATGGACACCAGACAGTCTTGCACCCTACCTACGTGAACATCAAGTAGCAGAAACTCCTTGAAAGAGAGAATAGTCATTACTCCTGCTCACACACAGCATGTATCCCTACCCACTGAGCCCTGGTTTCACCAGTTGGAAATGTACAGCTTCCCCTCTACAAACATTAGATAATACAGTATTATGAAAGACTACCAACATCCTATGTCTAGGCTACAACCTCAAACCAGTGACAAAATATTTTTAAACTGTTAAATGATTTACTTTAACTGAAATTAATTTCATTTAAATATCGAAGAAATGAAAACTGAAACTACAACTGCCACATATCAGTAACCAGATAATTAACCGTTTACATATTAACCAACAAGTGGAATTTCCAGTGCAGGAATAACTTAAAATCATCATCCATGAAATGTTTGTTTCACATTTCCGATGATGGTCCTGTGGGTAACAGCAGAATCCAGGCAGACTAGAAAGTTGTTGGCTTGATATAGTTCTATGCTGATTTGGCCGATTAACAACAACAACGTGCATTTATACAGCACCTTCACGTGGGATAGTGTCCCAGAGCTCTGCCAGCGAAGCAGATGATGTGCTACAATTAACCTTTGTGCCCCATTAAGAGGGGAAAATCTGATCGGTATCCAGAAACATTTGCTAGAAAGTGGGTATATCAGATGAGGGCAAGATCAGACTTAACTGTTATGCCTCCTGCAGTCAAATATCCTATCAAAACTCACACAAGAATAATGACCACCTAGGAACGGCCCTTAGAACTGTATCCCAGTGGAAGGAAAAGGAGTCAGATGCTTTTATTAGCAGAGAAAGTAAAAAAAGCCCAAGCCAATAACGGTCATCAAAATGTTAGAAATAAGGCACAATAAGAAATAATACCTGTTAAAAGCAGTTTGTACTGTGGAATCCTCTGGACAGGCTTTAACAGGTAATGTTTGAGGGCCAGGCTTGCACACCGAGAACTCATCTGAAACAAAACAAACACAGCCCTGAAACTTTGTAGAGAAGAACAAGGACATTCAATAACAATTAAACATAGCATTGAAACTAGCTTGCTTCTTTAGCAAGTTGTATTCTGATGACAACATGAGCTGTTGTTAAGTGTTCAAACAAGACTTCCATATTCGTGGAGTGCTGTAGCATATTGGTTAGAGCATTCACCTCGCAAGTGAGAGGACCTGGATTTGATTCCCGAGCAGGGCGAAACCTTAGGCACGTTTCCTTACTCTATACGCCTCTGTTCACCTCGCAGTAAGTAGGAACCCGGTTGTTAGTCGATTGGTGAATCACTTTTTCGGGGATAATAATCTCTTCAAAAAAATTTGGTTACTCGATCCATGACTGTTTGTGGGATACTGCTGTGTGCAATTGGCTGCCCCGGGTTTTGCCCACAAGATATACGGTATATACATTTTACAGTAAATTCTGTGGAGCACTTTGAGATGTCTCAAAGACATGATAAGGCACGAAATCAAATGCAATGATTATTATTATACAAGGTATTCAAAGTTTTTACCTCAAATTCTTTAACTACGGCAGCAAAGATTGGATTCTTCTTGCACTGTTCATCCAGTAAACAAACATTCTTGTCAAACTCTTTGATATAAGTAGAATACATCTTTAGGTATGGACCTTTCGTCATGAATATATCAGCTATTCTCCGATGTTCATTCCTGTAGACAGAAACAACGTTTTGACAAAACAGAAATAACATTTTGCAATAAGAACTTCAGCTAGAGACAACATGTCTCTAGACAACTTGTATGGGTTAGGAATGGGTTAGTTACAAGAGTAAATCGTTTTTAAATTGTAACCTTTGATCTTTAGTGTTCAAACTATATGGGAAATATAACTATATAGTAACTAAAATAAATAACAAAATACAATCAATTCACTTTACAGTAAATCCTGTGAAGCACTTTGAGATGTCTTGATAATGTTATAAACCACTATATCAAATACAAGGATTAGTATTAAAGATAATGAATTTAGTATTCAGTACAACCCACAAACCCAAAAGGTTCTATTTTTCAAATTGTACTGGGTTTCAATCATACAAATATTATGCAGAAAGGTTAGTTACCAATGTGCCATTCTCTCCTCAAGTTCTCTGAGCAGCCCTCGGTTTAACTCGTATAGCTGCGGTAGATAGTACAAGATCTGGTTCAAGATCTTATCTTCAATCACTTGCTTCCCATATTGTCTCGTTGCTTGAGTCACTGCATCTCGGAAATCCTGTTGGAAGCCATCAAAATTGAACATAGTACTTGTAAAATTATTTTGAATATTCAAATCTGTTTCTTGATCTTTCTATAGCCAGAAGGTAGAAACTTGTGACCTAACCAATCCTTCTAAGTGGTTGCTGAATCCCCTGAAATGATTTTATTGTCTTTAATAATCTTTCAGCACAACGTAATTTTGGAACACTGCAAGACTAAGCCTAAAATATTCCCAAACCAAAGGCACTCTAGGTTTTCCCCAACATCATTAGTTGGTGTGGATCTGAGACCATTTGTAGGGATGAGCCATGATGCAGTAAATATACAGTAAATAATAATCTCTACATTTGATAGAGCAACCCCCAGAAAAGTGATCCTCCGATTGACTAACAACCGGTTCCCACTTACTGCTAGGCAAACAGAGGCATGTGGAGTAAGGAAACTTGCTCAATGTTTTGCCCTGGCCGGGAAAACGGACCCAGGTGCTCTCGCTTGCGAGGCAAGTTCTCTAACCACTAAGCTCCAGATGCCAGAAGGAACAAATACCAGTGAGGAAACTGGACAGACCAGCCTTACATTCCTCACAACTTATTTCCACAAAAAAAGCACCTTTCTGAGATGATTGGGAGGGGGCAAACTGCTATAATCATCATCCATAGAATCGTTTTGCATCGTCAAACTTATTTTTGAATATTTCAAGATTGTATTTGAAAAAAAAATTGACAAATTGGAAATTTGAAAATAATTTGTGACTAAATACAAATCAATGTTACCTTTAATGCTTTGTACAACTTTGAAAATAGTTCAGACTTGTAGACACTGCATTACATAAATGACTATTCAACCAGAACTATTTTTGGAGTGCTTTAGAAAACCGCAGTCTGCGCCACTAACCAATTATTCAAACAATCCTGACTTTCAGACGGCACCCAAACAGCTCTGAACTGCTGACAAAAGCAGCATGAACCCCATCATCATAAGAAAAGAGACTAAGCACGTTTGCATGCAGCTGTTAGGCACTCTGTGCAACTAGGATATCTGATTTGCATTCCAGTTGCTAGAACGGCCAGGACTTGTTTGACGAGCTGTGCGATCTGTCACGTGATTAAACAGCAGCAGATGACATAGTGAAACAGAAATGGAAAGCACTGACAGGTGGCCAGCCAGCAGCCCTTAGCACACATGTCTGTAATGGATACCAAAGCCTTTTAATGGGCAGCCATACATTTCATTAAAACACATATACAACAGCTGACCAGCAAACATGAAACATGTGGTTTCAAAGCGATACTGGAAAGTTAATCTGAAACTATTTAGTTATAGCTAGTGAAACATTGCATTTCAGAAAGAAATCTCAAATTAACCATTGGTTTCGCCCACAGAATACACAGTCAATTCACTCTACAGTATATTCTGTGACGCACTTTGAGACCTCTCAAAGACATGATAAGGTTCTATATCAATTGCAAGGATTATTATTATAAAACACATTTTATATAGCCCATCTAGTTTAAAATTCTCTTTCACAGATGAATTTCAAAATAAGACGAGAAGCAGTAAAATGCCTGAAAACAAAACATTACTTACAATATGCAGGAGTTTTAAAACATCCACAAACCTGTTGAGAGAAAAGCAAAGTTATCCTTTTCTATATGAACCAAGTTTAGTCAAACATTTATTGGATAATTCTGAAATCAATGTGAGCATAATATACTTACACTTTCTCCGAGCTCATAATTTCTCGAGCAATATGATAGACTTTAGTTTTTTTGCCTTCATCATTCTGCAGAGAACAAGAAACGCTTAGAAAAATGCTTTGGCATTTTTTAAAAAAATGGTGTTTCATTGCTACATCAGGAGAAATATCAAATAAAAATAGTAATAGATTTACTGGTTACTCATGATAAAACATTTATTCAAAACCCATTGCATCTCACCATATTCTAGGTTATGAATTCAAAGATGTTACCATATAATAATAATCCTTGCATTTGATATAGTGTCTTATCATGCCTTCAAGATGTCTCAAAGCACTTCACAGAATGTATTGTAAAGTAAATTGACTGTATATTTTGTGGGCAATATAGAAGCATGGATATAGTATCCATGCATCAGTTGCATTGGATAAAGTGTAAACGAAGATTTTGGAGCGCACTTGTGGTTCTCACATACTGCCGACAACTACTTATTTTGTTATTAGTTCAGGAGTCTATTTACTGGAATATAGTTTTCCTGAATACAGTTAGAAAAAAAAGTATGTTAAGTGTATTATAGGAAATGATGTCGTCCTATAAATATTCAGGTTTTTACAGGAGGAGAATCAACTGGCAGAAACAAAGTCGAGACAGAATGGGTGAGAATGAAACCAGGTAAGAACAGAACTGTGAAGGTGGAACTGAGAGGAAAGGTGGTGGAGAATAGATTGGTTGACAGTGTTGAGCGACCAAGAAGGACAAGAAGGCAGAGAGAGCCCTGGTTACACATGGAGAGAATGACCTTTGTGACTTTGACCAGGGCAGTCTCTGGACTGTGAGCAGTGTGGAATCCAGATTGGAGGGGTTCATGTAGGGAGTGCAAGGAGAGGAAACAGTGAAGCTGGGGAGCAACAGCTCATTCCAGAACCTTGGAGAGGAAAGAGAAGTTGGAGATGGGACAGTACTTGGTAACAGAGATGGGTCAAGTCTTCTCTAAGACATACATGCCAATTAATAGTTAATCTGACTCAGAGAGCAAATGGACTGTTAACTCACAGAAGCAACAAAAGTATCACATCGCTGCACTGGAAAATATTCTCCTGAAGTTGTCACATTGTTTTCACAGAAGAGAAAGTGCTTTCCCTGCATCTAACCTACCCTGTAACTTGTGAATACTCAATGCCAACACAAAGTATAAACAGTGGAAAATGTTCTGTTCTCCAAGACGGAGAACCCTGAACCTCCGCACTTGCTACAAAGATGCTGAACTGCAGAAATGCAGGTTATTGGCCCTGAAATGTTGCACAAATCATGGTAGGACTTTAAACGAAAAAACCAGCAACCCCAATGGTCTAATAAGCACATTGCCCCATACAGAATAAGTTGTAAAGTCCAGAGGATCAAAGATTCAAGACAGTGGAAATAAGCAAGGCTTGAAGTTAGGGCAATATTATTTACCTTTCCACCTCTGCAATCGTGAGGAAAACAGACCATTAGACAGTCTGACTGATCATTTTGAAATCTCTATGTATCTCTCAATTAAGCACTCTGAATCGTTACCCCAAATGAAGGGCACCATGTAAATGCAAGTTGTTGTATGTTGCATACATCAATCTCATTCAACATCAAAAAGGATCNTTTTTTTTGATACCCCTCTTAAAACTCCCCACACTTTCTGCCTCCACTACCTTGTGGAAAGGATATGTAAACTGTCTATTTGCTTTCCCCTTTGTATGATTGAGACCCTCACCCAATACTATTAAAAAAAACTATTAAAAATTGAATAGCACATTATTGACCAAAGTGAATCCAGAAAAAAAACAAGCATTCATAAAGCACCCCTCGCACAGAGTAGCGTCCCAGAGCACCTAAAAAGCCTTGGTTTGCTAATTTGTGAAACATTGATAATCAAAGTGGGTGGTAGTGATTGTAGAAAAACATGCAACATTGGATACATATCATGAATCACAGGCTTGTTTGAGAAGAATCAGAAGAAATTACCTGCTTGTCATCATGCTGATCCAGTTCTCCTTTGCTCGTATCTGAACTGGCATCTTCTTCATCTGAGCTAAAGATGATTTCTTCCTCATCTGAGTTGACATCCACCTCTGAAGAATGGTTATCTTGATCCTGCATATTGCTTCAGACAAGTCAGTCAGAATAAGATTGTTGTAACACTTCATCTGGACAACAACAGTTTGCATGTATATAGCCCCCTCAAGGAGGGTAGCATCCCAGAGCGCTTGCATGCATTGGCTATTGAATGTATAGAACTCAAACCATATTTTAGCTGAATTATTTTGTGGCTAATCAAAAGCAAGTGCTAGAAATGGAATTTTTTTTTCAGATTATAGGTTGCTAGTTATCATTACTGGACAGAATAAACACAGAGTTTAAAACACCTAACTCGGATAATAAATAGTAATATCTAAGTAGATTTTACTGCCAGGCAGTATTTTTTTTATATAATAACAATACAGTTTTACAAGTTTTGTCTCAGATTAACAGAGTTAATAGAGTTGATCTGAAACAATTTTTTCTTGGTCAGCCGGGTGTCTGACACATGTAGAAACTCATCACCATGCTTAAGAATATTCAAGCCAAACAGAGTTCCATGAATTGCACCTATACATGGAATTCCAGGGATATTTACTGGAATGGATGGGCACTCTCTTCCTGGAGGGACACAGTCTGCTGACATAATCCTGGAAAGTATTAGGCGCAGATTGGCAATAACTGCTGGAGTCTAAACACCTAAAACCACATAACTTGCCATTGAAAGCACTGTCTGACAAACTTTCCCGCTGATTGTCCAGTTGGGACCACCCTACCCGTTAGGGCTTTGGCTTGCAGGGTTAACAGGAGTTGGGTGGGAAGAGTCCCTCCCCTCTGTCCTTCCAGGCTGTGCTGTGCTGTCATCAGTGGTGCTCGGAGTACTGTGGACCTGACTGGCTCAGGAACTGGATTACCGAGACGGGTTAATATTAACATTCCGTTGCCAAACATGTCACCTTGGAGCCAGTTCAGTGCTTACTTGGCCCTCCTCTCAAGGAGGATAGTCTGAAACAATGTTTGCTGCTCTATAGACCAAGCCCCATGTTCATAGACTATTCAAAATACTTTGCTTTCATTGGTCAAGATTCTCAGAAAAACTTCTACAAAGAAAAATCATCTGAAAGCAACATGTAAGAATAAGGAATCTTATTGGTTGTGGGGGTGTGTGGAAGAGAGAAAAACATATATGTAATAATATTAGTACATGTATTAAAATGTAAGCTCCTCAACTAGAGGATTAACTTAGGAAACCCAATTATTAAAGCATTGGAGAAAGTTTAGGAGTCAGATTTTAGACCAGGGTTTAAACAAACATGTGCTTAACTTCTAGGCTAACAATTCTAAGAGCAAAAAATAACCCAAACCATTAATACTGTGTTTTGCCTTCTCTTCCTGAGCTATTTATAACCAATATACTATTCCATCGTTATAGTAATAAACAGGAAATTAATTTAAGCTTGCTTCTGTGGTTTAGTAAAAATAGATATGCTTTACAGACTACAAATGATTCAACGACTAAAGTAATCGTATCACAACAGTGACTACAGCTATAAAAAGCAGTTTGAAAATAGATCAAAGAGATACAAATTCTGCAAATATTTGTCATAAAGAAGATCACAGTAAGCCCCCACACAGTAAACATTTATAGAATATTTTTGCAAAGATAAAACTTTCTTTTTTAGCTTCCTCAATGGCCTAGACTAGAGAATAAAGAGACTGCTTGCCTTAGACTGGGATTCAAACCTGTGACGTTTAGTGTTAGTTGATCTCAAAGCAGAATAATTGAGCCCTGTGATCCATTAGATAGGACAGAGTGGGGGGGAATCAGCTCAGCTTCTTACCCCTGATCACTAACTTATGACTCCTGTTGGAAAACGAGCCCATATCATGTTAAGACAGAATTAGCCTCCGCTACGATCCTACCCACCCAATCAAACAGCTTGCCAACATTCAATGTGCAGTCTCCCACATGAACAGCTATTAGGTACGGAGTGACTTGTGAAACAATGGCTAGCATGAATCACCTCCAGGAGAGGGGAGAAAATTTATAAACCTTCCTCATTAAAATTACTGAACGATAAAATGAAACCAAAATTAAGCATCACCTTTCACTAGATGCTGCAAAATGTGTCCTTCTGCTCCCCTTAATTTACCTTTGAACAGCAGGTTTTAGGTTTAATAAACAACCAAGCTTTCCCACATGAAACTAAAATAGCACACAGCAGCTTCACATTTCACCCTCTAGTATCCTGACGCCACATGGACTTTCAATTTAACATTGGACCTTTAGAATCCTTTCATTGTTCTTCATTTGCTAAAACCATTGGTAGTGCGACACCAGAGAAACAAGGAGGGTTTCAGATTCAATCTGCTGTTTTGTCAAGTTAGTTGTATCTTAATAGTTGGTTTTCTACATTTGATCTCAGTTCCCCGCACTGATTGCTAACCAAAAATCCCTGGTGGGAAGTATAAATATGTGGTTTTCAAATGAGGCCTCTCAACAGTCAAATAACTTGTCACAATTCACTTTTAGGTCACTAACCAGCAACAATCAACAGTAAGAAGAGAATGATAAAAACAATCACCTATTATGTCAGACGACCATATTGAGATGGTCATACAGTAGTTGAAGAGGTTATAGTTGAAGGACTTTATATGGATTTAAACTGAAGCAGAATTTCACTGCCTCCAGGAACCCATAAAACAATCTTTCAAGCAAGCATGGACTCCTTCAACATGCATTTAACAATACAGAAAGCTTTGCTTTTATGTTTAAAGTTTGTTTGGGTAAGAAAACGTAAAACATTCAAGTTTTGAGAATCATTGACCAAAATGTTACAAAACACTTGAATATATTTTAGTAATATTCAAGTGAAACAGATATTGCACAAATATGGTCATGTGTTTATAAATATTCTTTACTTGTTATTTATATCAATTCCAATTGGAAGGTCAGATCTGGAAATTTTGGTTTCTGCATTTACATCTATTCAAATCAGCACTGAACACAATGGGAAGATGAACAGCATGCAATACATTATTCACGTCGAGACCAATCGTGATCAGCAGCATAAGCCATGAACTATCGAGAGATTTGATCTGTGCAAAGGTTTAAATGTTTTATTACTGTAAGTAGTGGATTCAATGTTACGATGAAGACCAATCATCAGTTAGTCTTCCATTTTCACATGAAGCTGACCATAACTTTGTTACAAACATAATTCTATTCCACTCCAGTAGCATGGCAAATGAACTGAGCCACTTTGACTAGAACTTTTCACTGCAATTTGCAATGCAGCCATTTTCACTACAGGTCCCACTGTACAAGATTCAGGCAAGTGTATAATTGCATAATTACCTGATGGATTGGTTCCTCTGATCTGAACTGTATTTTTGATAGCAGATTGACACAGCATAGGGTTCTACTTCATACAGATTTGGGTCACAGTCAGCATTGCTGGAAGAATCTTTCCAGTCAAAATTTGTACATATGTTTTCATATTTTGGAGAAAGCAGAACCTGTAGTTCGGTCAACTGCTCGTTAGAGTTTGGGGGACATTCTTTCTGAAGCTCAGTTGTGGACTCTTGTCGAATGGATGAGTTGTTCTGCACTTGGGAAAGATTCCTGAGCATAGGACCTTTCTGTGCAGTCTGGTGGCAGGAATTAGCAGAATATACTTTTAGTGGTTTATTTTTCCTGCCATCTGTCTGTGACCTTGGCCTACAGTGATTACTGTCTTGGTGAGTTTCCACAGAAGGAAGCACAGATGGTGCAGTGTCTATTGAATAGCTGCCTTTTGACAAAAATTTCTGGAGATCAGTTCTCATTCTAGCAGGGAGTTTGATACCAAGAATCTTTTTAAATGAATTTTTCTTTGGAGATTCCTTTGGGGACTGCTCAGGTCTTTCTATATCAGCTGAAGTGAATGATTTGGCTCTCGGCTTTAAAGCAGTTGAACGTTCCTTTTGTTGTGTAGTGCTTTCTGTTGCTACAATGCCTGGACTCCCCGAACATGGTAAAATAGGATGCGGCAGCCTCCATATAGGTTTCTCAGTCAAGCGAATAATCTTGTGCTCATCACTTGAAATTTTACTGTCTGTGCTTGAAAAGCTGCCTTCTTCCGAGTCATGTTCCACAGAACAACTTTCCCCTTTGACAGTCTCTGCTGAGAGGTCCCTTTTAATCAGTGCAACTGCAGGCAAACTGTGTCTCTGTGGCTTTTTAGGTATAGCTTTTGGAGAACCATCTGCTCTAGTGTACATTTCTTTATTGGTGCTTTTCCCTTTAAAGTCCGAGCCTTCCACGCTGCTGGCCAGAGGCACGTTCTGAACATAAGACAAACTGACGCATTTAGGCAAACTCATAGATAAACTACTTCGAACAAAGCTGCTAATTTTTTCTGCTGGTAATGTTCTGTTGCCACTTTCCAAGTTTCTTTTGATCTGTTCTATTTTACTTTTGTTTTCAATGTCTGAAGAAAGATCGACCTTGGAGACAGAAACCAGTGCTGGCTTTGTTAAGGTCAAACCACTTTGATTATGAGGCACTTTTAAGGAAACAAGTTCTTTGACTTGGCGGCTTAGCTCAGTAATGTTCTCAGAAGATTCACTCTGCCCTTCAACAGTTTGATGTGAATTTTCATAATTGTTCTTTGAATAAGAAACATCGTTACTATCTATAGAAACAAATGGTTTCCTGAAATCCGCCATGTTCCCCGTGGTCTTCAAACACGACTCGCTACTTGATGAGTTGAATTCCATGGGATCTTCTATGCAGTTCTGCCTAATGATACCAAGCAGACGTGCTTTCTTTGGCTTTGGCTTAGGCACTGGTTTGGTACAAGGTGCTGAATCGAACTGTTTCACAGTAGTTAAATGGTGGGAATCCTGAAAGATCAATTTCTCCTGTTCAGCAATTATAAAATTAACTTTGTGTGGATTGTAATGCCCCTTTTCTTTGTGGTCAGTACTATAACCATGGGAACTTTTCTCATTCATTGCTGCCCATTTGGTTTTATGAGCAACATTTTCAGCCTCAAGGTCTTTAACTCGGTCACAAAGCATCTCACTTTTAACTCCATTAGAACTTTTTGTATCCAACAAGGTTTGGTCAGCATTGAAGAGTTCATTTTTCCTATTATTGCTATCGTGTAGTTTTGCCCCTGTATCACAATCCGTCTCCTTTTGCTTTGGAAGGCAATTGTTTGGCGACACAACCTGAGTTAAGACTTCTTTGAACTTCTGTTCAGGGAAACCAGCTTTCCGGATTACCTGATACTTGTTGACCATTTTGCCACATTGGATATCTGGTCTGTGCCTTGTCCTTGAGGAATGCGTTTGGTCACATAATTTGCCATTTTCCAAGCCTTCAAGTTTGGCAAGTTGATCAACCACAAGTTGAGTTTTACATGTGTTTTTACCATTGATGTATTTTTGCCCACATTCAGCTTTACACGTGCAGGGTGACATGATGTAATTACATCTCGATTTACAGCCTTCTTTTCCTCCACCGTTCTGGCATTTTGGACACTTCACATTTTCAGTCAGCTCAACATGGATTTCTTCTGAAGATTGAATATTATTCTGTGGAGGTGTTGGATTCACGTCAACCACAAGTGGTTTGGAAAATGTTGGTTTTGGTGCTAAGGCTGGTTTGGGTCCCTTGTGTGCTTGTAAAGGAATTGAAAGAACATCTGGCTTGGGTGCCACTGGAGGTGGTCCTGGCTTGTTACCCACCATAAGTTTAGGTTTAGGGGCCACTGGTGGTTTCTTGATTTCTAACAGAAAATACATGAAAAGAAAAATTATTCATTTGCAGTCCTCAAAAAATAGCAAATCACCGTGCATTAAATTCTCTACTTAGAATCATACCAAAACATTTCATGGAAGGGTACAATGGCACAATTGGTTAAGATAGAAAGCTCTGATTTCAAGTCACAATTAAACCAAACTGTCTTTTACCCTTTTAAGATCAATACATTGAGTGCTATGTCTAAAAAAAATACTCCATTGTGTACAGAAGTTAGTTCTGTTTGCATTTTGTGGTAAAATCTGTAACGGTATGGAATAGTTATCTTGCCCCGTTAACAGTCATATATAGGCATCAACACGCATTGCAAATGTATATTTCCAGAGTTTGTGGAAGGATATTATTTGTCTTCCTGATAATGGTGGGTAATTAAGGCAACAACTACTGAATAATACTTCAGGGGGAAAATTAAGAAAAAATAGATCAAATTAGATTGGGTAATCAATGCAGGGATTATGATAANTTTTTTTCAATTAGTGGAATAATGAAAGCAAGATTAAAGGATTTAATTAGAATTGGTAATGTTAGAAGCCCCCATTTAAATTGTCATGCAGTCCTCCACCAGCTTCATTGCTTAACATGCAAATGCTGGCAAGGTAACTGATGCTTTATAACCAAATTTGGAACCTTGAATACAGGCTTACTCTTCATAAACGTTAGCAGGTCTCCTCAGTTTTTTTTCCAATAGTGATAATGCAACATCAGCATCACTCAATGCACAAGAAGGCTCAACTACTAACTTTAATAATACTTACAGTTGATACGCCTTATCACGTCCTCAAGACATCTCAAGTTGCTTCACAGAATATATTAATAAGTAAATGGACTGTATATTTTGTGGGCAAAAGGTGGCAGTCAAATATGCACAGCAGTGCCCTACAAACAGTCATGGATTGAGTGACCAAACTATTATTATTTTTTTAAGGGATTATTACCCCCTTGCGCCCATCCTCTCCACCGCACTGTGGCCTTCTGCCATTTTGCTCCCATTCTCTGGAATTACATCCCGGAGTCCCAATACATTGACCTTCTTTCTCCACCTTCAAAACCCACATTAAGACCTCTCTTCAAGCATGCTCTGCCACTTTGCTAGTTTGACATTTCAATGCAGTATTGGGAGAACAATGCATTGTCAGAAGTACTAGGGTTCAGGTGAGACATTAATCCAAGGCATCGTTGGACTATTCTGGTGGACTTTATAGAACCCATAACACGATTTGAAAAGAGACGGAAATTTCTCACGATATCCTAGCCAACAAACCCTCCAGTTAAATTGGTCATTCCTAGCTGTTTGTGGAACATTACTGTATACAAATTGTCTGCCACATTTTCCTACAAATATTATGATAATAATTGCATCTGATAGTGCCTTTTCACGTTATTGAGACATCTCAAAGTGCTTCACAGAATATATCCAGTTAACAGTATTTACTGTGAAGCCCTTTGAAATGTTTCAACATAAGCCACAATATAACATGCACGTATTTATGACTTAAAATCTTTTTCAATAGAAGTTCCAAATTGGAGACTCATATCAACTCTCTTTGAAAGATGACTAAGCTTCTTCTACTGGTAAGGACGAGGTTTCAGGGCCAGCTGCAACCAGGAGTTAGATTGTACCAGCAGGAAGCAAGCCTCTTAAGTTATGCGCTAAAATGGTTAATCGCACAATGCTTTTGTGTTTCACACTTTAAAAAAAAACCTGCTCCTCAAAATTAGACAATTACAACCCAAGTGCAGTCCACTCAAACTCAAAGAGCTATGGAAGCATGTAATTTCTTTAAAAATAAAAAAGTTTCAAAATGGAAAACTATATATCATACACAAGAAACTAAAGGGACAATTGGCAAAAGGACTCAAGAAGTTACTTATTGTGCTAGAGACTGAAATCTCAGCAAGTATTAGTATTGTCTATTTTTTAAAATAAACACCTAAGAACATCTGAACAATGAATTTTTTTAAAAAGATAAAAGCAATTCACAAGATCAATGTTTCAGTGACAGATACGAATACATGTTGAAACAGAAAGAACAAGTTTCCATGCAACTGAACTGGTTAGAAATAATGACTGATTGTTTTGCTTTTAAAAGTCTGACAGACAAAACTTGAGGGGGCTGATTTTATTCTAAACAGGAATTACTAAACACACCTCCGGAAAAGTGACAGATGGCAAAATACGTGGTAAAAGAAATATCCTGAATGAAAGATACAAGTCACTTTTGTTACTCTTTGTTACAGGACCCCATTATTTTAAGGGCAGGGAAATTATCTGTAGTGTAACTTACATTAGAAATTAGCCTTGACGACTTCAACCAACAAACAAACAATAACGAAAAACATGAATACGACACGTTTTGCAGATTAAATACTATTTATTCTGACTCAAATTTGACTTCTGAAAGGTTCAAACCGCCTTGGCGATTTAAAACCTCCTGAAATCAACAGCAAGCAGATACTATTTTTGACCGTAGCATTTCTCTGAAACTCTTATAACCATCTTTTCCTTTGCTCTTTTCTAGAGAACGAACAAATAAACAAAAGATCATGAAAGTTTGCTATCGGGACTGTCGCCATGAAGGGAAACCTGATCTGAAACAATGCCGTGCCCAGCAGCAGCTGCTGTACGTGCTCATTTGCTGATCCTGATAACAAACATCCTGAAGTTTGTGCGTGCGTTTGTCACCTCCCTGGATTATTCAAACTCACTCCTCGCCGGTCTCCCCAGCTCCACTATTCACAAGATCAGCTCATTCAAAACTCTGCCTCCCGCACACTGACCCGTACTCACATCTCAGCAGTTTGGCTCAGGCTCCACTGGCTCCCCATCACCGAATGCATCGACTTCAAAATCCCTTCACTCTCTGGCACCTCCCTACCTCTCCGACCTCCTCGCTCCCCAATCCACCACCCGGCACCTCCGCTCGACTGGCACCGGTCTCCTCCTCACACCCTCCGCCCCACCATCGGAGGTTGCACTTTCAGCCACTACGCCCCAAAACTCTGGAACATTCTCCCTCAATCCCTCCGCCTTGCCCCCTCTTTCCCCTCTTTCAAGTCCCGCCTGAAAACTTTCCCCTTCCCCCGCTCGGAGTCAGCCTCCGCCACTGTTAAGCTCTCTGAGACTCTGCCCTGCGTGGAGGGCGCGATATGAGTGAAGTTACAACAATAACAACAATAATCCTTGCATTTGATACAGCGCCCTATATTATTATTATATTAACATTGAGTCGTCTCAAAGCATTTCACAGGATATACTGTAAAGTGATTTGACTGTATATTTTGCTGTAAAGAGCACATATCATCCACCGGCCAAAAACAAACTGATCAACAACAGACGTGAGAAATAATAATAATAATAGTAGTAGTATTTGGATCACGTTCATCAGGACGTCCAGAAGCGCTTCACAGAATAGACTGTAAAGTGAATTAATTGACTATATCTTTGTGGGCAGAAGGGAAGAGCATTTGTTTTTAAAAATCACTTAATTCTGTAACTAACACAGACACACAGTCACACACACACATACAGTCACATATATACACACAGTCACACATATACACACAGTCACACATATACACAGTCACACACACAGTCACACACACAGTCACACATATACACAGTCACATATATACAGTCACACACACAGTCACACATATACACAGTCACACACACAGTCACACATATACACAGTCACACACACAGTCACACACACAGTCACACATATACACAGTCACACATATACACACACACAGTAACACAAACACAGTCACACAGACACTGGATTTCTTTAGGACGAAGGGAGAGAGAGGGAGAAGAGAAGAGAGATAAGCAAAGAAGGAAAGAAAGACCTCTCACCACACACACACACACATACGCACATCGCCGTGAAACTCCACACACAAAAAAAAAACCCCACACACAGGCAGCGCTTTCAACAAGTTTCACCACGAAGTTTTATCACGAAGTTGTACCACAAAGCAAACCACGAACTGGACTGTCTGTCCCTCTCCCTCTCCCTCTCTCACCTGTGCTCATACTGGGTTTCCGTGCGCTCCGCGGGCTCTCGCCCCCTCTCCCCACTAACTCTCCAGTTACTTTCCAGCCAAAGCCATTGTTTTCTCCTTCGCCGACACAGAGAGAGAGAGAGGGAGCGAGGCCCCAGGCTCGGTCTCCTGGGAGTGAGTGGGGGGGGGAAGAAAACCTCACCCAGAACCGGATCACGACGCCCTCTCTCTCTCTCTCTCTCTCCTCCTTTTTCACCTCAGCTCTGTCGTGCGTTCCCAGCGCTCGACTGCAGCGAAACCCCCCGCGCGCGCGCGCCCCCGCCCGCCGCGCGCGACACCCCTCACGGCCCAACTGCCATCCACAGCCACAGCGCACGTCATCACGTCACCCGCCTCCCGCGCGATATCAATCCAAGTTGTTGTTGTTGTTGTCGCCGCTGCCGGACGCCACCGTCCGAACGCCTGTCAATCAGGCCTTGACGTCATCACGCCACCCGCCTCCCGCCCGAGCTGCCAGAGACCCAGAGCCCTCAATACGCCTGTCACTCACGTCATTACGTCATCCTCCCTCGCGCGCCTCTCGACTCCATTGCCCGTCTCCCGCAGCATCTGCGTTCCCGTCAATCACGTCGGTACGTCACTCGCCCCACCGCCCGCCCGCCCGCCCGCCTTCTCGAGCTGCCAGACCCTTTGCGTCGCCCCCAACGCCTTGTCAACCACGCAGTGTCACGTGCTTCTCACGCGCCGCTGCCGCGCGGAAGGGAAGGTGGCGGGCTGATGCCTGACGGGAAATGTAGTTCATTGAGGCGGTGACTGCCCGCTCCGATCGGAAGGAATGAACAGCGCGGAGCGACTACGGGTCCCAGAATTCCCAGCGCCACCCCGGTCACCTGCTCTTTCACTCTCAATGGCGGGCAGCAATGTGTGAGGTGTTTGATGAGGAGCTGGTCCTGGAGGTGAGGGGAGGCCTCGGCGGTTTTGTGTTTGTTTCGCTTTTTTATTGCCACGTTTTATAATTTGCTCCATATTTCTACCGCTCTGAGGTTCCCAAACATTGCCCGAGAGCCACACGTGCAGCTATCAATCACAGCTCCACCACAGCAACAATAATCTTTGCATTTTATGTACAAGAAAACAGCAACACGAGTAGGTTTGACGCGGCGCCTGATCACTTTGTCCAGACCGCTCAAAAGGTTTCATGGAATGCACTGTGAAGTGTAGTGACTGTGTGTTTTGTGGGCGAAACGCGGCAGTCGATTGTACACAGCAGTGTCCCCCACAAACGGTCATAGATTGAGTGACCGCATTATTCTTGTTTTCTTTTGGAGCAGTTATTGCCCCTGAAAATCATAAGCCGATGTAAGATTCTAAGGCATGAGAATATGAGTTTTTATTAACACACATTAAAGAGGGAGGGCGGTCATGGGCTCTGTCAGGGCTTCTGCTTTTGATTCGTATTCAGTGACTTTGTTTGAAAAATGTTAAATGAGGATAGGATTGAATCCCAAGACCAGTGCCAGTACTGTCAAGAGCCCTGGAACCACCTCCCGACATGAAAGGTGCTATATAAATGTAAATTTGTATGATATTATAATTCGACTGATGCGTTCCATGACCCATGTTGGGAACTGCAGTTCATAATCCAGGCTGACACTCCAGTGCAGCAGTGGGGGGAGGGAAGAGTGCTGTGTTTTGGATGAGACTTTAAACTGAGATCCTGTCTGTCTGTTTTCAGGTTGATGTTATTGAACCCCTAATACTATTTGAAAAGAAAAGTTTCTCCTAGTGTTTTGGCCAACAGTCATGCAAAGAAATGAATCGTTCAACTACTTGTTGATTTTGGACATTTCTGGTTGACAAATTGGACAAATTGGCTGCCATGTTTCTTACAAATACAGTCACTATGCTTAATACTGTAATACTTTAATTACTTGGAGTCCTGTAGCTCAGTGGTTAGAGCACTCGCTTTGCAAGTGAGAGACCTGAGTTCAATTCCAGGCAGAGGGCGAAACCTCGGGCAAGTTTCCTTACTCCACACAGAGCCTAATAATAATCCTCCAAAACCAAAAACAATAATAAATTGGTCATTTTCAATCTACGACTGTTTGTGGGACATTGCTGTGCGCAATTGGCTGCCGCGTTCGCCCACAAATATACAGTCAATTCACTTTACAGTGTGTTCTGTGAAGCGCTTTGGGACGTCCTCCCGACGTGAAAAGCGCTATATCAAATGCAAGGATTATTATTACTGTAAACACATTGAGATGTTTTGCCGTTTTAGGCACTGTATCAAACACAAGCATTATTATAAGTTATATGTTCATGGTTGAAGAGTGTACTAGCAGTTATTGCTTAGGCTCACACATATGTTGACATGCCCATAGATTCGCCCATAAAATACACACTCAATTCACTTTACAGTGAGTGTATTATGTGAAGTGCTTTGAGATGTCTCGAAGATGTGAAAAGGCACTATATCAAATGCAAGTATTTTTATATGTCAGTAGATTCACTCCTCAAAAAGATTCAGCTCAGGGAAAATTAGGTCAATGGCCCAAAAGCCACAGTAAAACTTACAAAAAAAACTGCTTTGATTTGTCATTTGGTCAGATTAATTTCTATGTTTATTTACAGTAGTGTTGGCTGCCAGCTCATACCAATAATGGTGTGAAAGCTGAATTTATAAGATTTGTTGATACAGCTGGATCCTTATTTTTCCAGCTCCATAGGTGAGTGAAATCACAACATGCAAGCTGTAAGGAAAGGTACGTCAGCCAAAATGATCCGCAAACTAGACCTTGTCAATTTATGGTCTGCAGGAGTAATCAGCGTTTATCTTCTGTGGTTTCTTAGTTACTGGATTTTATCAAATTTTATAAGTCATGTCATTTACTTGAGTTCAAAGTCTCGACTGATCATTTACTTGAGTTCAAAGTCTCAAACTCCACTATTTGTAGAGTTATCAGAGGGCCTTCCTTCGGTAAGAATGTTACAGCCAGGATCCCACCTGTGCCTGTTCAGGTGGATATTAAAGATTTTGCCCCCAAAATACAGTCACTACACTTTACAGTATATCCTGTATACTGCAAAGATTGTGCAGAAGTATTGTTTGAGTGTTGCCACCAGTTGAAACCTCAGTGTTAATAGGGTGAATTCCTTGGCACTGGAAGTTCCAGTGTTGCAGGGCATTTTTCTTTGAAGTAGTTCCATAATTTAGCAGCATTGTTAGTAGTTCACACTGGTGACAGCTCTCATAGTGAATTCTAGACTCTGTGACAGGCTGTTGGGAAAGTTGCCAGATAAATGTGAAGCATTTCCCCGTTGGGTGGTAAGAAAATTGAGCAGTCGGGAATTTGAGTGCTCCAGGCCTTTACTGGACACCTAATATCTGGTTACAGAGAGGCAGCAGTGGAGACCTACGATTAAATTAACAAAGATCATGATCGTTGCAAGGTGATGACGCTAAAAGTAAATGAATAATCAGGAGTGTAGCATTCAAAGAAAATTCTATCTATTGAACTTAAAGTAAATCAGTCACTCCATTAGTCCTCCCAATGCCTGAGTTAGGCAATGGCGTCAATCATTGTAGTATAAAAAGTTGCAAACGGGAAAGTCACATAGATTCACCAGTCTGTCTACAATACCTAGTTGTTCTAAACTGAGCAAGACGCAGCAAAAAACAATCAAGTTTTCTACTCCCTATGACATTTGTTTGAAAATCTGTGTATATTTATGAGTGAAAGAGGGACTTCAGGGACACACCTGTGACATTCTGCAATTGTATTGTAGATTGTATCACAGAAATTTATACTGCAGAAGGAGTTATTTGGCCTATAATCAACCACAACAAATTACATGTGTATAGCGCCTCTCAAGTTGGGAGGACGTCCTAAGTCGCTGTCGAGCCAGCATCAGCTCCCAGTGAGCCTAAATTTGGGGGATTGTGAATTCCAATGGGCCATTCTACTCAACTTTTTACTTATTTGACATCCACATACATACATCTCTGTAGTAGTCATTGGATAAAGAAAAGGATAATAATGAGCCTTGCATTTGATATAGCGCCTTATCAGGTCATTGAGACATCTCAATTTGTGGAGTCCTGCAGCTCAGTGGTTAGAGCACTCGCTTTGCAAGTGAGAGACCTGAGTTCAATTCCAGGCAGAGGGCGAAACCTTGGGCAAGTTTCCTTACTCCACACAGAGCCTAATAATAATCCCTCCAAAACCAAAAACAATAATAAATTGGTCATTTTCAATCTATGACTGTTTGTGGGACATTGCTGTGCGCAATTGGCTGCCGCGTTCGCCCACAAATATACAGTCAATTCACTTTACAGTGTGTTCTGTGAAGCGCTTTGGGACGTCCTCCCGACGTGAAAAGCGCTATATCAAATGCAAGGATTATTATTATTATTATTATCTCAAAGAGTTTTGCGGAATATACTTAATTTAAATATAAAGTGAAATGTAAGTTTTGTGGACTATTTGATATTTTCTGTTGTGTTGCACTAGTTGTCTTAATGCTTCATCTTTTGGCCTTTTGTTAGAACTCTCCACTGTACCAGTACTTGCAGGATGTGGGACACACCGACTTTGAAACATGTCCAACTTTGTCAAGGGAGGCAGAAGAATGTGCGTCAAAGGAGGGCCCAAATGAACAGGATTTCCACACCACACCAAAAGTGAGTCTTTAGAGCGAGGCCGTACAGTGAGAAAGCAGGTCCTGTCCAAAACAAACATCTTGAGGACTCCGCTCTGTCCTAATATTAAAGAAACAGTTTTTTAAATCGCCTTTTAATTAGCATCTATCAAAATGAACTGTACATTACACCTCTGTTCTAAGGGAAATTTTATAGAGTCCTGTAGCTCAATGGTCACCTTGCAAGTGAGACACCTGGGTTCAATTCCAGACAGGGCGAAACCTTGGGCAAGTTTCCTTATTCCACACGCCTGATAATATTTCCTCCCAAACAAAAAACAATGATAAATTGGTCATTTTCAATCCACGACTGTTTGTGGGACATTACTGTGCGCAATTGGCTGCTGCGTTTCGCGCACAAATATACGATCAATTCACTTTACAGTGTATTCTGTGAGGCGCTTTGAGACGTCGAGAAGACGTGAAAAAGCGCTACATCAAATGCAAGGATTATTATTATTATTGGTTAGAACACTCACCTCACAAGCGAGCGAACTCGGGTTCAATTCCCGGACAGCGCGAAACCTTAGGCAAGTTTCCTTATTCCACGCTCCTCTGTTTACTTAGCAGTAAATAGGAACCTGATTAGTAGTCACTTTCCGGGGGTAATATTCCCTTAAAAAAAAAATCTGGTCACTCAATCCACGACTGCTTGTGGGACACTGCTGTTAGCAATTGGCTGCATCGTTTCACCCACAACATACGCAGTCAATTCACTTTACAGTATATTCTGTGAAGAGCTTTGAGATGTCCAAACAATGTGATAAGGTGCTGTATCAAATGCAAGGATTATTATGTTCCATTAGAGCACTCTGCGTCACTACCCCAAGTGAAGGGCACTATGTAGGTGCAAGTTGTTGTTGTTCAATATGTTCAGGCATTGAAATCCTTTGTCAAATTTTCCTGACGAGCTATTCAAATGAGCTGCTATTAAACACATTTGATTGTTCATCATTTTGTTTATTAACAATGTAATTGTCAATAGTCATAATTTTTCTGATCCAACATTATAACATTTAATCAAAAATTTACTTGCGATCTCCATATTCTTTTATTTAGAATAACTTTCTTGGGAAACAAAGAAATAGTGCGTGCGAATTGCTTGTTCACTTTGGTCCAAGATTATTGTTGTGACCTTGAAAGGGTGAACAATCTAGTGAATGTGATGACATATAGGTTGAATCTAATCATGCCTGTTGGGCAAGGTCAAGCTAATTTGGTCAAGTTACTATTTGAGACGTCTCAAAGCACTTCACAAATATACTGTAAAGTGAATTGACCGTGTATTTGGTGTGGGAAACGTGGCAGCCAATTGCCCACAGCAGTGTGCCACAAACAGTCATGGATTGAGGGACCATTTTTCACTCTTACCTTCTGTGTGAAGTAATTCCTCCTAAATTCTCTTTTAGATCGGTCATTTTCTATGTGCCAATGGTAATTTTTCACATTATTGAAAATTAAGGAAATTGGAACAGTTTCAAAAGTTTAAAAGAGTTAGACTGCCTAATAAGTGAAGTGATGTGCAATTGTGGATATTAAGGGCAGGACTGATTGAAAATTAGAAGACTATATTTGTATAATAACTAGAAGTGAAAATCATTTGTTTAAGTGGTGATGTGGGTGGCATTTGGTAAGGCTTCAATTGGCAGCTTATCATTCCTATGACACCATGCAACAGGGCAAGTCAGTCAATACTCTGCAAGTCAGTTAGTGCTGCTGTGTAAGTTGCTGGAGGGAGGTGTTTGCGTGAGAGCTACCCAGGCAAGAGGAAGCACCTGATTTTCACCGAATTCCTTCCTCCCTTCCCAAAGCTACACGGCTGTAACTGGCTCTCTTTCTGGGATGTTATGGGGCCGAATTCCTGTTCTACTGTGGAGCACTCGCATATCCTGATCTGTTTACTGGATTCATTCTTGTGATACCAACCTTTATTACATAACAAGCGTAGCATTTTCTGTAATAATAATAATGATATTTGCATTTATAGTGCCTTATTACTTTGTTGTGACGTTTCAAAGTGTCTTCACAGAATTGAATTGTGTGTAAAGTGAATTGACTGTATATTTTGTGGGCAAAACTCAGCAGCCACTTGCACACAGCAGTGTCCCACAAACAGTCATGGATTCAGTGACCAAATTATTATTATTTAAATTTGTTATAAGGGATTATTAATCCCGGAAAAGCGATCCACCAATCGACTAACACCTGGGTTCCTACTTACTGCTAGGTAAACAGAGGCGTATGAAGTAAAGAAACTTTCCCAACATTTCGCCTTGCCCAGGAATCAAACCCGGGTTCTCTTGCTTGTGAGGCAAATGCTCTAACCAATACGCCACCGGCTTCCACACTAAATAGAGATTACCACTTTTACCATTGCTCGTGCACTTAGCATTCTGGTCAAGCTTCAATGTCACATCTGTGTAGTTCTTTAATGGGGTTAATCATGTGTTAAGTATAAGATTAATCAAAATGTTTGGGTTGGATATCGTGGGAGCATTCCTTGTTTTTGTTTGTAACTTGAGACAGCTTGCCAAGAGATACGCAATGACAAAAACAAAAATGATTTCAGATTACATAAAAGGCATTTGCATTGCTTTGTATTTATAGTGTCCTTGATGTGGAGTGGCGCCTTAGAGCTCTTAAACATAAGTGTATAAATTAAATATTGGCTCAACCCTATCTATGAACAAGGATGGTATCAGATTCAGGAGAGCTCTATTTGAGATGCCTCTCGGTGATTCCCTGCTCAGTAACAATGAATCTGCTTGTCAGTAATACGAGATAGCTGGCTCTTTTAAATGGTCAACAAGTTTAAAATGGTATATGTCTCTTTAGCACTTACCATTGTGGGGAGCAGACCTCAACCCAATAGGAATTAAAGCACTTAATGCATTCAATTGGCTGTCACGTTTCGCCCACAAAATATACAATCAATTCACTTTTAGGTAAATTCTGTGAAGCTCTTTGAGACGTCTCAATGACGTGATAAGGTGCTATATCAGTGCAAGGATTATTATTATTTTAGGATCCAGTTGCTTCTGATAACTTGAAGATGCCATTGAAGTATACTAGAAATGTATTTTAAACCATCTGTGATTGTTATAACACATTTAGCCTTTTACATTATTTACTATTTGATTTTTTTGTTTCTTGTGTTTCTTTTCATATAGAGGAGCTTTTTATTGAAGATTGCTGATGTTTGTCAAAGGTGCAATCCGTTTACTGGATCCAAAATCAAGAATGATTTGGAATTTCTGGTAAGTTTTTGCTTAAGGTGTACATTTGTTTACTAAATCTAAATTGACTAAATTTGGTCAGTGAATCCACGACTGTTTGTGGGACAGTACTGTGCACAATTGGCTGCTGCCGCATTTCGCCCACGAAACATAGTCAATTCACTTTACAGTATACTTTTGAGACGTCTCGAAGACCTGATAAGGTACTATATCAAATGCAAGGATTATTATCATTAATCCTTTGGTGTATGTTGTACTTCAAAAAGTTCTAAGGATGTAAAGAAATACGTTGATGGACTCAAAAGTGTTTTGCTTGCATGTTTGACATCCTGTATGTGGTTTACAGGAATAGTAATATTGTACGTTATTCCCTTGTCTGATTAACAAGGATATTGGGTTTCGACTGTGCTCTCTACACACCATCCTGCAACAGGAAGTGCTTCTGCGGGAGGATGTGGAGCTGATTGAGCTCCTTGACCCCAGCGTCCTGCAGTCAGCACAGGCTCAGCAACAGCAAAATGGCCGCCCGCCAAGCCAATGCTTGCCAGTAACTCCTAATATTTGGTACGTTTCGCCCACAAAATATACAGTCAATTCACTTTACAGTATATCCTGTTAAGCTCTTTGAGGCATGTGGAAGACGTGATGAGACGCTATATCAAATGCAAGGATTATTATTATTGCATCAGATTGGCCTGTGGGGCAATTCATCTCCATGAAGTTGACAACACTGTGTAAAACTGAGAGTATCTTCTCATGAAAACAGACTGGGGTCGGGTGGGGTCATTGTCTGATGGCTTCATTTGTCCTCCCTATCTGGGAAGTGTCTATCCTGTGCTCAGTGCTAGCTACCCTTTGTTAAAGCACACTGGGAAACGGAAGACATTGAAGTGCCCACATTACTGTTGTTAGAAGAATATCAAGTTTATAACAGTGAGGGGAATTCTGCTGTGGGAATTATTTTGTACAAATTGTTTCTCCTCTGCTGATGGTGCTGTCTCAAGCGGGGTCACACTTTTCCAGGCACTGCACACCCATCACCTAACTAGCTAAAGCCATTGAGAGCTCTCTGGCAAGCTTCCCACTGCTTGTCCAGCTAAGCCTACCATTCCTGGTTAGAGCTATGACTTGGAAGGTCAACAGAAGCTGAGTGGGAAGAATCCCTGCTTGCTCCCTGTCTGCCCCTCCCAAGTTCTGACGACAAGCCAAGTTGACTGGTTTGTCATCAGCAGTGCTTTGGAGGACTGTTTCACACCCGCCTGGCTTAGGAAACACTTCCGAGACTGCCACAGAGGAAAGACTCGATTTTGACGTTCCATTGCCAAGTACGTCATCGTGAAGCTAGCTCAGCCCCAAGGAGACCTTGCTTACGTTAGTTCCCCCCCCCCCCCCCTCTCAAAAAATACATTTATGATGGTTGTTCTGATTATAGATCTATAGAATTGTATGACAGAGTAGGAGTAGTTCGACTAATGTTTTCAAATATCTTTTCCAATCTATTCTAATCTTAGGCAAGTTTCCTTCTCCACACGCCTCTGTTTACCTCGCAGTAAGTGGAGCCCAGTTGTTAGGTGATTGGCAGATCTCTTTTCCAGGGGGAATAAACCCTTTTTTAAAAAAACAGTTTTTAAAAAATTGGGTCACTCAATCCACGACTGTTTGTGGGACACTGCTGTGCGCGTTTGGCTGCCGCATTTTGCCCACAAAATATACGGTCAATTAAATTTACAGTATATTCTGATACAACGCCTTATCAAGTCTCAAAGGCGCCGTATCAAATGGAAAGATTATTATAATTACCTTGATTACCTATTCTTTATGCTAATCCTGTAATATTCTTCCTTGGCATATTATTGTTCTTTTGTGTTTTAAATGTCCCAATTTACTCTGCTGTGATTGACATTAATCAAATAATTTCCTTATCCTGACAACCCTCTGAGAGGGAAAGTTCCTCCAAAAGCTTTCTGTTCATTCTCCTCGTCACAATCTTGATCATCTTACAGTGTTGGGGAGAAGTGTTGAATACTAAACTTGTGTTTCCTCTTGCATACTAGGGATGTTTCAGTATTAGCTGCCATCGTGAGCATCTTGGTCGTGACCCCAAACTTCAGTGACTCTTTCCCTTGGGTCACATTTGGAATGAGCTTGTTTGGTCTCGCTCTTTATATGGTCTTCAGAAGCTTCAGCTTGTGGAAAATCGCCAAGTTGCAGAGATGCATGAGAAAGTGTAGTGTCTCTCTGGGAAACATAGTGGAAAATAGCTGTGCGTTCACCAGCCTTGTGCGAAAAACACTTCGGCAGATTCAGGAGACCGAGGTCATTTCTAGAGGATTCACAATGTGAGTTCATTCCTCTAAATTAACTCTTATTTCAGCATCTACTGCAATGCAAGCTAACAAATTTATTATATATAAAAAAATTAGTCACTGAATCCTCAACTGTTTGTGGGACACTGCTGTGTGCAACTGGCTGCCACGTTTTGCCCACAAAATACAGTCAATCCATTTGACAATATATCCTGTGAAGCGCTTTGAGACATCTCAATGACATGGTAAGGCGCTATATCAGATGCAAGGATTATTATTATGTAATATTGTTTCTGCTGCACGCTGGCAGATTAGAATTTTCCACTGATGTTAAATTACTATGAACAACATATAGTGCTGGATGTGCCTGTAAAACATTTACTTGTGCTTCAGCCACAACTTGGAAGACATATATTGTTATAAATGACATCATGGCAGCCAATGTGATTGTGTACTGTGTGAGAGATAATCTCTGACCTCACTCCCAAATGTGCCGACTAAGATTGCCGATCAAACTTACCCAGTCGGGGACAATTGTACTGAACTGACTAACTAGTCTTTTCTCAGTATCTGTTTTTAAACCTTAATGTAAAATTTGTTGAATTTTGTGTCTTAAACTATCAAACACATTCATATTTGGGGTGATTTTTGCCACAGTATTTGTCTACTCACTTTATAACTCTGTTTAAAAAGAACTAAGTCTATACTATTTTGGGGGACATTTTAAAACAACGTTTCCTGTGCAGTAAAATACCCTTTAAAAGCTACAAAAGCTTTGCCTTTCGGGGGCATACTCTGGTAATAATTATTTGAATTCTAAGTTGATGATCTGTGATCAGCCTTTTGCCCCATTTTAAGAAATTTCGCCCCCAAATTATACAGTCACTCCAGCTTACAGTATATTCTGTGAAGCGCATTGAGACGTCTCAAAGACATGATTAGGCGCTATATCAAATGCAAGGATTATTATTATAAAATCCCTAGCTGAGTTTTAATTGTACGTAGCTTTCGGAGCGATCAGTCCAATTGTGTAAGTTGTTCCTGTGTTGGTTTTTCAGGGTGACTGCTGGGTTTCCTCTCAATAAATTGGGAAGCTCTTGGCAACAGCAAGGCCAGCAGCTGATTGGGCTTCGGAAAGCGGTATACCGGTCATTAAGAGCTGCCTATCGAGTATCTCGAATGACTACCTGCCAAATGCTGAAATCATATCCTTATATTACAAAGGCATCACCTGCCCATCTGATCCTCTGTCACTGAGTATCAATTGGATACTTTTTGCATTAAAAGTCACTTTCCTATCAAATTGATATAATTGCCAGAATTCCTTGCACGTTCTCTCTTGCCTCAGTGATGCGAGGGGATATGGCTTCTAATTATAGACTGAAAGCTTTCGGTTTACTTTGTTGCATCCTTTTAACTGGGATTTTTTTCACAGGCCATCAGTCTTGCTGTGTGACTGACATCAGCAGATTGCTGTGTTTGTTGTTACTTACAAATATCACAAACCTCAAACAGAAGCCAGTCACATTTTGGGTCTGAGTTTCCTAACGTGTATTACTCTATTGTTATACTTGTCTTCCAGAAAATACACAAATCAGACCTTTCAGAGCCATGTCGAACCATTGCTTTGATTTGTTTAATTTTAAATCTGGCAACACGTCAAAATGGTTCAGAGAGAGCACAGGGAGGAATGACTTTATGTTAGGATACCTTAACAGTCAGAACACCTATCCACTGAACTCCGAAATTGATAACGTGACCAATTATTTGTCTACAATCCCATTGAAAGAGCTGGGCATGGGATTGTGCGAGGAACCTGTGACTGATGAGGAGGTTCAGGAGCTGACTGACGGCTACAGTCTCCAGGTTTTGAAGGTGTGAGTAATGTGAAAGGTGCTATACAAATGTAATTTGCTGTTGTATAAGGTGGGGAAGGGGTTATGTGTATTTGGTCAGCACACGTTGGGACGCTACCCTGCATGAGTGGCTCTATATCAATGCAAGTTGTTATTTAACAATCAAGTGAAATACATAGAAACAAGTATTATTAAAAAAATCTTATTAAAAAATAATTATAATTTCATCACTCAATCCACAATTGCTTGTGGGACAATCCTGTGCGCGATTGGTTCCCATATTTTGCCCACAAAATACACAGTCAATTCACTTTACAGTACATTCTGTGAAGCGCTTTGACAAATGCAAGGATGATTATTATAGTTGATTATCTTAAATTGTTTAAATTACTTATAGTAACTGCTCTTTCTCCTGTAGCCTTTTATATCCTGTACATTTCTGACCAATTCTCTTTTGACTGTTGTGGTTAGCCGCTTGTGGTAAAGCATTCATACTTTGGCAAACCACAGTGTGAAAACGTTTCTACTAACGTCCCCCTTTAAATATTTCTGTGATCAACCTCTGCTTGTTAATCATTGTTACCGATCTTCTAAGCAGACTGAAATAATCTTTTCCTATCTCTTTTTTCAAATCCTTTAGGAATTTTGAAAACCTGTATTAGATCCCCTCTTTTTGGGCCTTTTCTTCCTGTATACCCACTTTTAAAGATCTATTGGTTGATCATTTTCCTGGGGGCAATAATCCCGTCAAAAATAATAATTTGGTCATTCAATCCACGACTGTTTGTGGGCCACTGCTGTGCGTACAGTCAATTCACTTTACATTGTATTCTGTGAAGCATTTTGAGATGTCTTAACAACATAAGGCGCTATATCACATACAAGGATTATTATTTGTTATCATCATGCTCAGGTACTCTTTCAACTTTGGATTGGTCAAAATTCAGAATGTTTCAGACGCCTGGCGTTACTGCTGTCTCCAGCGCAGATTGCACATAAGCCTCATATTCTTCCAGAACACTTTTCGCATCATACAGTGTCAGACATAGTCCACGATTTACCTCCTGTTCTCACTCGCTGCCTTGAAGAGTTGAAACGCAGCTATGAGTTCCATCGGTACTTTGAGATTCAGCAACGCGGTAACTTAGCAACGTCATCCAGGACCAAGAAACAGACACACTCCCGAGAGCTGAACAACATGTATGCTTCAGTGCGTAGCCTACATCTCCACCTTAAAGCACTGCTAAATCAGTAAGTTTATGCACGTAACATCAACATTCTGTTAGTTATTAAGCACTGTACCACTCTATTTCCACTTAGAGAGGTTACACAATAATGGATCTACACTATAAAACATCAATTCTATGCTTTTTATTTACATTCACAATACAATCTCACAATCATTCGATATTAACAAAAGCTGTGGATGAATTTCTCCTGTCCTGAACGTGCTAACTCCTGCTTCAACAAGTGCTTGAAGCGCTCTGGGACACTACCCTGCGTGAGGAGAATGCAAGTTGATTACCTTTGTTCAATCCACAACTGTTTGTGGGACAGACGCTGCTGTGCGCAATTGGCTGCCACATTCCACCCACAAAATACACAGTCACTTCACTTTACAATATATTCTGTGAAGCGCTTTGAGAGGTCTCAACGACGTGATAAGGCGCTTTATCAAATGCAAGGATTATTGCTTTATTATAATTCATCTATTCTAACCTATTTTGAGAATTATAACGTTATAGAAAATGACACCGATAATGACTAACTGTTCGTTTGATACAGGGTTATTGCTTTAGAAGATGATCTGGAAAGGTTCATAGGATCCGGAGAACAGCAGGAAATTACATCAGAACTGTGCCATGCTCTCAAACAGAAGCTCAAATTGATCCAACCGCACATGCACGGAACCATAAGCTGCTGGGAAGATGCAACCACTCAGGTGGATAAACTTGGACACAAGTCTACTGATAACAAAGGTATTCAAAGAAGGAAAAAATCCCAGAGTGCAGTAAATTGTTTGTCCTCTTGGCTCCTGTTGGTAATACTGTCACCTCTGGGCCACTAGATTCAAGCCCCAAGTCGGAACTTGATGTCATAACCTAGACCAGGATGGTTCAACTGGCATCCCACGGGCCTCATCTGACCCTTTCCCCCTCCTTCCATTTCATATGGCCCACCCGCTCCCTCCATAACCCGTAAATGTTGTTATGTTTCTGTAAGATAAACACAAAAATATTGCTTATACGTCCCATGGATGCTTCTCAAATAGGGCATCCGGCCCTCAGTAGCCAAAGGGTTGGACCACCCCTGACTTATCGGATCAGTGAGTCATCTATTAGGCCAGTGATTGCATCCCTAATACGTGTCTTGAGTGAGAGACAAACGCCAGGCAGTGCTGGGGTGTGAGGGATTCATGCTAATCACTGGGTTGAGACTGGCAAACCTCACTTAAGAGTCTTGGAGCTGTCAGACTGGAGCCTGTCATCCTGTCAGTCTGAACCCAGGTCCCAGAGGTGAAAGGCCACCCATTTCCCCAGACATTCTCTGTGCAAGTCTTTCAAGGAAATGGCAGTAAAAGTACTATTAAGAGGAAACTGTAAGAAAGGGCAAGTCTGTGCTGAAAGATAATGGACAAGTAGACTTGTTGTTAGAAAATCAGGCTCAACAGAGAGGATCAGTGCTGTATACCAGCACTAACGATCCTGCTTTGCTTTTGGTTTAAGCTTGACTTCTACTTGTTCCTTTTCACCCAACATGATAACTGATTTATTCTAGCTGACAGCATTTTGGACTCCTAGTTGTGAAAATGTTATTGTTATTAGTTCTTTTACATGCACCTTTACATAATATTAATACTTGCATTTGATACAGCGCCTTATTATCACGTCGTCGAGATGTCTCAAAGCGCTTCACAGAATATACTGTAAACTGAATTGACTAATTTCACACAGTAGTGCGCAATTACTGCTGTGCACAATTGACTATATATTTGTGGGCGAAAAGCGGCAGCCAATTGCGCACAGCAGTTATAGAATCACAGTGTTTCCAGAATACTAAATGAAATATTTACCCGCAAAATGTGTTCCTTTTGAAAGTCCATTCACAGCCAGCTCTGTGCAGTACAGACTCCAAGTGCCCCATTTCCTCTGCACACACTCTGGTCTTTGTTTCATTTGAACTCCATGTTTGGTGTCCACTAAAAACATACTTGGCTGAAGGAGAAATTCAGTTTCCCTTTTGTCCCCAACACACTAAGGCCTTTATTCTTTTTCTTTGGTTTCCTGGGCTCTTTACTGGCAATTTATTACAAATCTGGGGCAGTCATCATCATTCTTGAAACGTTATCCAAATTAACCAGTTTCTTATCTGTTTCCAGATCATCATCCCATTTTTCTGATTGTGTTATTAATTTAGGTTCCCTCTGTCTTAATAATAATAATAATCCTTGCATTTGATATGGCGCCTTATCACATCTTTGAGACGTCTCAAAGCACTTCACAGAATATGCTGTAAAGTGAATTGCTTGTGGGCGAAACCTGGTAGCAATAGTGAAATCTAGCAGTAAGTAGAAAGCCGATTGTTAGTTGTTACTCGATTGGCAGATTGCTTTCTGGGGGTAATAATCCCTTAAAAAAAAAAATTTGATTACTCAATCCACGACTGTGTGTAGGACACTGTTGTGCGCAATTGGCTGCTGCGTTTCGCCCACAAAATATACAGTCAATTCATTTTTACAGTATATTCTGTGAAGCGCTTTGAGATGTCTCGAAGACATGTTAAGGCGCTATATCAAATGCAAGGATGGATAGCACTGTAATTATTTTTTTATTTGGAGCCTGTCTGGTGTTGCAGGGAGACTTGAGGCAGAAGACGATAATTTGCTCCCGGTTTGGAATCCCCCAGCAATACCTCTTGTACAGATAGAGAACCGGGATCCGGTTCCTGAAGAGCAGGTAAGAGCACGTTTACACTAACACGGATCCTAACCCCGGAACTGATTCCATGATGTAATAATAACAATAATCCAGAGGTGTGAATTGCAAGGATATGGGGAAAGAGCGGGGAGTGGGACTGATTGGGTAGCTCTTTTAAAGAGCCCAATGGACCGAATGGCCTCCTTCTGGGTTATAATAATGATTCTATAATTCCATGGGTGCCCCCTGCTGTCTAGTACATAATCCAAGTGGCTGTTTTTCATGTGTGAACGGGACATTGAGTGTCAACAGGATGTTTGACTGTGATGGACATCACAGCTGTCATGTGCTCATCTGATATCCACACAAGGCTCGTTGGCCATTGTTCAATTGAGGGTCACTGGAATGCAATCAGGAGTGTGAACTGCAGCTAATTTGTCTCTCCCAAACACACAACACAGTGTTGAGGCACATTTTAGACGCCCATTGAGCACAAATTGTGGAGATTGAACCTCGGGACTTCCCAAATCTTTAGTTTGGCTCGCAGGAAGTGAAGGAGGTGAGGAAACCAGAGGCAGCCATGTTAACTCACCACAGTCTGGAGTCCCCAGCATCTCTTGGTAGGAACCCGATGTTTAGAATATTCAAAATAAACAAAAATCTTTTTTGTTTCAGATTTGTATACATTTGTGATTCATCTTTGGCCAATTCATTCAGTAGTTTTTTTCCAGCAATTTAACTACAGTAAACCTCAGATAAGTCTCATCTGTGCAAATTGTATAGTTGCCTAAGTGGTTCATCTGCCCAAGTCACATTCAAGAGTTTATAATCATAGAATCTTACAGCATTGAAGGAGGCCATTCAGCCCATCGTTCCTGTGACGGCTCTTGAAAGAGCTACCAACTAGTCCCCACTTCTCCACTCTTACCCATTAGCCCTGCACATTTTTCATTCTATACAATTCTGTGCAAGTCTGACATAACTCATACTTTGCATAAGTAATACTAAATGTATGGTCTCAACTGGTACGACTTGTGAGGTTTACTGTACTATTAACAAGCTATTAAGCTGAATTGTAATATGTATTTAGCCAAACGACTAACCATTGGGCTTAACCGCTATATGAATCTGTCAGCATAGGCTTTTGTTGAATTGTATTTGTCTGCAGGAACTCGAAGCCTATGTGGAAGAATCTGACTCGGATGGAGAGTTCCGACGGGATACTTTTGACTACCTGTCGCCAGAGGAGAGAGAAAAGGAAAAGCAGGAAAGGGAGGAATCTAGAAGGATGCTTCACGAACTGAAAAACGTGTTGGGATTCAAGGCCTCTGAGCTCGAGAGACAGAAGTGGAAACAACTACTTTTCAATGACCACGGTGAGGGCCATATTGCTGGTGAGAGGTTCAGTACATGTGGAAACGTTCGCCCACAAAATAAACCGTCAATTTACTTCACAGTATTTTGAGATGTCCGAACAACGTGGTAAGGCGCTATAATCAACGTGATAAGGCGCTATACATTGCCTTAATTTACTCAGTTGGAGTGTTATAATCAAGCCTGTTGTTCGCGATTGAAATACATTCATTCATACATTCATTTTAAAACACCCTAAATTCCAAATGTCATATAATACTGTATTTGAATTTGTGCTTTTATGGTATTGCTTCAGAGAAGCTGTGCTTCCATTGGACTTGTGAATAGTTTTCTCATTTCAATCGTTTAGGAGCAGTAGTTAGCCTTGCTCAGCTGTGCTGCGGATTATACATGTGGGATTGAGTTTCTCATATATCCCTGTCTTCAGTGCTGTGGGGAAATTAATACCTCAAGGATGTTTTGACTCATTGCCTCACATTTCCCTCGGATTCTTATTAGATTTCCATGAAACTGTTGCCTTCAGATTGTCATTTGATAGTTTACTTGATAGTCCCATAGCAACTGTTATCTGTACATGCCTCGCAAGCAAGAGGACCCGGGTTTGATTCCTGGGCCAGGAAAAACCTTAGGCAAGTTTCCTTCGTTTTTTGTGGAGGGATTATTACCCCCGGAAAGCGAACTATCAATCGACTAACAACCGGGTTCCTACTTATTGCTAGGTAAACAGAAATGTGTGTGGGGAGTAAAGAAACTTGCCTAAGGTTTTGCCCTGTCCTGGAATCAAACCCAAGTCCTCTTACTTGCGAGGCGAGTGCTCTAACCACTGAGCTACAGGACTCCACTGTATGGACAGTGGCTGGGAACAGATCAGCAGGTGCATGAAACATAGAGGGGAACAATCTCACCATAAATAATGGAAAGCACCAGAAACAACCCAGAAACGGAAATAAATACAGGAAATAGATAACCGCCTCCTGATGAGATTAAACCACATCTAGAGAGCTCTGAAAATGAAGCACCCCAGATAGGTCACCTCACCTAAAATGAACCGAAAAAATATCAAAGAAAATGCATCTTATTTTGAAATATTGGGTAGTAAAACCATAAACAATAGCTGCAAAGCAATAGTTCAGTAAAGAACTGGATAAATACGTCAACAACCGATTGAGGATCAATAAACAGGGATCAAACAGCGATATGATTGCTGTCCTTAAGATTCTAAAGGGAATAGATAATGAGAAGCTGTTTTATTTTGTACTGAACAGAAGAACCAGAGGACACGGCCTGCGTTTGATGGGTAAATTCTAAACAAATCTGTGGAAACACTACTTCAGTGAGCGAGTAGTAAATGTATGGAACAGGCTCTTTAGGGGGACAGTGGAAGCAGAAAGTGTTGATTATTTCAAGAACAATTGCGATAGATTTCTGTTCGGAAATAATATCTGGGGATACAGTATAGAGTTTGGAACACAACATGTGCAAGCGACTGCCAGGATGGTGTAAGGCCAACTGGATGGACCTTGGTCTTCCTTTCAAATTCTTATGTTCCAATCAACTCTCTACTAGTAGCAGATATTGTCAACAAAATAGCATCACACTGGAACAATGGCGGAAAGTGGCAAATTAATAAACACTGATCTAAATTCAGCTCCTTTCATTGAAGTAATGGAGTTCAACGAAATGAGTCAATTTTTTGGAAGTATTTCCACATCATTATGGATGAAAGAAAAACAGAGAGACACAGAGAGACACAGAGAGAAAGGCAGAAGCAGCCATTGTTTAATCCTCAATGTACCAAAAATCCTGAGGCAGAGAGCTTCCTAAAGCACATCAGAAAGCATGGAATAAACAGCATATTCAAACATTCCTGTTATGGAATTCAGCCCATTTACTCTTATCTACCTCAGAACATATTGTAGATATTCTCTGTATAAGGCAATTGAGTAAACATACATTGATGATATTGTACATGTGTTGTGTGTGTGTGCGCACACATGCTCAATACATAGCAGTCACTGCCAGGGAATGTGTTTACAGAGAGCTCTCACATCCTTGAGATTGTATTTGCCACCTGTTCTCATACAGCCTCTGGTTTGTTTGGTGAAATCCGCAAAAATATCCTTTCTGCTTGAAGCTCCCGTTTGACATTGTTTGACTTGCACAATCATGAATAGATTTTGTAAAAATTAATTTTGTGTCTTTTGGACTTTGGAATTCTCTCCCCCAATCGCTCCGCCTTGCCCCCTCCTTTCCCCACTTTTAAATTGCACAAGACACACAATGTAACCCGTGTAACATTACTGTTTCTACCAGCTGCACTGAAGACCATGTCACCTCCAGCTGTAGTGGAACAAGCTGCGAGTCCTGAAAATCTTCAGGACATGGGTGCAAGTGAGCAGGAACGCAAGGAATGTGAAGGCAGCCCACAACAGGCACATGGCCCCAAACCGGACACCTCCGGGGATTGTAAAGCTTGCTGCAAAACGATCGAAGCCAAGAACATTGATGTGTATTTAACCGGGGAAAGCAAAGACACAAACTTAAGTGAAGCTGAGCAGGGCAGCGAGGTGGATGGCAATTCAGGTTATTGTTTAGAGACGATGGACATTGATCATGGTGCTCTCAATGAAGAGGAAAATTGGCAAACAGTGCTGTCTGAGGAGCAGCAAACAGCAGTTAAAGAGAGGTTAGCAGGACTGCACAGCCCAGCGAGCATCAGCTTCACCCAGGCTCTGGCAGCACAAGTCGCTGCTCAGTCACACACCTTCACACACTTACAAGAACAGACGTTTGGGGATGATTAACAACAGAGAACAATGAAGGCTGCTACAGTTCTTAGAAATAACATAAAATATTATTATGAAAGTGCAAGTCGACTACATCAGTAAAGACTAAGTGATCAGTGAATGCTATATTTTCTGTAGTTACCAGTCAAAGTACTTATACCAATAGCAACAATAAACCATTCTGTTTTCTGAAGAGTTGTAATAGGTCAATTAATCAGCCTGTCCTTTGCTGAACACACAAATTGTTGGATTGTGGAGTCCTGTAGCTCAATGGTTAGAGCACTCGCCTCGCAAGCGAGACGACCCAGGTTCAGTTCCCAGACAGGGCAAAACCTTAGGCAAGTTTCCTTGCTCCACAATCCTCTGTTTACACACGCCAGGGGTAATAATCCCTTCAAAAAAATATATTTAATAATAATTTGGTCGCTAAAGCCACCGCTGTTTGTGGGAAGCTGCTGTGCGAATCTGCCTTAAAATAATGTATTTGGTAATATTAATATTATTACGAAGCGCTGTCTTGTTTGGGTAAATGCAAGGTCATCTATGGAATTGAGCCACAATAAGAACAGCAGAGTTTTGATCCTTGGTGTGTTATCAGATGAAACTACAGTTAAAAGCACATACTACTCCCTACCGCTGTGACCTGCTAACTCCATACTGACCTGTCCACTCCCTTCGCTAAGTAGGCTCTGGCCTGCTCCATGTTCTCCGCCCGGCCCACCCCACCATCGGCGGTCAGGCCTTCAGTGTCTCTGCTCCCACCCTTTGGAACTCCATCCCACAGTCCCTTCACTTCACCCCCTCCCTTGCCTCCTTCAAGGCCCAAATGAAGACCCTCCTTTTTGACCACCCCTCTACCCTCCCTGCCATCCACCCCCCACCCCGATCCCAACCCCCAGCTCAGGTCCAAATCCCTGACTGTCCAGCGCCTTGGGACATCCTCCCGATGTGAAAAGCGGGCGCTGTGTAAATGTATCTTTAAATCCCTTCATGGTCTTGTCGGACTGGCTGTGCTGTCATCAGCAGTGCCCAGATAATCTTCACAAGGGTTAGCCTTTCTTAAATTATCTAATGCTCAGGTGAAAACCTGGTCTGGGTGTCCTGTGTGTTGGGTTAATTTTTTTCGGTTTAATATTCAGTTGTATTCAGTTTAATATATTCAGCCCTTTATATAATAAACTATATAATAAAATATATAAGGTTTCTGTGCTCTGACAAATCTATTGTATGGAACATGATCCATTCTGAAATGGGGAAAAAATATAAATAAACCACTGCTTTACATTTTAAGTTGAGAAGAACCATTTTGCAACGTGTCACAGAAAAATACAATGTGTATTCTCACAATCTACATGTCATGAACATAAAACATAATACTCTAAAACACAGTGACTAGGAATAAATTTAAATCACATTTAGAGCTAAAAATTAATTACAGGATATAATTCAATAAAGTTCAGCTTTATTTTGACATGGTAATAGGCAGACTTCCACTGAAATTAATGAATGAGGATTTTGGTATTTATTAATCTACATAATTAGATGTCATTCACTTTGGTGGTGTAGACTTCACCACCAGTAACGTTGCCACTAGGCTTTAGCTACTAAACTATTATATTAAGTTTCCAACCTTATATTTACTTCATGATGCTGAGCTAAAATGCAATATCAAGTGCTAAATGCATGAATATATCTTTTCTAATGGTCCCTAAAAGTTAATTTACCCAACGAATCATCCCTTACGCTTACAGCAGATTCTTGAAGGCTTCTGAATGCTTTCAGTGCCTTGGGACATCATCCCGACATGAAAGGCACTATAGAAATGTAATTTTGTTGTTACAGATTTTGGGTTGAATCACAGTTCTGAATAACGCTGTTTTCTTCATAGCTACATTCAGCTGAATTTAACATTGTGATTATTAACGTACAGCCACTGCTCCCACTTAGGTATGACGCATATTATACGCCAGTAGACTGGCTTTATCCTGTTGCCCCAGTGTTATATCCGCTGGCTTAAATGGGCAGCAACTCTTCATCCAAGAATCTGTCGGTATATGTGATATCTCAGGTATCTTTTTCTGCTCACAAATCAGGTAACTTGTTTGGGACAAGTTCAGGGGTATGAACCTTGTGACTGGTATTGTCCTGTAAGAGAAAGATCATATCATTCTTCTATTATTTGTCAGTTATCACAACATTCATAGAGTTAGAATCATAATAACTCACAGAACAGAAGAGCATTCGGCCCAGTGTGCCTGTGCCGGCTCTTTGAAAGAACTACCAACTGGTCCCACTCCCCCATAGCCCAGCACAGTTTTCCTTTTCAAATATCTATCTAATCCACTTTGGAAAGCTATTTTCGAATTTGCTTCCACCACCCTCCGAGGCAGTACATTCCAGACCATCACAACTCTCTGGGTAAAAAGAAAAATTCTCCTCGTCTTCCCTCTGGTTCTTTTGCCAATTATCTTAAATTTGTGTTCTCTGGTTACCGACCCATCAGTCTGTAAATCTGTTTTGAGAGCAGACTGCAATTCTAGAGAGACATTCATCTTTCAGTACTGTCGTAGATGATATAAATGCTAACAGTGTAGTTGATTTTGTTTGGTCTTAATATTTTCATTGCTTCTTCAAGAGACTAGCTGATCAAGGATTGTTCTTTAGAGGAATAGAACATTAGAGTTCTACTTGTACATTTGGAATAATTATTTCAGTGTCTTCAATGCTGTTTTGATGGCATGAATTGCTGTTATTATGATTGTCTAGTTTCTCCAGCAGCCGAACATAACTGGTGATCAACAGCAACAGACTTATTACTTATGTTGTGCTGGTGATTGTGCCTTCAAAGCCGCATAAGAAATATCTTTGTGTTTCCCTTCCAGAAAAATAACATAACGTTTACGGGTTATGGAGGGAGTGGCCAGGTGAAATGGAGGGAGGAGGCGGGGGGGGTGGGCCACCAATTGAACTATCCTGGACTAGTTCAACACAAACCAAAGTCTTCCAGTCTCTACAGCTCAGGATTGCAGTTGTAAGCAGTGCCCCACCAGTGAAGGTCCCATTGTATACAGTACATTTATCTCACCTGTCATAAGACTGAAGGCATTTGTCCAGCTTAAAGGCCCCTTTGGATAATGGTCTGTCAAAAGGTTCAGGACAGGTGGCCCAGAAACCATCTTCTGGCTCTACATTAGGAACCACAGTCATTCGAGGTATAACTGACATGGGTCTGCGATTGGTAAGTAAAAAGGAATTTAAATAATATCACCACAAGGTTTCTGGTCCATGCTTCGGAGAAAGGTTACACTTCGTATTCCAAACAATATTTTCTCTTTGTTTCCCCAGCTCCACCATCTACAAAATCCAGGTAATCCAAACCTCTGCCGCCCACACTCAGACATACTAAACTCCAACCCCCCCCCCCCCCCCCATCACCCCAGTCCTCGCCAGGCTGCACTGGCTCCCAATCACCAAACGGATCGACTTCAAGATCCTCTCAATCGTCTTCAAAGCCCTTTATGCCCTGGCACCTCCCTACCTCTCCAACCTGCTCACTCCACTACCCACTGCCTCCGCTCGACTGGCTCTGGCCTCCTACGTGTCGCTTGTACCCTCCGTTCCACCATCGGTGACCGCGCTTTCAGCCACTACATCCCAAAACTCTGTCACACTCTCCTATTCCTCCGTCTTGCCCCCTTCTTCCCCATCTTCAGGTCGCACCCGAAGACCTTCCTCTTCGACTGTGACTACGGTCACCTCCCCCTCCGCCCCGGCTTAGCAACTTGCTCTGCCACTGTCAAATGCTCTGCTCTGGTTCTCCCGCAAAACACACAGCATATGCTGTGAAGCGCTTTGAGACGTGGCAATGACGTAATAAGGTGCTGTATCAAATGAAAGGATGATTATTATTTATTATCATTGTTATATTTGTTAATGTCTTTATTGGCCATTGTCCTTACAGTGAACTATCTTCAGCTGGGTGGGTGAGTCAGGCATCTCTCTCACAATATAGTGTCTGTGGATCCCTCTCCAACCTGTACATTTTCTCTATTTATATTGTCAGCCAAGACGTATCATTTATGACACTGTAACGTGCACTTATTTGCTCATTGGCTTCTGAAGTCACAGACAAACAGTGTTGTTTATAATTAAGTTGATTTGCACCAGACTGGTTACTTTCGTTAAGCGTATGATTTAAATTGTATGGAATAAGAGTTTTGTACAGACTTGTACGCTGCAGTGGATGTCAGTTCAGCAACTGATTCCCACGTTAAAGGCTTGAACTCCAAATGTTGCAAGGGAACGTGAACATAACCTCCAAATGTGGCCTGTCTGATGTCCTTGGTAACTTGTCTTCCAAACTGTTCGACTTGAGGCTTCTCAATCTCACCTACCTATAAATCCCTTCATGCCCCATAACCTCCTCTTCTCTCTGATCTTCTCTGCTCACTCTCTCCGCTATTTTGTGTTCTGCTGTCATCCCCTGTGCCCGAACCTTCAGCTACTATTGCCCTCGTCTCACTTCTCGTCTCACCCTCTCTATTTGTCCTTAAATCCTCATATGTGAAGTCCTGTAGCGTAGTGGTTAGAGCACTGGCTTGTGAGCGAAGGGACCCGAGTTTAATTCCCGGGGAGAGCGAAACTTTAGGCAAGTTTCCTTACTCCACACACACGCCTCTGTTTATCCAGCAGTGAGTAGGAACCCAGTTGTTTGTTCATTGGCGAATTGCTTTTCCGGAGGTAATAATCCCTTATAAAAAAATAATGATAATTTGGTCACTCAATCCACGACTGTTTGAAATGTATAAAAGCAGTAGAATACCTGAACTTGAAGTCCTCGTGCAGATGGTGACCCATTAGGTAATCATCCCACGTCTGAGTAATCTGCTTCAGGAGGTCTTTGCTGGAGGTACTGTATCCATTAAGGATATAGTCAGCAAACAATAACTTCCCCCCACCGTACATCTGTGGACAACAAGGTAAACACTCATCACCAGTGACAAGAGCTAAAGACGTTCATTATTAATAATAATAATAATAATAATCCTCGCATTTCATATAGCGCCTGATCAGGTCTGCAAAACATCTCAAAGCGCTTCACAGAATACACTGTAAAGTGAATTGACTATATTTTGTGGGCAAAACACGGCAGCCAATTGCGCACAGCAGTGTCCCACAAACAGTCGTGGATTGAGTGACCAAATTATTGTTATTTTATTTTTTTGAAAGCATTATTTCTCCCGGGAAAAGTGATCCGCCAATCAACTAACAACAGGATTCCTATCTACTGCTGGTAAACAGAGGCGTGTGGAGTAAGGAAACTTGCCTACGGTTTTGCCCTGACCAGGAATCAAACCCAGGTCCCTCGCTTGCAAGGCGAGTGCTCTAACCGTTGAGCGACAGGAGTTACAGTGCACACAACAGGATGCAGTCACGGAGCTGATTCTTGTACAACCAAATGCAGAAAGACAGGAGAATTGTTATGAGTAAGTAACATGGCAATACAAAGAGCAGCAGTCTTCTTAGCCAAGCCCTCACTGTCTACAGCACACATAAATAGTGAAATAAAGCTGTGCTTTTTATCAGTTTTCTCCCTGTGGCAATGCCATTAGGACTCGCCTGCAGTTTCCTGCCACTTTCAAAGGGGCAAAGTTCAAGCAGTTCCACAATAAGACAGTTCTTTGTCCTGGAGAATTGCTTATCAGTGACTGGGAGTGTGTCAGTGATGTAAAACATTGAGCAGATTTGACATGTTCTGTTAGTTCCATTTAGAAATTGTTAGAATCATAATAATACATAATAATCCTTGTGTTTGAAGCAGCGCCTTCACATCGGCGCGACGTCTCAAAGCGCTTTACCGCATATACCGAATTGTGAGGCGAGTGCTCTAACCCCTGAGCTGCAGGACTCCACCCCAGTAGAATTGCTTACGTTTGATTATTGTTGCACAGAACGGAACCACATGTGCCGGCTGTCATCTGAAACTTGTTTTTCCTGTGAGGAAAGCTAATGTAGTGTTGGCGTTTGCGGGGCTGAATGCCAACCAGACCCCAGGAACAAGGTGGGACCTCAGCAGATGTCAGGAAACGTTTAGAAGGATCACGGTAGCAGCTGCCCTTTGGGGAAACCAACTTGCATTACTCTGATTGAAGCTCTCTGAGACACCACCCTGCATGAGGGGCACTCAAACAGCTTCACAGAATATACTGTAAAGTGAATTTTGTGGGCAAAACGCGGTAGCCAATTACACTCAGCAACAACCCACAAACAGTCGTGCATTGAGTGACCAAATTATTCTTCATTTATGTTTTTGAAGGGATTTTTACACCTGGAAAGGCAATCCACCAATCGATTAACAGCTGGGTTCCTACTTACTGCTGGTAAACAGAGGAGTGTGGAGTCAGGAAACTTGCCCAATGTTTCCCCGGCCCTGGAATCAAATCCAGGTCCTCTCGCTTGCGAGGCGAGGGCTCTAACCACTGAGCTACAGGACTCCACAAAAAGGAAAAAAGGGATTTTATGCAATTCTCTATCTGACACACTAGTGCCCAGTTGTAGGGGTCAGAGTCATTCACACAATTCATATTTTAGATTGGAATCATTTGAAAGGCTGAGGTGTGAGACTTGATGGCAACAATCGACAGTCTGCCCTTTACTGGTAGAAAAAAATACATGTTCCAGCCAATGCTCCCCGAGATTACTGTGAGAAAACTAGGAAGATTGGTAACATTATCTCATGTTAGCTCCATCTACTTCGCCATTTGTTGTAAGTTTTCTATAATGTATAGTTCAGCAATAAAAGGGGAAGCCGCTAATCTCTCTGCTATGTGTCCAGGGCATATATAGTACGTATAAATAAATAACTGGGCTATTTTAGTTTTATCTGCTTTTTATCTGCATTTTCCACTCAATGCAAGATCTATGATTCAAAAACATAATCCAGGAATATTTCAAATATTAAAATCTGGCTGAATTAATTCTCTCGTTAGCTCTTTAAACGTTCCAAAAGTCAGCGTGAATGAATTATAATAATAATAATACTTGCATTTGATAAAGCGCCTCATCATGTTGTTGAGACGCCTCAAAGCGCTTCACAGGATACACTGTAAAGTGTAGTGACTGTATGTTTTTTGGGTAAAACGCGGAAGCCAATTGCGCACAGCAGCGTCCCCACAAAAAGCCGTGGATTGAGTGACCACATTATTATTATTTTACTTTACTTAGGAAGGGATTATTAACTCTGGAAAGCGATCCGCCAATCAACCAACAACCGGGTTCCTACTTACTGCCAAGTAAATAGAGGCGTGTGGGGTAAGGAAACTTGCCTACAGTTTCGCTCTGCCCGGGAATCAAATTCAGGGCCTCTCGCTTGCGAGGCGAGTGCTCTAACCACTGAGCTGCAGCACAAGCACTAACCAGCAGACTTCTGTACACTGCAATTGCCAATGTTTTCTGTACCATGAGTTAAGACCCAGTCCCAGCCTTGCCCCAAGCTATTGTTATCATTCTGGAGGTACTCAGCACATTTCTAAGTAGCGACAATAACAGATCCTCCCTCCTAAGTAATAAATCTTTTGGTTACGAAAGGAAGTTCTGATTTTATTTAAGAATGCAGTCTCCCTATTTAACACAAAGGCCGATTGTAATGTGCAATACCGCATTATGAATGGCTGCGGAATTTGACTCTTTAATAATATTTAAACAGGAATTAGATTAAGGAAAAATTGAGGAAAAATAAGGTTAAAAGGTTGTATGCAAAGAGCAGGGCAATGAGATTACAGTAGATATAGATAGAGCATTCATCCACTACGTCGCAAAACTCTGGAACTCTCTCCCTCTATCCCTCCTTCCCCATCTTCAGGTCACGCCTGAAGACCTTCCTCTTCGACCGTGGCTACGGTCACCTCCCCCCCCCCCACCCCCGACTCAATGACGTGCTGCGCCACTGTCCAGAGCTCTGGGACGCTGCTCTGTGTGAGGGGATGGTCCTAGCTGGACAAGCAGCGGGAAAGCTGGCCAGACGTCCCGTTGACAGTGGCCAGCGACAGAATAAAGCTTCTCAGGTACAACAGTAAGTTCCTGTCTCTGCTCCACAATGGAGGCAAAGAAGAGGGCCCTCTGCTGGGATGGTGCAACATTTTCTATTTGCTGTCCTGACTGTGATTACCAACTTACTGGCAGGCAGTTAAGGGTAGTTAAGGATAGCTTCTGTGCGTTAGTTCACCCGCTCTCTAAACGTAATACTAGTTACAACCGCAGCAATCAGGAAAACTGTAAGTTTCTTGTTGGTACAATATATCCTCCATTGTCCAAAATAATAATAATAATTTGGTCAACGAGTTAACAAATAATAATAATAAGTTCAAAATGGTGTTTGTCTCTTTAACACTTACCATGTGGGGAACACACCCCAACCCAATAGGAATTAAGACATTTAATGTATCCTGCTGTGCGCAATTGGCTGCCAAAACACACAGTCACTCCACTTTACAGTATATCCTGTGAAGCGCCTTGAGATGTCTCAATGATGTGATAAGGCGCTGTATCAAATGCAAGGATTATTATTATAAAATAAAAATGATTATTATGGGTGTAACTGTCGCCTTGGCTAGAGATCAGCGTAAATTCATTATTTTGTTGTGGCTTATGTTAAAATTCCCGCACATTCCCACTTCCTCTCTTACCAGGAACATGCCTGGGTCGACATTATGTCGCTTTTGTAGTAATGGAAGCTCTTCTCCCCACTGTTCAGCTGCCGTGTTGATATCATATTTTATCAGACGGTATGAGTCAGCTTGGCTCTGTAAATCAACAGGAAATACAATTAACGTTGGCTGTGGGTAGGAACAATAATACGATTCTCTGTGTGGATGGTTTTAACCAGAGACACAGTACAGTACTGAAGAAATAATGGTCAAGTCCTATGATAGGCTCCCCAGCCTGGCTCCATGTAAAGGGACATCCGTCATTCTCTCTCCACAATTGAAAGCATTTTGAAAACCGCACGACACAAACATGCAATTCATGGCAGAAAGTGTAAGCAGATCGTTGAAGGAGAAGACAGGATAACGTCATTGCTATTTCAAACTTCCCCTCCGCCCAAAAAAGCCAATGACTGCCCTCTCTTCATCCAACCTCATGCCAACTCATGCTATAAATTTATACTTAAAAACAATAATAACAATCCTTACATTTGATGCAGCGCCTTATATGTCTTTTCGAGATGTCTCAAAGCACTTTACAGGATATACTGCAAAGCGAATTGATGCGTATTTTGTGGGCAAAACACGACAGCCAATTGCGCACAGCAGCGTCCCACATAACGGTGGTGGATTGAGTGACCAATTTTTTTTTAAGGGTTACACAAACAATTGTAAAGTAAGCGAGGAAAAGGAATTGAGGAGCGGAGGCAGCACAGAACGGTATGGCTAAGTTAAACTTTCACACCAGTCTCCGGTTCTCCTAGTCTTGTACACAATAAAACAGTAAAACACACTGAACAATTGGAATTTTTGGAGCTACACAATTTGGACTTCTCGGTCAAGGCTGCATGAGTTCCAATGTCTCAATGATTAATGCAGAATGTTTAAGTGCCACATGATACAGTGAATCTAAGGTATCTTGTCACAATTTTTGCCATCTTAAATATTAATAATAATCATTGCATTTGATATAGCGCCTCATCATTGTCAGAAGGACATCGCAAATCGCTTCACAGAATATGTGTGACAGCACCTGCAACACTCCCCAACCCTCCCAGGGCTGCATTGGAGCATCATTACCTTAGACGATGTGAGTTCAAGTCGCGACGTGGGATTTGAACCCACAACCTTCTGACTCGGAGGCAAGGGTGCTATCACTGAGCCAGGCTGACACTGAGCTGAGTAGATAAGGCGCTGAGGGCTCTGCCCAGCAAATACAACAATAACCTGCATTTACACAGCGCCCCTCACACAGGGCAGCGTCCCAGAGCGCTGGACACTGGCAGAGCACGACACTGAGCCGGGGGGAGGGGGAAGTGACCGTAGCCACGGTCAAAGAGGAAGGTCTTCAGGCGCAACCTGAAGAAGGGGTGAGGCGCAGGGGGAGCGGGGAGAGGGCGAGAGGGAGAGGGATAGAGGGAGAGAGAGAGTTCCAAACACTAAGTGACCTGTGGACAGGGCAAGTTGCGGTTTTGGTTTTTCTTCTCGTAAAGCTGTTCCAACATGTTCTCATTCACTATGTCTCTGCCTTGCTCCGACGACACCACATAGACAACAAGGATTTGCTCAACTCCAGGCATCTGGGTGTTGAGGAAGGTATCATACTCCAGGTCAGTGATAGTGGGAACCTTATGGTTACTGCATTTGCAGCGTTTGACTCCTTCCCCCATCATCTCCAGCCGCAAAGCCACAGGACACGGGTTGAAGGAACTGAGCCATGGTTTGTCATCTTCAGGGACACTGGGGAGAGAGGAAGAGATTAGTGGTTGGACCCAGGGAAAGAACGAGCAAAAGGACCACGTCAGTCAAAGCCCTTTTTCTCCCCTTGTGCCTGTAGTGGGGCAAAACCACAGTCAAGTCAATAATAATAATGTTGATGATCCTTGTATTTGATATTCACTTTACAGTATATCCTGTGAAGCGCTTTGAGACGTCTCGAAGATGTGATAAGGCGCTGTATCAAATGCCAGGATTATTATTATTATTTGCAACTTTTTGTTAAAATTCGACCCTGATTAATGCAATGTCCCAGCAAACTGCACTGGCTGTGATATATTCTTTCAGGTCAGTGTCATGTTTTGTTCAGCTTTACCTTAGTTTGACAGGCTTGCGAAATCTAGGCACACGTTTCACTGTCTTCACCTCATCCAAACTGTCACGTTTTATGCTCGCCGTCAAATAATTCCTAGTAAAATTATAAACATTTGTGTTAATAATAATAATAATCCTGGCATTTGATACAGCGCCTTATCACATCTTCGCGACGTCTCAGAGCGCTTCACAGGACACACTGCAAAGTGAATTGACTGTATATTTTGTGGGCGAAACACAGCAGTCAATTGCACACGTCCCCACAAACAGCCGTGGGTTGAGTGACCAGATTATTTTTAATCAGGGCAATGGAGGAGAGGGAGGGTGAGAGAGTGCCGGTGGTGGTGGGGGGTGGGTGTGGGGCGGTAAGAGAAGGTTGCGGCAGCTTTCTTGAATCTTTGAACTTGAGCGGGAGTTTAATTTGATGTCCAGCGGTCAGCATCTGAGTTCCGCTTCGTGCTATATCAATTTAATTCAACAACAACCTGCACTTATATAGCGCCCCTCACACAGGGTAGTGTCCCAGGGCGCTTGATTCAGTCAATAGTTGCACTCAAATGCTGCTCGGCACAACCACGGAAGCTTTCATACAGTGATCACAGCAGGGTCTCCATTTCCCCTTTTCTTCCATAAAGCAAATTTATCTTTTATACATCTAGAAAGATTTGAGTATTACTTACTTGATAAATGAGGGGCTCAGAGGTAAACACTGTACTTGTTTGCAAATTTCTTCGGAGTTGAAACTCTTCACCTCTGTTCTGCTGTGAAGATGTTCTTTCTTGGAGCGAGGCATAGCTATTTTTGAACGCAGGTTCCGGTGATGGGTTCTGGTAGGAGAGTCGGGCAACTTGAACGGAATAAGTCGGTTTAGTCCTGGACAGAAAAAGAACCGTCATTGTGAAGAGGTTGACAAAGCGCTTCACAGAATATACTGTAAAGTGAATTGATTGTATTTTGTGGGCAAAACGCAGCAGCCGATTGCATACAACACTGTAACACAAACAGTTGTGGATTGAGTGAACAAATTTTTATTTGTTTATGTATTTACTTATTTTTTTGAAGGGATTAATACCCCCGAAAAAGTGATCTGCCATTAGACTAACAACCGGGTTCCTACGTTTCGTTAGGTCAGGGTATCAAGGGATACGGGGCAAAGGCGGGTAATTGGAGTTGAGGTACAGATCAGCCATAATCTAATAGAATGGCGGAACAGGCTCGAGGGGCTGAATGGCCTCCTCCTGTTCCTATGTTCCTAGCTGTATTTTGTAAAGGGTGCAGTTACAATGGCTACTTAAGTTTATAATATCTACTTACCTGTTTCAGTTCGATAATAGTTCAGCCAGTCCTGTATGATCTGCCTTATCTTCACTTGTGTACGCCACAGATCTTGTGCCAGAAAATGCATGGATAGCGTGAGACTGTAGAGGTCTACTGAGTCCTTTTTCATCTGTTGACCAATTGATTGGCTCCTTTGCTTGGGGGAGGGGAAAAGGAAAGACTTTATACTCGCGGGATTTATACTCGTGGTATATTAACCACAATCAACAACAACAGATGACATTTACACAAACCCTTTCACGTCAGGTGGACGTCCCAAAGCGCTGGACAGTCAGTGATTTGGACCTGAGCTGCGGGTTGGGATCAGGAGGAGTGGAGGGCAGGGAGGGTGGAAGTAGGAGGGTGGCCGATGGCGTGATTGAAGAGGAGGGTCTTGAGTCGTGCCTTGAAGGAGGCGAGGGAGGGAACAAGACGAAGGGACTGAGATGGAGTTCCAAAGGGTGGAGTAAGAGAGGCTGAAGGCCCGGCCGCTGATGGTAGGGCCGGTCGAGCGGGAGACGTGGAGCAGGCCAGAGCCTGCTGAGTGGAGGGAGCGGGCAGGTCGATATGACGTTAGCAGGTCACAGATGTAGGGAGGAGTAAGAACACAGAGAGCTTTGAAAGCGAGGACGAGGATTCTGAACTCAGGTCTGTGCTAATTCCTGATTGTCTGACAGATACAAACTAAGTGTTTCCCAATCTCCCCTCACTCTCTCTCCTGCTTTATTACATTCATCACTTACACTTCTTTTATACCCTTTATTCTTCATCGCCTTCTCCTTCAGTTTTATTGCTCTGATCCTTAAGAGCTCTTTACCAATCTTTGATGTAAATTTGGTGTCAGTCTGAATGTAACCCTGAAATAATACAGGAATATTCAACACATCTGAGCTTCCAATTCATACTGTCTTTGTTCAACAAATATACTTGTGTGTGTGGTATATAACCCAACACATACTTTGGGGTCCCCCCAAGCCTTGGCTCTTGCCAACCTGTGCCTAATACTCTCCAGAATTAGGTAAACAGGATGTGTCCCTCCAGAGAGAGAGAGTGAGAGCGCATTCCATTCCAACAATCTCTGGGATTTCCATGTGTAGGGGGATGCATGGAATTCTCAGCTTGGGTTTGGAGACTCTTAAGCAACGGTGATGGGTTTCCATGTGTGTTAGACACGTGGCTGGGCAAAAAAAATGAATACCTCACAAATCCAATAATTCCCAAACAAGACAGGGAACAATCACAGGTCAATGCTTCCATATTGTCATGTCATATGATCATCACATGATCAATGCTATCCTTGCACATGCATGTAATAATAATATTAATAATAATAATAATCCTTGCATTTGATATAGTGCTTCTCACATCTTCCCGACGTCCCAAAGCGCTTCACAGAACACACTGTAAAGTGAATTGACTGTATATTTGTGGGCGAACACGGCAGCCAATTGCGCACAGCAATGTCCCACAAACAGTCGTAGATTGAAAATGACCAATTTATTATTGTTTTTGGTTTTGGAGGGATTATTATTAGGCTCTGTGTGGAGTAAGGAAACTTGTCTAAGGTTTCTCCCCACCCAGGAATCTAACCCGGGTCCTCTCGCTTGTGAGGCGAGGGCTCTAACCACTGAGCTACAGGACTCCACGTTATGTGGCTCCATTTTCATAGCTATAACAACAACTTGCATTTACACAGCGCCCCTCACACAGAGCAGCATCCCAGAGCTGGGGGGGAGATGACTGTAACCACGGTTGAAAAGGAAGCTCTTCAGGCACGACCTGAAAATGGGGAAGGAGGGGGTGAGGCGGAGGGAGGGAGGGGGTGAGGCGGAAGGAGGGAGGGAGTTTCGGGGTGCAGTAATTCTTCATCTGAAACCTCCCACAGGATAGCAGGTGGGCTGATATCATGAACACGTGATAAAACAAGGAAACCGCGCACACAGGCTGGTTGGTGGTGGTTTCCTGTCCTTGTTGTGTCCTAAGAATAGTGTTTGTCCACGTCAATGCTGCAGGGAGGGGGTGGCTGATGGCAAGATCCAGCCACAGGAAGGGTTGGCCGGGCTGATGGCTTGACAGGAAGCGCTCTCGGGGCCGCTGCTCACTGACAACATTTGGTCGAGTGTAAAGTATGAAATTCCACCTTCGCACTCTGCGACTAGACATGCCCCGTCAGGTGTTAGATTCCTAAACTGGCTGCCACTTGCCTATTTATTCCTCTTTTTTCCCTGGTGGGGAAAGTTTATTGGCAATGAAACAGGATTTGCTTCGTATTTATAGCAGAGAGATTCAGGTACAAAAAGTTGGAGTCCCTGTAGCTCAGTGGTTAGAGCCCTCGCCTGACAAGCGAGAGGACTTGGGTTTGATTCCCGGGCAGGACAAAACCTTACCCAAGTTTCCTTACCCCACACTCCTCTGTTTACCAGCAGTAAGTAGGAACCTGGTTGTTAGTCGATTGGCGGAACACTTTTCTGGGGGTAATAATCCCTTCAAAAAAATAATAACAATAACTCAATCCACGGCTGTTGTGTGGGACGCTGTTGTGCGCAATTGGCAATTGCCGCGTTTCGCCCACAAAATACAGTCAATTCATTTGACAGTATATTCTGTGAAGTGCTTTGAGACTTCTCAAAGACGTGATAAGGTGCTGTATCAATGCAAGGATTATTGTTATTATTATAATAATGGGACACTTCTCTAATTATTTAGCAATAGTAATAATAATCCTTGCATTTGACATAGCGCTTTTCACATCTTCTCGACGTCTCAAAGTGCTTCACAGAACACACTGTAAAGTGAATTGACTGTATATTTGTGGGCGAACGCGGCAGCCAATTGCGCACAGCAATGTCCCACAAAGAGCCGTGGATTGAAAATGACCAATTTATTATTGTTTTGTTTTGGAGGGATTATTATTAGGCTCTGTGTGGAGTAAGGAAACTTGCCCAAGGTTTCGCCCTCTGCCTGGAATTGAACCCAGGTCTCTCGCAAATGAGAAAAAGTAGGAGTGAGAAAAGAGGAATGAATAAGGAAATACTTTTATAAATTTTATTATTATTTATTAATTATGTATTAATCGGTCAGGCACTCACCATTTCTTCTGGTTTGGGAGGAATCACATCCAACAGGGAGGCGACAGGAAAGCGGAACACCTCGTAATACCATCGGAATATCAGCCAGATAGAGAACTGCCCTAACACCCGCACTGTGATGTTCTCATTAATCTGCGGTCAAGGAATGGAACAGACAAATTCTTACAGAGTCGGGTTTCACATAACACAGCAACGGCAGCTGAGGGGAATCACCCCATCCAGCACGGAGGGCAACAGGACCTGGTAGAAATGATCGTGAAGAAAGAGCCCATAGCTTTGTGGTTAGAGAGCTCGCCTCACAAGCAAAAGGACCCAGGTTTGATTCCCGAGCAACAACAACAACAAGATTGCATTTATAGAGCGCCTTTCACGTCGGGAGGACGTCTCAAAGCGCTGGACAGTTGGGTCGGGACCCGAGCATTGGGGGTAATGGTCAGGGTGAGGGGAGGGAAGGGAGGGAGCGAGGAGGGGGGGAATGGTCAGGGTGAGGGGAGGGAAGGGAGGGAGCGAGGAGGGGGGAAATGGTCAGGGTGAGGGGAGGGAAGGGAGGGGGCGAGGAGGGGGGGAATGGTCAGGGTGAGGAGAGGGAAGGGAGGGAGCGAGGAGGGGGTAGAGAGTCGAGAGAGGAGCTGAAGGTACGGTCAAAGAGAAAGGCCTTGAGACCGGCCTTGAAGGAGGAAAGGGAGGAAGCGGCGAAGGCACTGGGGATGGAGTTCCAGAGCCTCGGGGCTGAGAGGCTGAAGGCTCGGCCACCGATGGTAGGGCGGTTGGGGCGGGGGATGTGGAGCAGACCGGAGCCGGAGGGATGGAGGGTATGGGCGGGTAGATAGGGGGATAGTAGGTCAGAGAGGTAGGAGGGAGCGAGGCCGTGAATGGCCTTGTAGGTGAGGATGAGGATCTTGAATTCGATCCTCTGGGGGATGGGGTAGCAGGACGATACCTTAGGCAAGGTTCCTTACTCCACACACCTCTGTTTACCTGCAGTAAGTAGGAACCCATTTGTTAGTCGATTGGCGATTGGTTAGTTGCTGTGTTTCGCCCACAAAATATACAGTCAACTCACTTTACAGTGTATTCTTTGAAACGCTTTGAAATGTCTTGAAGATGTGATAAGGCGCTGTATCAAATGCAAGGATTATTATTTTTTTCCCCCAGAAATGTGCTCTCATATCTAATAATAGCATTTCTGTAGCCTGGTCAGATTTGATGTCACCAGATGTGCCAACAGATACCACAGTTGGCTGTGTCTGAGGTCAGCTGTTCTTTGCTAGTTATATATACACACACATTATATATATATAGTTCCCCTCTTGGTTATGAAGGCACATCAGTGTCTCAAACGCAGACAGAGGATTTCATGGAATGCTGGTAACATTAATGCGGGTTTAAAGCAGATAGCATGTGCATAATATCAGCTCTTGCTAATGACTGGGGTCAGCCTGGCTCAGTTAGTAAGCACTCTCGTCTCTGAGTCAGAAGGTTGTGGGTTCAAGCCCTATTTCAGAATCCTTGCATTTGATGTAGCACCTTAAACGTCTTCAAGACGTCTTAAAGCGCTTCACAGCATTTACTGTAAAGTGGAGTGACCGTATATTATGTAGAATGCGCAACCAATTGTGTAGAGCAGAGTCCCACCCACAGGCGTGGATTGAGTGATCAAATTATTCTTTTTTTGAAGGGATTATTACCCCCGGAAAGTGATCCACCAATCGACTGACAACCAGGTTCCTACTGACTGCTGGTAAACAGAAGTTTGTGGACTAAGGAAACTTGCCCAACATTTCTCCCTGCCTGGGAATCGAACCCGGGTCCTCTCACTTGTGAGGCGAGGGCTCTAATCACTGAGAACAGGACTTCATTATTCAAGTGAGTCTAAGGTGATCCCTATATACAGAGCAATTTTAATATTATTTGAACACCTCAGACCCGAATGTAAAAGCAAAAGATCACAAAACATTCAGCGCCAGAAAATCCGGATAGCATAATGGCATATTCCTCCATGTTTAGCACAATTATGTTTAATATTTTTTTTAATCCTTTAAGAGCTCTGATTGTTAGTTGATAAGAAACGTACCTTAATTCGGACTGGTTCAAACCTCTTGCCTATCCTCGGCCATTTCCAAATCTTAATTTCGGTTTCATCCTCATTTGCTGCCATTCCCCCTTCTTCATCAATACACAGAGCCATCAAATACCTGACAGTACAACATAACAACATAACAACACAACAGCACAACACAACAACATAAGAATTTGCTGGCGAAAGAAGACCAACGTCCATCTAGTTCCACCATCCTGGCAGTTGCTTGCACGTGGGGTGTGGGGGGAAAAAATTGGTCACTCAATACACAACTGTTTGTGGGACACTCATTGCTGTGTGCAATTGGCTGCTGTGTTTCACCCACAACTTTACAGTGTATTCTGTGAAGCGTTTTGAGACGTCTCGAAGATGTGATAAGGCCGTGACATCCTTCCTAAAGTTTTCTCCCTCGCTCACTCTCTCTCTCACTCTCTCTCTCTCTCTCTCACTCTCTTACCCATTGGGGAAGCACACACTGCCAAGACCAAAGGGTGTGAAAGAGGCCAGGATAACATGCTCTGGTGTATCACTGAACACGTTGGTGTAAAAGGCTCCCGGGCATGAGTAACAAGATTGGCTACGACAGATAGCAATCCTTCCTGAAGGGTAACTGTACCAGCAGTCAAGGAGGATATCGAACACAATGATCACCATAGACCCCATTCTTCACACACTAAATATCGTCAAAGGGTATCACCCCACATAATACAGTTACTACACTTTACAATATATTCTTTGAAGCGTTTTGAGATGACGTAATCAGGCGCTATATCAAATGCCACGATAATAATAATAATCCTTGTATTTGAAATAGTGCCTTATCACATCATTGAGATGTCTCCAAGTGCTTCACAGAATATACTGTAAAGTGCACTGACAGTGCACTTGTGGGCGAAACGGTTAAATATAATAATGCAAGTATTATTATTATTATATGTTAACGTATTATTAACATGTCAACCCTCTCATATCCCCACATTATTATAATTAAAGCCATCAGGAAGTTTAAAGACAGAGCATGTGAGTCTGAATAGCACCTGAACATATGTGTATACATTTTCAAGGATACTATATGATGGTTGATCCATCATTGATTTCACAGCGTAGCTTGGTGAGATCAAGGTTCTCTGTCTTAATAACTGGGATACGTGGCAATCCCTCGAGCAGCACAGAGACTGGTGGCTTAATGATCAACTTCCTGAATTTCCCGGTTTCATCTTTCTTGGTCTCTTCGTAATGCAGGAAAATGACTGGTTTGTCATAACCAATATCCTTCAGCCTCAAATTCTGTTCAGATCTAAATGAAAACATTAGTTATTGTCAATTCCTGTGTATATTGAACGCCGTTTAAAAAGGAACCACTGAGGGTAATATTAAGCCGCTTTAATTAATTACTAATAATACCTTCAAATAAATAAAGTTAAAAAATAATAATAATTTGGCCGCTCAATCCACGATGGTTTTTGTGACAACAGCAACAAATTACATTTTTTGTATATCACCTTTCATGTCGGGAGGACGTCCCAAGACACCGCTGTGCACAATTGGCTGCCCCGTTTTGCCCACAAAATATAGACAATTCACTTTACAGTATATCCTGTGAAGCGCTTTGAGATGTTTCGACGACGTGATAAGGCTCTATATCAAATGCAAAGATTATTATTATTGTTGCTATTATTATTATAATTATTATTGTTGTTGTTATTGTCGTTATATTGTTATTATTATAATATTATTATTGTTGTTGTTATTACTAAATCCACTCAAAGGAGTGGAGTCAAGTGGAACGTTCGAGCTCTCCTCCAAGGGAAGAATCAGTAGATTGGAGAAACATAATTAGGATAACTGGGAAATATAAATGGTTTTAAAACCAAACCTGTCCTACACTTATCTTAATAAATCATGACAGATGTTTTGATGTTTAAATATGTACATTTGTTCGATTGTGGCACGAAGTATGTCCAGAATAAACAGATAGGTTGACTTCAGGTCCCGCTTGGTGTCTGAAACTTCCAGTGATTTAACAATCCAGCCTGGGGGAAAAACAATAAGAATAGCATGTAATACGGTGACACTTGAGTCTAATCCCGCACTTCAATGTAAGAGATTCCTTAAGGCTCAATTATGAATTAAGCAGAGATCACAGTTACACATTCATCTTCTGGCTACATAGAATTACAGGGAAAATGTAATGAGATAAATAATAATAAAAAAAACTGTGACCTGTCCCATAAGTGTGGACAGATAATACTAATAATAATAATAAACCTTGCATTTGATGCAGCACTTTATAATGTCTTCGCGATGTCTCAAAGAGTTTGACTGTAAGGTGACTTGACTATATTTTGTGGGTGAAATGTAGCAGAGAATTGTGCTAATCATTATTCTCAGCCGATTAAAAAAAGCGAGTAGTAAACGTGTGGAACAGCCACCCGAGGGAAACGGTGGAAGCAGACAATGTTGTTTGTTTCAAGCTTAAATTAAATAGATTTCTGTTAGAAAACAACATCTTGCAATACAGTAAATACTTTGAGACACGACATGCAAAGCAACGGCCAGGATGGTGGAAGGCAAACTGGATGACCTTTGGTCTCCTTACGCCAAGCAAATTCTTGTCCTTATTCTTATATTCTTACCTTCCTATTTAATCAGGTAGAAATCGCTACACAGAATAGCTCGGAATAGCTTCTATCTATTATAAAACCTGCGGCCATCATTTTCTCACCTTTTTCTCTGCATTCTTTACACAACATAGAGAAATTTATAACTTCTCCCGACGGTATCCCTCTTCGCGCTAAAAATTAAAACAGAAATGGTTGTTAATTGATTATGTTTCAAACTTGGTGCTTAATCGTCTAAAGAGCCAGTGGCTTAAGATTAACTTCCCAATATCTAGAATGACCAGTTCTAGTCATTGCATTTATCAGAAGACAAAGAGCATCACTTCCAGGAGAAACCAGAATGATATTGGCCAATCTATCCTGTCAATAGATTGTTATATCAACCTGTCCACTCCCTCCGCTCAGCAGGCTCTGGTCTGCTCCAGGTTCCCCGCCCGGCCCACCATCGGTGGTCAGGCCTTCGGCCTCTCTGCCCCCACCCTCTGGAACTCCATCCCGCAGTCCCTTCAACTCGCCCCCTCCCTCGTGTCCTTCAAGGCCCATCTCATTTTATTAAATTATATTTCCAGAGAGTGGAAATAAGGAAATAATTATTGATGAGAAGCAACAGTTTGTTGGCTGGAGGACATCCAGATTTTGTCTAACTGGCACTATTCATGCTTCACTGATTTCAAGTTGGTGTTGCAGTTGTTGTACAATATTTTAGTTTAAAAAGCCCATTGAGTTCGCACTCAGTTTTTCAGTATGATTATTTCATAGCAGCATGAGATTGAATATGAACTGCTGATGATAAAGTTGTGTGACATCCACAAGCTTGAGTTTCAAAATGACCACACACAGCAGCCAATCCCTTACACATTAGATCACACCAGGCAAGCGATAATTTGCAACTAGTCCATTTCCTTAGAAGCTGCTTGCCTGAGCTAACACCCATGCTTACATTACGCAATAGCAGTGTGTGCTTTGGAATACAAAGCCCAGCTCCATAACCACTTCATGCTTCAGTTGATGTTTTCTGCTCCATTGCAAATGTGCCAGAAACAGACCAACCTTCCTGGGGCTTATTGAGGCTATTATATCTGATGTGTTTAATTTGTTGGGGATTTTTTTTACTGAACTGCTGTACTGCAATAAGTTTCAAAGTGTGGTTTGAGCGAAGCCATTACATTTTAGAGAAATAATAATAATTTGGTCACTCAATCCATGACAGTTTCAGTCCTTCCCCCAGCGCCTTGGGCTGTCCTCCCGACGTGAAAAGCGCTCTATAAATGTAATTTTGTTGTTGTTGTTGTTTGTGGGACACTGCTGTGCGTAATTGGCTGCCACGTTTTGCCCACAAAATATACAGAATACTTTGCAGTATATTCTGTGAAGCGCTTTGAGACATCTCAATGACGTGATAAGGTGCTGTATCAAATGTGAGTATTATTATTAATAACATAGGAGTCAGTGGGGTAAACCCCTTGAGAGTATTTGTAACAAAGCTAAATTGATGCACAATCCTAATACATTATTAGCGAGAAAGACATCTGTATAATTAGTCTCGCTGCTTTGATCTGTTCTGTTATACCTTTATGTTCTTGGCTAGAGGCAGGCTGGAGAGAGATTTGATATAAAAACTGGCAATTACAGAGCCTGGTATAGGCTTGGCGGACTGGGCAACTGTAACTCCAAGCTCTATTGACTGGCCACGTGGCTGATCAGCGATGACCTACTTGGCTTTGCTTTGAGTCAAGTATTTTGTCTCAGAATCTGTTATTCCCAGAGAGACCCATCTTACACTCGAGCCATCTCAAGGAAGATTTTATTTTGTAGATGTGGTTCTCAATTTAGTGACCTTCGAAGAGAAAATTGGGGAGTGGATCCATAGTTCTACATTGGTCACTCAATCCACGAGTGTTTGTGGGACGCTGCTGTGCGCAATTGGCTGCCGCGTTTTGCCCACAAAATACACCATCAATTCACTTTACAGTATATTCTGTGAAGCGCTTTGAGACGTCTCAAGGACGTGATAAGGCGCGATATAAAATTCAAGGATTATTATATTACTTAATATTAACTAAAGTTTCCACATAATGTGAGATGATAGTTTTCTAATGTCATAGGAGTTACTGTGTAAAGTTCAGCAATAATGGCCTTCATTCGGTGAGCATTAATTCCAACAGTTTGACATAGAGATGGTTGTTATTCTAGCTTCAAAACCTCATTTCATGGTGCAGTAACCCTGGCTGTGTTGTCTGATGGATTCAGATTGTCACTGGCGAGTGTAAATGTAAAGACTAAATGTTACTTACTCTCTGATAATTTATTGCTTTTCGCGATGAACGTAATCTGCTGGGATCAGATGTGCCAAGCTAGCTGAGTGGGCTGCTTCTGTCATTATCTGTTGGTGAAACATTTAAGAATTATGCAGTACATTATTGGCAATCCCTAGTAAGGAACAGCTGTAAGTAGGAACCCAGTTGATAGTCGATTGGCAGATCGCTTTTCCAAGGGAAATAATCCCTTCAAAAAATAAATTAAAAAATAATAATAATTTGGTCACTCAATCCACGACTGTATGTAGGACAATTGGCTGCCACGTTTTGCTCACAAAATATACAGTCAATTCACTTTACAATATATTATGTGAAGCGCTTTGAGACGTCTCAACGACGTGATAAGGTGCTATATCAAATGCAAAGATTATTATTATGTCTCAAGGAATGCAATTTGGTAGAGTGAGTTTTCCCTTAAACCTCGAGGAATATTTCAGTAACTCGGCATCAAATTTCTCTCTTAACCGACTAACAGAAAGAACGCTTTAAAAGTTCAATCTTTCAACACTTTCTGTTCTTTTTAGGGGCACAAAATGACAATGAGAAAGAACCCAGTGGTGTTACTAGTGTTAATGACGTGACATCCCAGCTGGAGAAGCAAGCCCTGGAGGACAAAGAGAGAGAGGAAGATGGAGAGGAAGGCAAGTTCGCCGTCAACACGGGAACATTTGTGTTTATTTTCACTAAAATGTCTTGTGGACTTGTGTGAAATGTAACCTGTTCTCAGACAACGTTTACCCTTTATCAACAGAAGGAGACGGTGAAGGGGAAAATTCTGGAGGGAAGAAAAAGAAGAAAAAGAAGAAGAAGAAAGGACGTAAGTGTATTTTGATCGATGTGTTTGGTAACATTAGTGCAGCACTTGATTAATGTCAAGATTATGGAAGGTGAACTTGTCCTGTATCAGACACAGTTAGTTCTACATATGTAGCCACTTACGCTTGGAAATTTCCCTGTGAAATGGCATACACTCTCTCTCCCGAGGCTCGCAGGCTGCCCAGCTGATTCCATAGAGTATTAGGGACAGGTTGGTGACAGTCAGGGCTTGGGACCCCAGAGTATGTAGTGGAGGACTGCTGGAGTGTAATCAGCTAAACCCACATTTCTTGCCAGTGAGGGCCCTGTCTGGCAAGTTTCCCACTGTTTGTTACCCAGGATAAGCAGAAAGTTGCTTTGAGACCGTGATGGCAACTTGCCAATGAGCTAGGCTGAGTTGTCTGTCATCAGCGGTGTCTTGGAGTACTTCAGATCCACATGACGCAGGACCTTTGAGTTCCTAGTTGCGTTATGGGTTCAAGGCCCATATTGTGACTGTGAGCTCATAGTCCAGGCTGACACTGTCTCAATCCCTCCCGCCTTGTCTCCTTCTTCCCCATCTTCACACCAGAAGATCTTCCTCTTCGACCGTTCCCCACACACCCCCACCCACTCCCTGGCTCAGGGTCAAGCTCCACCATTGTTCAGCGGTCCGACATGCTCCCTGCATGAAGGGCACTGTATACATGCAAGTCGTTGTTGTAAATTGATCATTCACTTGGTTGCTGTTTATGGGGCATGGCTGTGTACATGGGTTCACCTTCAAATAGTCGCTGCACTGTTAAGAATATTTGTACATAATCACATGGAATGATTATAATGTAAATGTATGTGTTTTTTTTCCACTGTGAACAGCAAAGATTCAGACAGATCCTCCCTCATTCCCATATGTGAGCTGTTTCCTTCGGGTGTTTTCTCTAAAGGGCAGGAGTGTGAATACCCCACTTTACAGGATGGGTAAGTCCTTTTTTGCTATCATTTAATTCTGACTAAATCTACTGTGTAGGTGAATAAAGAGGGAAGATTACGAAGTAAACCTTTTGTTTCGATAATTCTGGCTAGTGTCATATCAGAGTTTGACCACTGAAGTGTTATTTTTGTTGCTAGTAATAGTTGACAAAGTCGATTCTTAAAACAGAAACTTTGATACACTCATTACAAAACACACAGTTACTACACTTTACAGTATATCCTGTGAAGTGCTTTGAGATGTCTCAAAGACATGATAAAGCGCTATATCAAGGATTATTATTATTATTCTTGTATTATTTATTCAGACGTACTGCTGCCTGGCGTACCACCAGCGAGGAGAAGAGAGTGTTAGATCAAGCCAGCGAAGAGATCTGGAGTGATTTTCGACAGGCTGCCGAAGCACATAGACAAGTGCGCAAGTATGTCATGAGCTGGCTAAAGCCTGGGATGTCTATGATTGAGATCTGGTAAGCACTTCCAATCATTTCTGGTATTTTATTCTCCTTTTCTTCCTCTTTTCTCACCAGACCAAACTCGGTAACTAAAGAGAGTATGTAGGTAGTCGACCTGCTCCCAGATCCCTGTACACATCGCTTTTGAGACAACAGCAAATGACATTTACACAGCAGCTTTCACGTCATGAGAACGTCAGAGATTTGGACTCGAGCTCGAGCTTGGGATCAGGAGGTTAGGGGCTAAGAGGGTGGCCGAAGGCACAGTCAAAGAGGAGGGTCTTGAGACATGCCTTGAAGGAGGCGAGGGAGAGAGCGAGGCGAAGGGACTGTGGGATGGATAAGGGGCTACATCAAATGCAAGGATGGTTGTTATTATTATATTAGTGATATTCTGTTTAGAGTATTTACAAAACTGGAAAGGAAAAACAAATTTGAAATCATGTGTCTCTCCAGTGAAAAGCTAGAAGATTGTTCACGGAAGTTGATCAAGGAGAACAGATTGCACGCTGGCCTGGCTTTCCCCACAGGCTGTTCACTGAATAACTGTGCTGCACATTATACACCCAACGCTGGGGACTCCACCGTCCTCCAGTACGACGATGTTTGCAAAATTGATTTTGGAACCCATATAAACGGTTGGTTGTGTTTTTTCTTGTCCATGTTTTACAATAATTTTACTATTATGAGGTTTTGTTTTGTGGTTGTCTTGGGAATCCGGTTCCTGAGCCAGGAGGGGCTGCAGTATCCCAGGGCACAGCCCGGCCTGGCTCATCAGCAGGACCTGGAAGGGGAACCAGCCACTGGGGGCAGGGAATCCTAACCATCAGCTCCTGGTAACCCTACAAGCCAAAGCCCTAACTAAGGAGGGGGTCCTAGCTGGACAAGCAGCGGGAAAGCTTAACAGACAGCGCTCTCAATAGCAAGCTATGTGGGTTTAGCTGGTTAGACTCCAGCAGTTACCCCAACGCACACTCTGGGCTCCCCCAAGCCTTGGCGCTTACCAACCTGCGCCTAATACTCTCCGGAATTAGGTAAACAGGATGTGTCCCTCCAGGGAGAGAGAGTGCATTCCATTCCAACAGTATCTGGAATTTCCATGTGTAGGTGGGATGTGTGGAATTCTCAGCTTGGTTTGGAGAATCTTAAGCAACGGTGACGGGTTTCTGTGTGTGTCAGACACACCGGATGACCTCCCCAAAAAATGTTGTGACATTGAATGCTGACTTTTCCCCCATTTTCTCCCTCGCAGGCCGTATTATTGACTGTGCGTTCACAGTGACGTTTAACCCCAAATACGACAAACTTATAGAAGCTGTTAAAGATGCCACGAATACCGGTATACGGGTAAGTTAACAGAGTTAGCATACCTTGTATTTGTTTTTTCCACAAAATACAGTCACTCCACTTTACAGTATATTCTGTGAAGCGCTTTGCGACATCTCGACGATGTGAATAGGCGCTATATCAAATGCAAGGATTATTATTATTTGTTGGGCCGTTTATTCTACCTTACAGTATACAGCAATCAGAATTGTACGTCAAGCTATTTTACATGTGTTCACCCAGAAAATATATGCAGAGTTCTAAAGTCTACGCACCATCTAATGTGTCACAGTAACTGATTAGAAATGTAATAGTTTGCATTAACATTGACCACTCAAGTTTGTATATTTGTGTCTTGTATCTTAGAATGCAGGAATAGATGTTCGTCTGTGTGATGTTGGTGAAGCAATTCAAGAAGTTATGGAATCCTATGAGGTTGAAATCGATGGCAAAACATACCAAGGTATACATTGTATATGAACGGATATGTTGGCAGGTCATATTTGCAATTAGACCAACAGTGTAGAAACGTGTAAAGTTTAGTCAGTACTTGTAGGATTTTCTGCAGTGTCAGAGCTCAAGTTTAAAGAATTTTTAAGTTTTCCTTTGCTTTTCAGGAAATTGAAAGCTTGTGTGTGTGTGTGTATATATATAGGAACACAGGAACAAGAGTAGGCCATTCAGCCCCCCCGAGTCTGTTCTTTTGTATTTTATTATATTGTATTTTATTGTCAGGCTTTGCCACTATCTGGGACGCTATCCCATGTGAAGGGCACTATATAAATGCAAGTTGTTGTATTGGGAGGAGGGGTTGCAATCCCGGGATTTGGGATCCCATATGGTTCTGGTGCTCCCGAAATTCCGGGATGAAAATCCCTAGTTGGTAGGCAGGTATCGTTAGCGAACATACACTGCAGTTAGAGCTGGTGAGGACAGAGTTATACACTCTAGAGTTTCTAGAAGCCATCGGGACATAGTTTAACAATATTTTAAGTCGGTGGCTTGATTGAACCTTGTGTTTCAGTCGTGTTAGAAGCTTGTCAGTGTCGTAAAATGTGAGTGTGTAAAAATGTAAGTGTGTCATATATTAGCGTGCAAGTTTAATGAGTTATTTTCTACTCATATTACAGTAAAGCCAATCCGCAATCTGAATGGACATTCCATTGGACAGTACAGGATACACGCAGGGAAAACTGTCCCGATCGTCAAAGGAGGAGAGGCAACCAAAATGGAGGTAAAGAACCATCATGTTATATTCCTGATTTACCTTCAGTTCACTTTATGGTATATGCTATGAAGCACTTTGCGACATCTCAAAGACATGATAAGGCGCTATATCAAATGAAGGATAATAACATTATGTTTGTAACTGCTCTGTCCCTGCCTGTAGGAAGGAGAAGTTTACGCTATAGAAACCTTTGGCAGCACTGGAAAGGGAGTTGTTCACGATGACATGGACTGTTCACATTATATGAAGAATTTTGATGTTGGCCACGTGCCGATCAGGTAAGATTGATCAGCAAATCTGTGAGCTTTTTTTCATCACAATTTTTCAGCTAGTTTTTTTTTATATATTCAGGAATTTATATTAAAATAATGGGAAAAATAGTGTTTTCCAGACCAGTAGCACAATATATCCTGTATGTTTGGAGCACCTGTCATTTCCCTCATAGATTTGTGAACATTGTCGGTCTCAACAAGGCATTAGCTGGAGTCCAGGTTCATGAACCCTTAGATATTTAGGTCTTGTATCCACTTTGATTGGTATGCTCAGAGGTGAACAGCTCAAGCTCTGTATCTCTCACTGTGGGATCAATGGGAGGGACAGATGTGTACCTGAGCTGTGGGTAACAGGTTGGTAGCAATGTGCCTCGGAGTCCTGCAGACCCCGACTCAGGAATTGAACAAACAAGACCACCACAGAGAGTCGGCTCAATTCTGGTATTCCATTGCCAAGCAAGTCTAGCTCAGGCACACGGAGAGCCCTCTTATTAGAGCAGGTAATTGGAGTTGAGGTACAGATCAGTCATTGATTTTATAGAATGGCGGAACAGTCTAGAGGGGCTGAATGGCCTCCTCCTGTTCCTATGATCCTATGTTACTCCTTTCGTCGTCGTCGTCCCCCTCCCCTTTTGGAGAATGAGTTTGGCAGATAGCAGTGTCTGTTGATAATTAAATACTTAAACCACATGGACTGTGTACTGATCACCATTTGTGCTGTGATTCCCCCCAGACTTCCAAGAGCAAAACACCTCCTAAATGTTATCAACGAGAACTTTGGGACACTTGCCTTCTGCCGTCGGTGGCTGGACCGTTTGGGGGAGAGCAAATACCTTATGGCCCTGAAGAATCTGTGTGACCTGGGGATCGTGGATCCTTACCCTCCGCTCTGTGACATCAAAGGCTCGTACACAGCACAGTTTGAGCACACTATTTTGCTGCGTCCAACGTGTAAGGAAGTCGTGAGTCGTGGGGACGATTATTAAGCAGTCACCTGTTTCACTTTATTCTGTCGGGGAGAGCTGACAAAATGGTTCCACCAATAGCTTTCTCCTCTTCTTTTTGTTTTGGTAATGGACTGCAGTTATTATATTTGCCATGTTATAACGCGGCTGGCAATTGGGATGATGCAGGGAGCTTGTATTTCCTTTGATGACGACATTTTTAATAAAGGTTTCTGGCTCCTAGGACCTTCTTATTTTAGTGTTAACGGGCTTTTTCCAGGACGTATCGGCTAAAGAATTCATCTGAATGTAATTGAGATGGTCGGGGTGATTAAGAGTCCTGTAGCTCAGTGGTTAGAGCACTCGCCTCGCAAGTGAGAGGACCGGTTGATTCCGGGCAGGACAAAACCTTAGGCAATTTCCTACCCTACACCCTCTGTTTACCGCAGTAAGTAGGAACCCGTTGTTAGACATTGGTGGATCACTTTTCGGGGGTAATAATCCCTTCAAAGAAAAATTGTCACTCAATACGACTAGTAATTGGCTGCCGTGTTTCTCCCACAAAATATACATCAATTCACTTTACAGTGTATCTGTGAAGCGCTTTGAGTATCTCGAAGATTGATAAGGCTGCTATAAAATGCAAGGATTATATTAGAATATAGAACACTCTGTTACAATTGGCTATTGAGGCGGAGACCTATCGTAATTTGGAATGGAAGCAGGTAAGCAGGTAAAGTGTATAAAAGTATCAGGAATTGGAATTATGGCAGGTAGAGTTTCACCAGGTTAGGCTTGATGGGTTTTCTATGCTGTAATTTCTGTGGTTCTAATAGGCTGGCCTTGAAGATGTGTAGACTTATTACAGCTCTGATTCTCTCTTGAGCTCTATGAGGACACAATCCAATGGGAACTGGCACCACAATTGGAGGTTGTTTACAAACAGCACGGTGACTGATGGACAGGAGAGTCTTGCTGAGTCCATTCACAATCCACATAAACAATGGCATCTTTGCTACAAGAACTTTTGCGACAAACTTAAACCTTACTGTCACATGCTTTATGTAAGTGGTAAAGCACCCAAAGATGGTTTTATTTTAAAGATTGAAGAAATTCCAATTGGAACTTGACATCTGATTTTATAAAAGAACTTTTTAAAAAATATATAACAAATGTCAATTTCAACATTTATAGTAATATGTGAGATTGTTCCTATCTGTGGTACCTGTATTTCAGTGGGAAAAGCATTGATGTTCTTAGGGAGTGCAGTTACTCTGCATTATCTATCTCTACCGCTCGGCTTCTGCATTCTGCTCCACCACTGGTGGCTGTTCCTACAGCCACTACGCCCCAAATCTCTGCAACTCTCTCCCTCAATCCCTCTGCCTTGCCCCCTCCCTCCCCACTTTCAAATCCCACCTAAAGACCTTTTTGCTCATGCTGACGGTCACCTTCCTCTGGCTCGTGTCAGGCTCCGCCACTGTCAAGCGCTCCAGGAGATTACCCCACGTGAGGGGCGCTGTGTAAATGCAAGTTGTTGTTATTTATAGCTGTTAGAATCGTGCAGTAAACTGTGTAAACCATTCATGGAGCTAGTTGAAGAGAAGTAGGCGTTTACACAAACCTTCCGGAAAGCAGGTGCTTGTTGGGAATGTCGGGAAGGAATTTGCAACTTGTCTGTGATTCCTACCACGTGGAAAATATCCGTCAGGAACGATACATGAACCTCAAT